TTTTGACATGTAACCTAAAACAAGGATTACTCATTCGGAATCTATTTAGTTGACCTAATTATTAGAGTTTATGACTCAAATGACATGGTCTGACCATGTCAATGGGTCTACAGTTAGAATGAAATTAACTCGGATTCAATCAGAGAGGACCAGTCCTCCAGAGTCCTAGATTGACCAAGCAATATCCATGTAAAGACATACAAGGGACACAGATTTTAGTAGCCATCATTCTGCTTATTTTTAGCTCACCTGGACCAGTGGATGAACTTAAATGTTCTGATCAGTGTTGGTGCATATTAAAGGGTTTATTTTTTTTTTTTTTAAACATTATTGTAGCCAGACTATGTTTAATCATATGATTTCTACAAAGTCATGCAGGGTTGTAAATAACCACTCACCCATTTGCAAATGTGAGTAATTTTGTCCATGGGCGAACAACTCTTGAGGATTTTAATGCCTGCATTGTGAGTAAGAATTTTATTGGAACTTTTCTGGAACCTGACCATGGTTTTAATTCTATTAAATATGTAGGACTCCAAAGTCTGATGGTGACACCAAAGTCCGATGGTCTCGCCAAAGTCCGATGGTCTGTGCCCAACCCCGAAGGTTTGACGTTGGTACGGATGCCAAAGTCTGATGATCACGCTAAAGTCCGATGGCTCATTTCCTATGATACATGTGTGCTAAAGTGCGATGGTCTGACACGCCAAAGTCCGATGGTGGGGAGAAAAATTAACGTTTAATATGACTTCACAATATTCCGACGTCAAACCTCGACGCATAGTCCGTAATTCAGAATCAATAATTTAGGATGAGTCATCAAATACAGTTTGACTGATTTTACTTAATGTTTGTACTCACCTGAGTTATTAGGATTAGTCTTTGCACACCACTTGGCTGATAAGGGTTAGTCTTTGTGCACAGTTACACTGATTATAGGATGGGTTGCACCCACCCAAGACATTAAGGGTTAATCCTTGTACACTATTCGATTGAATAGTTTTAGTCTCGCACCCCAAAAGAGGTATGACTAATTAGGGCTAGTTTCTCTCCCATCTAGGATGTTACAGACTTTTTGACCGATTAGGGTTAGCCTCACAAACATCCAAGAGATTAGGGTCAGCCTCACACCCATCCGAGAGATAAAGAGTTAGCCTCACACCCATCCGAGAGGTAAGGGTTAGCCTAGCAACCACTTAAGAAATTATGGCTAGTGGTACAATATATTTTTTGCATTTTCTAGTGAACCATATTACTTTGGCGTTTAAATACTTAAAATTCATTTAATTTATTTTAAACCGTTTTACCTTGGCATGGTTCGACATCGCAATTTGGCGCAGAAGTACTATGATGTCATAAGCAATAATTATTTTTCTGTGCCTTCGGACTTTGGCTTGTGAACCATCGGGGTTTGGCACAGACCATCGGACTTTGGCATGATCATCGGGCTTTGGAGTCCCGTCCACTTTGGAGTCCTACAAATATACAGTTAAACCTTGTTATCTTAAACTTGACAGGACAAAGATTAAACTTCGAGATATCCAATGCTTCAAGATAAACAGGGTAAGAAAGATACAGAAAAGTTGTTTGGACTGCTAAATTTCTTCAACATATCCCAAGTGTTTGAGATATTGGTGTTTAAGTGAGATATTGGTATTCGAGTGAGATATTGGTGTTCGAGTGAGATATTGGTGTTCAAGTGAGATATTGGTGTTTGAGTGAGATTAGTGTTTGAGTGAGATATTGGTATTCGAGATAACCATGTTCAACTTTTACTTTTCATTTTCATTGTTCCCTACATTCATCAACATTTTCTAGACCCTGAATCAAGTCAGTGTTTTGACTACCTGAAGTCTCAAAGTGAGGGAAAAATGGAATTTCATACAAATGGTGGTGAAATTCGCAGAAAAATAAAAGACTGTGGAAAGCAAAGTATACTTCTCAGAGAATATGATAGAAAAGATTGAGAAATATTTTACTTAATGGACAAATTTGTGGACCCTAGAATATCAAATGCAGGCTACTAAATCTTGGAAAGTTAGGGGCCCACATAGCCCCTAAGGTTTTAAAGTTAATTGCAATCCTGTCATGTTCGTGCAAGCACAAATAAATTGAGTATTACATTATATAAAAGTTCTGCCTTCTAGTGTGGCTGTATTAATTCTTAGCACCTGGAAAATTGTTAAAAAGAGCTTTTTTGCAGGTACCATGATAGTTTTAAGATAGCAAAAATCAGTTTCCATTTTTTCCTTGCATTTATTTTCCATAGGAATCTTTTGAATATCTGGGATTGTAAATCACCAAAGAGCCTTTTATTTAAGTAGAACTGAAAATTCTATTTACTGGAATCATTAAAACCCTGAAGCCTTTTGGCAGACTGTCTCCCAAAAGAAGTAAATTTTGATTGTAGGGAGGAAAGAAAGTTTGTACAAAGACCATCAATTTTTCCTGACACAACTCATTACTAAAATGGTCATGAGAGAAACAAAGCAATCTTGAAAATGTGTCCTTGCAGGTTTTTTTTTTACGCTGATGACTAAACCCAGAAAATGCTTAGGAATTTATTAGTTCTGCTTATTTTGGTCCTTTATCTAAACCAACAAAGTCTGGCATTATTTTTTTAAGTTTATTTTTAGAGAGTGTTTGAATATGACTACAAATACATGTATTTTTTCTGTGTTTTAATTGCTAGATAGATAAACTTAACCCACTTAAAAAATCTTTATTTAAACATTGTAACTTGTAAAAAATACTCCATTAATCTCCAAATATTTCAGGTGCACCTTAGCAATTATGATACGAATGATATATTTTTGTTGCCTTTGAGGGGAATGTGAACTGATTGTAACAAGAGACATATTATCAAGTAATGGTGGGCTTGGTTGTGATCAGTTTCTGGCTGGCAGATTAGAAGTGACAACTTTCTTAAACCTGCTGTCCATATCATATGTTATGCAATACACCAGGTCATTATAGGGCATGTCTGAATCAGAAGACATTCCAACTTTCTCTGAAATCTTTATTTTAGGTCAGGGCAAATAAACAATGCTCCTTAGCATTAATGTGTACTTTTGTGAAGCGATACCAATCATTACTCTTAAAGCCAATAATTTGGGTATTAAATATCTCTTTACATTGCATTTTTTATTATCATTGTACCATAATCTATTTTCTGTAGTGTTGTAAAATTTCTTGATAATGAATAGTTAATTTGTTTGGCTAGTTGGAGACATATTGATTAATATCAATTTAGAATTGCGTTTTGCTTATCAGCAGGTACTGCTCAGGAAATGGCAATTTAAAATCTATAATTAGTAAATAATACAGATTATACAGTAAAGTATGCTTATAACGAACATGCTTATAATGAATTGACACTTACAGCAAAGTGATTTTCATTCTCTTTGACTTCAAAATATATTGTTATACCTTTTAAAATTGGTTAATATGTAAATCTATACTAAAAAAGTTTAACATTTCCAATGTTTTACTGAGCGGTCAAAAAAAAAAAATTGATGTTTGACTGCAGAGTGAGATATTGGACAGCTTACATAACATCACACTGGGAGGAATCAACTAAATCTTATTCACATTTGTTGTTGTTCAACAGTGAACCTAGCACAAGATATGCCAAAAAAATTAGAAGGTATAATAAAACTTTTACTGACTGTGTTCTCGTGCAAAATGCGTTTTGTCATCCCCTCGAACCAAACTGTTTGCATTTTGCCTAACGGCCTCAGGCAAACAGTTTGGTTCATAGGTCTGACAAAACGCATTTTGCCCTTAAATGTATATTGTGAACCTAACAGATAGTATAACAAATTATATCACGCAATGAAGCAAAATCATCCATCCCTCGCACTTCGTTTGTTTGTATGTTTGTTTATTGTTCAACGTCCCTCTGGAGAGTTTTTCACTCATATGGAGACGCCATCACTTGCCAGTGGAGAGCTGCAAATTTTGACCTATACTCGGCACTCAGTGCCATTGAGCAGTGAGGGATCTTTATTGTACCAGTACCTACTGCGACACGGGACCTTGGTTTATACGGTCTCATCCGAAGAACCAGTCTCCACGTCCCACAGTGGGATTCAAACCCACAATGTAAGGATCAACTCCTTACTCTGCAACTCTAGAGTGAAGGCTCTAACCACTGCGCCACGCGGGCGACCCTGGCACTTGGTAATAAGTATGTTTTACTGTATAAGGATTAGAAATCAATATCTCCAGAACATAGTAAGAAAAAGGGACCTGAACTGATATTTAAAAGCTAAACAGAGTGTCTCACCAGTCCAGTTCTTTCCATCGCAGGTTAACTCCTAGCTTAAGTCAATACCCAATTTAGCTGGGTGGACTGAGACAATGCAGAATAAAGTGTCTTGTCTAATGACACAACATCAAGTGCGCATACCAGGATTTGAGCGATCTTTCAGTTACTGTCTAAACACTATGACATCATACTGTAAACATAGATATTTATGTTATTAAAAGAAGAACATTACGCATGGGGATTATTTCCACAATACTAGGATTATGTATTTTAAAGCTGAACAAAACATGTTTAAAAATGTTCATATTGGGGGTTTATGCTAAAGTTTTTTTATTGCATAATTAGATAAATTACCCCAAACTTGTAAATTTACTTAATCTACGGTATTCTCTTTGACACTGTCTCTGAAGCCTTAATGCAAAATTTTGCAACTTACTAAGGTTAATATTTCCATTCATTTCTGAGGAGAGATTATACTTAAAAAGTAAATACAGTTGAACCTCAGTATCTCGACCACCGATATCTCGAATACCATGGATATGTGGAGAATATTTTGGAAGTCCCAACCACATATTCCTTAAGTATTTTACCCTTGATATCTCGAATCCCCCAAAATCTCAGAAGTTTTTTTCTTGGTCCCATGGAGTTCGAGATAACGAGGTATGACTGTAATAGCTAGGACTCTTTATATTTTGTATATATTTAATAAAAATGATTAATATTTTGACAGGTGATGTAGAGTGTCCAGAGAGTGCAGGTTATTGGACGTGTCATGATGGGATAGAGGAAATCCATAGCTGTTGGAAATGTGATGGAGCACAAGACTGTGATGATGGGTCAGATGAATCCGATTCAGAATGTGAGTATAAATTATAAGGAGTATTATATTAATAACTTGCCAAGTGAGTATTATTTAGAGTATACAGAGCCTGAATGTTGTAGTTCATGTTCTTCATGGTGAGTATGGTCTTAACTCTGATATTTATAATTGTGAATACTGTGGTAACTCTGACATGTATTTGAGTGTTGAGGAAACTCTGACATAGATTGTGAGTATGGCTGTAACTTTGACAGAGATTGTTACTATGGTGGTAACTTTGACATGGATTATAAGTATGGTGGTAATGTAACTCTGACATAGATTGTTACTATGGTGGTAACTCTGACATAGATTGTTACTATGGTGGTATTAACTCTGACATAGATTATTACTGTGGTGGTAACTTTGACATGGATTGTGAGTATTGTCATAATGCTGACATGGATTGTTACTGTGGTGGTAACTTTGACATGAATTGTGAGTATGGTGGTAACTTTGACAGAGATTGTTACTATGGTGGTAACTTTGACAGAGATTGTGAGTATGGTGGAAACTCTGAAATATGTTGTGAGTATGGTGGTAGCATTGACATAGATATTGAGTGTTGTGTGAACTCTGATATGGATTGTGAGCATGGTGGTGACTCTGAAATAGAATTTGATTTCCTGCTGACTCTGACACTTAGTGTGGTAAATCTGGCATTTATTGTGAGTATTGTAGAATTTGAATATTGTGGGGACTCTGACACTGAGTGTGAGTATTACGGTAGCTCTGACAAAGAGAATAAGTTTTTTGGTATTTCTAAGTAAGAATTTGAGAATTGTGGTAACAAAGATTGTCAGTATTATGGTAACTGACAACAAGTTTTGTAGGGATTCTTACAATGTGAGTATTATGAAACTCTTGTCATAGAACTGAGAAAATTTGGTTACTCTGTCACACAGAATGTGAGTTTTGTGTGGGGGTATAAAAACAACTTTTTTGACAAAAACCTGGATACCAGAGCTCCTTTTGAATTTTAAACAGTATCCAAACATCTTTTGGAAAATGACTGATGGTGTATCCTGTAGATGTGCATTATGGAATTTTCACTTTCATGAGGGAGGCTGATAGGGGTGTCAAAAAAGTTTAAAGCATTTTTCTGTAACAATCCATGTTCTCAGATCTTCTCTCACATTTTATGCAGTAGTTAATTCATCTTGCGGAATATGACTGGTTGTGCCCTTTGTACACATGTTGTATGTATGGTGTAAAACAAGTTAAATTTGATAGGATTGTGAGCATTTGCTAGGTCAGCAGATCCCAGTGACATTTCAGTTTTGCCTATAAGTTATTTTGTTTTGGAAGGAAGCATTTCCTATTATTTTTGTGTTTTCACTTAAGGATCCAATGGCATGCTTGTAAACAATACAGTCTGAATCATGATGACAATTTAAATTTAAATGACACAGATATATTTTGTCTATTTCAGGTGTCACTACTTCAAGAAGAAGGAGATCAACAGACAATAGTGTGTACAGTATTATGTCTCTCTCACTGGGTGTAATTATAGCACTTTCATTGTTACAGACATTCAATAGAACAGACAAAGATTATTAATCTGTATCATTTAGCTCCTCTAGTAACATCACAAAAAGAAAATGTAAGAGGAAGTGGAAATTTAAACTTCATCCTCATTCAAGGATTCAACTCATCTTTTTATTCTTTAATCATCCTATGCAACTGAGTAATTTTTTTTTTAATTTCAAAACAATAAGAGAAATTAATTAAAATTTACATTATTTTGAGATGTTTTGCATTACCTATATATGAATGAGTGGGTCTTTAAGAAGTTGACAATATAATGTTAAATATAACTAGGGCGTGAGTTGGATAATCGTATAGCAGGCTCAATATCTGGGAGTGAGTAGATCTGTTATGGTGAGGGGCTCGAAACAGGCATCCCACAAAAGCTAACCAAAATTACATTTTGTTTCAATACTGTTTTAATCACAATTTTTAAGTGTTTATTCAACAATCACTACTGCATGACCTTTTCTACAGTCTTCACCTTAATCTTTATTGTTGACACACAAAAGAAATCACAACATTTAGGCCTGAAGAAAGCTTTTCTAATTCAGGGTGAACATTTTTAAGATAAATATGTATCTGTTTGATAAAGATATGTTTTACTTGATAAACTTGAGAAATTTTTCAATATTGTTAATTTTATCTTCTTCTTTTTTAAATACACTGTAATTAGGAAATATATACTTTCATACTAAGTAAAATATTAAGGTGATGCAAGGCTTATATGTGAATTGACAGAAACAAAAAATTAAAACAGATGTATACACATTCATAAATATAGGGTCTCAGTTGATTTGTGGTTGGTTATGATTTTTATCCAATGACTTGTGTGTTTTTTTTTATATACACATGTATAAAATAATATATATAAAAAGGGGATAAAAAACAGAATGAGTCGGATAAAAATCATATCTAATCACAAACTGAGAGATTCTTTTTATCACATGTTTTATATATAAACCTCAATGTTTTACACTGTTTTTATATGTGAATTCACATTACTATACTTCATTACTTTCACACAAAAACCATTCCGATGTCAAAACTGTGGTATATATATGAAAAAAATATCCATTGAGTGACATCCGGGGGGTAAAGGGTTAAACATGTGATAAGACTTAGTCCAAAGGTAAAAATCTTTCAAGCTTCGTTTTCATGTTTCAGCTCCCTTCAAACCTCTATCACCGTTCCTCAGATGCAATCCAAACTATGAGCGGTGTCCAGGAGAAGAGCTGTGCATTCCACTGTCCAAATTCTGTGATAAACATAAAGACTGTGAACTCGGAGGTGATGAGACCAGTTGTAATGGTAGGTTTATCATTCAGATTGCCAAGTTGGAATGGTTGAAATGATATACAGTTGAATTTCCGTATCTCAACCACTGATATCTTTAATACCATGGATATGTCAATGTGATTTGAAAGTCCCAAACACATTCTTTAAGTATTTTACCCTCGGTTTCTCAAATCTTCGGATATCTCGAACTTTTTTCTTAGTCCCATTGAGTTCGAGATAACGAGGTTTGACTGTATACTAAATTCTGGGAGCTGAAAAGGTGAGAAACTGGTGGTAAGGGTAGGGTTCATTGTAAATTCTGAGCTGAAGATACATGGAGCTCAAGAGGAGATGAGGCCACCTGTTAAGGTGGGTTTATGGTAAATTCATGGAGATAAAGAAATAATTAAAACCAGTTGATTGGTAAGTTTTTAAAGCTTGGATTCAATGAAACCTGTTGTAGTGGTAGATATACTGGAAAATGTAATGATAAAAATCAATTTACTGAAGTAAGAGTACTAAAATCTATTATCTATTTTGAAATTCACATCACCTGTGACAAAAATAAAAATAGCATAATTTTTGAAACTTAATGAAAGAAATAAAATCTTGCAAAATTATAATTGCTGCTTGTTGACAGTTTTGTTGGTAAATAAGTAAAATCCAATATGTTCATAAAATACATCTTTTTTCAGTGACTTTTTCAACAAGCTGTGATAAATTGAATTGTGCGTATAAGTGCACACAGACCAAAGATGGACCGAAGTGTTACTGCGATTCTAGTTTATTCATGATGTCAAAAGAAAATAAATGTGTCAGTAAGTAGCTATATTGCATAATTATTATAAAAAGTTTATGAGATCTTTTTTTTTCAAGCATACCTCAAGTTTTGACAAGCTGATTTTATACCCTTATGGCATCTAAGGTGTTCTTTGAGAAAAACTGTAAATTTTTTTCATTTACTTAATCACAGTGTGTGCCAATGCATTTCATGTGTCAAAACAGTGCAAAATATGACATCACAGTGATTTAATATAAATGAGACATCAAGTGATGAACTGTTTGAGAAAGTAAAAGACAAAAATTACATTTAAAAAAATTACTTGTAAGTATGAAGTGGAATAGGTGATGTAATTATAAGCAGAAAGTGTGCTAAATATATATAGTATACTAAATATACACTTCAAATGATCATTTTTACACATTACACATCACACATGATATGTATACAAACTTTTAGTATATGCTCAATAATCAATTTTTAGAATGCACTCATGATTTATGACACAGTGCATTGTATTGATATAATGCAATATTAAAGTTTTTTAGCTCACGTAAGCCAAAGGCTGAAGTGAGCTTTTCTGATCAAAATTTTTCTGTTGTCTGTTGTTACTTGTGGTCGTTTGAGTTGGCTTTAGCATAAACTTTTCAAAGTTTCATTTTTTTCTCAAGAACCACTGGGCCAATTTCAACCAAACTTGCCACAAAGCATCCTTGGGTAAAGAGGATTCAAGATATTCTCTCAAACCACTGAGTGGTACACAAGGTTCAATGTACAATATATACACAGACAATATAAAAGATACATGTGAAATAGCAGAATAAATACAAGTTAGATAAACAAAAATAACTTAAGGAGGACAGACTTGTTTATATACTTTAGATAAGTAATTACACAATTTAATTAATACACTTGAGTTAGTAGTTGACAAAAATTCTGAAAATTTGTAAAAATTTTGTCTATTACAATATTTTTTGGGAAATGCTTTTTTCCGGCATTCTGAAAAAATTAACATCTAGAATGTAGTGATATACTCATCTGCTACTTGTCCCTTATTAAGATGTTATAAATTACTTGAAGGGCCACACCCTCTTTCAAGGGGAGGTAATTAATAGCATCTTTTAAAAATCTTCTTCTCAAGAACCACTGTGCCAGAAAAAAAGAAACTTTTGTGAAATCTTCATTACATAGTGTAGATTCAAGTTTGTTCAAAGCATGACCCCTAGGTGTAGGGCAGGGCCACGACGGGGGATCAAAGTTATACACTCAAATATGTAGAAAATATCTTTAAAAGTCTTCTTCTCATGACCAGCAAAGCCAGGATTAGTCATATTAATACAAAAGCATCCTCTGTGTAGATTCAAGTTTGTTCAGTCATGACCCCTGGGGGTATGGTGGGGCCACAACAGGGGATCAAAGTTATATGTAGGAATATATAGGAAATATCCTTAAAAATCTTCTTAAGAACAGCAAAGCCATGATCAGTCGTGTTTATAAATTGGAAGCATCCTCATGTAGTGCATATTCAAATTGATCAAATAATGACTGCCGGGGGTAGGTGGGGCCACAATGGGCAATCATAGTTTTACATGGAATGTACAGGAAAAATCTTAGAAAATCTTCTCAAGAACAATAAAGCCATGCTTAGTCATACATGTATTTGTATGGAAGCATCCTCAGGTAGTGTAGATTCAGATTTGCTCAAATCATGACCCCTTGGGTACGCAGCACAGCTAAGGCTGCAATAAGTAGGCGGGGCCTAATTTATACGGGAAATGCTTACTATGACATCACACAAAAATATAAGGTCTTCAATTACCACAAAATGAAATGGTTTGCAATTTTAAACTGTTGGATAGCTTTAAACTACATCAATACTAACTAGTGCATGCATTTTTGTCGTTGGTTAAATCCCACACAACAATATATAAACAATTCACTGATCGCAATGCACTTGTCAATGTGATGTCATATCGTAAAATTTGATGCAGTTTGTATGCAGTGAGAGGCGGATCAAGTTATATTTTATACAATGAAAAATGTATTTTGTAATTAGATTAAATATTATTTGCAGATTCCCGTACATTCCCTAGACAAGCGATACTGTCGTATATTTGTATTCAGATTCACTGAAGGGTAATAGAAGGGTCATAATAAATCGATATATTGCAAGGGCATACCCTCAATGAATTATGACAAGCTTTTACACATAAACTCAAGAAGTATGAAGATATTGTAAAAGTGCTGCGAACCTGTTGAAATCTTGTAAATGAATTAATTATATCTATATTTAATGTACTCGACCAGCAAAATATTCAACATACGGTCTGACAAATGTAATTTTAGCAATTAGATAGTAGAATCTATATAGGTTCGCAGCACTTTTCACAAACTACAAAGAGTGTTGAAAATAATTGTATATTAAACTTAGATTTTTAACTTGGTTATGCCCTTGCAGTATTGGAATTTATAGATGACCTCAATACTTCAGGTATATTTGCTAAAATCACGTAACTGCAAAATTACGTGATAGTCTAAATAAGAAATCTAATTTTCCTCAACCTGTAGTTTTCAACCACATTGCATTCGTCCAATAATAGTAAAGTTCTAAAAAGAATTGCCCATCCTTGTAAAGAATGTATTTTCTATGTTAAAAAGTCACCAATATTTCCATTTAGCACCTTAACTGTACTGCATAGAGCAATCAAAGTTTTACATAGGAATATATAAGAAAAATCTTTAAAAATTTTCTCCTCAAGAGCAGGAATGCCATGATTAGCCATATTGATATTGAAGCATCCTCAGTTAGTGTAGATTCAAATGTGTTAATATTATGACCCCCAGGGGTGGAGTGGACTACTATAGAAGATCAAACTTTGACATAGGAATACATATGAAAAAAATCTGTAAAAATCTTTTAAAGCCATGGTTAGTCATATGTGTATATGGAAGTATCTTCAGTTAGTGTAAATTAAAGTTGTTTCAAATCATGCACCCTTCCCTGCCCCTGCAGGGGATGGGGTGTTTGTAGGGGGACCACTTATCAACACTGAACTGGTTTCTGCTTTTCCAAAGTCCTCAGGTGAGCAATGTGGCCTATGGGCCTCTTGTTTCTGTTTTAGACTATAACCCATGTGATTATCATGAAGGGATCTGTGACCAAAAATGTTCATACAATAGTTCCTCAAGGCAATTCTCATGTTCCTGTACAGATAATTATGGGAAGGATGGAACTCATTGTATTCCATTGAATGGTTGGTTCTGAATTAAGAAAAGACAAATTAAATATTCCTTTTTAAAGCAGTACAGATTTAATATAATTAATTGTTTTTTAGAGGTCAGACTAATTTTTTTCTATATTTTCAGAACCAAAGACTGAGAAGACATATCTCTTGGTGGCTGCCTCAGAGGTTTTATTACAGTTAAATCTTACATCAGATCCCCCCACACTAAGTCACAGCAGTAATGAAGCACATTATATCAGAACTGTTGACTTTGATCACAGAAAAAAACTAGTATGTTGGGTGAGTATGGAAAATTAGGACACCCTTTGTGGAACATTTATTAGTCACAGATTAATTAAGTATCAGAATAATGAAAAAAACAATTGTTATCATAAATAAATATACCCTGATAAGTTATTCCACTGAGGTTTTTTTTTGTAGATAATGTATGAACCACCACCTATAGCAAAATCAACCATGAAATGTATGAACCAGTCAACAACATCCAATGTCATTGAAATTTTCACTCAAGTCACATTAGAAAGTAAGCAAAGCAATAGCATGTTGATATACCTTTTCTGCAAAATTAGACTTCTTATTTAGATGCATAGAAGTTTGTCATGTATTACATTAAATAAGATTTTATCTCATTTTACCCCCAGCAAACAAAGTTTAAGGAGTATGCTGGAATCAGCTATTCTGTCTGTCTTTCTAGCTGTCCATTAGTAGACATTTTTCATCTGAAGATAATCTCTGAAACTATTAATTATTTTTTTCAAGCTTGGTTGAAGTTAATATATACCCTTTGAACTTTTTCAGATTGATTTGTCAAAATTGTTAAAAAAAAAAAAAAAAAAAAAAGACCTTTTAAAAGATTTCATTGTGCATATGTTCTTTGTTAGGAATAAGAGGAGTGCATTCTTGTCTAGATTTTATAACTTTGAAACTGATAGCAACCTTATATCATGGTCATTTGGACAAGTTCAAGGTCACTGGTTGTGAAGTGTAAAATTCTTGTCCTTGACATAATTTTGCAATGAAATAACTCAAAGAGACATCATGATGCAAAAAAATGGAAAATTGACAGAAGTAGGATTTTTGCATTTATTAGGTTTCAGAAAATTACAGGTTTCAGAATGTAAAATAATCTAGTGGGTACTTTTATGGGGAAAAACAATTTTTTTCTGGCCCAAGACTAGAATTTTTTCCATTTTTTTCCTCCTTATTGTATGCATGCTCAGAAAAAGTTGAAGAGGTAACCATGATTTCAATTAAGTTGCAAGAAATGAATGTCGGTAGACTGAGGATTTTGATACAATCTTCAAAAAAGAATATCAGAACAAATTTCTCACCTTGCATGCTCCAATCAATGTTGTTTACAAGTTTTACACTAAAAATAAAAGTCGCGCGATGTTGACATTGAGATAACAACGATACAGTAGATTCAGTGTTTGTTTTCCAGCACTCATATTTTGTAGTCTTTCTTGCTTTACAGTGAGGTTGAATTTGTCAAAACTTCGTTATACTCATATGTTTTATAAGACTTTGGCTTTATAACACAATATCTTAGAAGAAACACATTATTTTAACTCATTATAAAACTTTAAGAAGATCATTATTTTATTATGCCCTTAATGTTGATTATGATCATGACACCAAACAAGGTCATTTAGACAAGGTTATTGTAACAGAGTTCAGAAGTGTCAAATTTCTGAAGGTTTCAGAAAATTAAAATTCTGAAAAGACAAAATATGTATTGAAGGATATCCTATAAATTGCATTTGTGATGTTTGACTTTTTATTTTCATTAGCAATCGAAAACTTTGCCTATGACTGGATTACTGGAAATTGGTATTTTGTTGATGTTGTCAATGATAGGATCATCTTATGCACCTTTGAAGGGGAGAATTGCGCAACCATTCTGAAATTTGAGGATGAAACTCCACAGACTCTTGTACTGGAACCAAATTTAGGGTAATTGATTGCTTAATCCCCTAACACTCGAAGTAGGATTCAGATTTTGGCCAATTTGTATGTTAATTTATCAATTATAGATTCAAAACCAGCAAGATATGATTTTATATGATATAATACTTAGAAATACTAATGGCACCAGGGTTCTCCATCATTTCAAATTTAACTGTGGTGCAAGACACAAAGTGCTGTTTTTGCAGTCATTTTCCGACCAAATTCACAAAGAACCCACTAATTAATTGAAAAGTACACAACTCTTCTGAATCACTAGGCCTAGTTTACACAAATGGTATTTATTATTTGGCAGATTGAAAAATAGATTTAAAGATAATAAGAATGTTGAATAACTGTAGTGTTAAACAAAAAATTAGAATGTTTCCAACATACATTTGCACTGAGGCCCCCCTCCCCCTTACAAACGTGTGCACACATGAATCTATGGTACTCGTACATTCTTATAGATAAACAAATATTAGCTTATAGAACATGAAAATAATAGTAGCAGAAATAACAAGTTTTAATTGCTTTACCTTGATTTTTTAAGAAAAATAATTTTGTTTACCATATGTAAATTATACATATACTGTGTTCATTAAAGGACAGAGAAAATTCTGTTAGGTTACACAATCAAGATTTCATCTATATATTAAAATATTGGTCTCAGTTAACTGGAGTATCTTTAAAACTTGTGAATTAAAAACACTTGAGCAGTTTAGAGTTATAAAATACAATTTTGATGGATATATAATTGTTAATTTTTAACATTACTTCAATGCATGATTACGATACATGTATGATATGTTTTCACTCAGTTTTTTCGTAACTGTGAGTTAAAAGCAAGAGATGTGGTTATCTATAGTAAAGCTAAGTAATTAATTAGTATTAAAAAGTTCCTTTGCAATTTCTGGGAAGTGTGAAAAAATGGCTTGTCTCTTTTCATTCATGCGCAAAATCCAACGAGGTGTAGAAGATGATTGTGCAAGCCAAATAATGGGCCGTAATTAGAAAAAGTTAATGTTTTAGCATTAGAAACTGAAAATTGGTATATAATTTGGAGGTTCATTTTGAAATTTATAAATGTATACATTTATCTTCCTGATCCATTACAAGCTTACTGTGGCTTTAATAGTTTACTGTGACAGAACTGTGGTGCTGATTATTTAACTGTGGCTGCCACGTTAAATGGCCCATGGAGAACCCTGGGAGCTATTTTTGATTGTACCAAACAGCCCCTGAGATCAATTTGTGCTAAATCAGTTCTCAGTCAAAAAGTACCTTGTAGGAATCAATTCCCAATCGAATAGTAGCTCGTAGAAATCAGTTCCTAGTCAAACAAAAGCTTGTAGAAATCAGTTCCCAGTCAAACAATAGCTTGTAGAAATTAGTTCCCAGTCAAACAGTTGCTTATAGAAATCAGTTCCCAGTCAAACAGTAGCTTGTAGAAATCAGTTCCCAGTCAAACAGTAGTTTGTAGAAATCAGTTCCCAGTCAAACAGTAGTTTGTAGAAATCCGTTCCCAGTCAAACAGTTGCTTGTAGAAATCAGTTCCCAGTCAAACAGTTGCTTGTAGGAATCAGTTCCCAGTCAAACAGTAGGTTATAGAAATCAGTTGTCAATCAAACAATAGCTTGTAGAAATCCGTTCCCAGTCAAACAGTAGCTTGTAGAGATCAGTTCAAGTCAAACTGTAGCTTGTAGAAATCAGTTCCCAGTCAAACAATAGCTTGTAGAAATTAGTTCCCAGTCAAACAGTAGTTTGTAGAAATCAGTACCCAGTCAAACAGTTGCTTGTAGAAATCAGTTCCAGTCAAACAGTTGCTTGGAGAATTCAGTTCCCAGTCAAATAGTAGCTTGCAGAAATCAGTTCCAGTCAAACAGTAGCTTGTAGGAATCAATTCCCAGTCAAACAGTTGCTTGTAGAAATCAGTTCCCAGTCAAACATTTGCTTGTAGAAATCAGTTCCCAGTCAAACAGTAGTTTGTAGGAATCAGTTCCCAGTCAAACAGTAGCTTATAGGAATCAGTTCCCAGTCAAACAGTAGCTTGTAGAAATCAGTTGTCAATCAAACGGTAGCTTGTAGAAATCAGTTCCCAGTCAAACAGTAGCTTGTAGAAATCCGTTCCCAGTCAAACAGTTGCTTGTAGAAATCAGTTCCCAGTCAAACAGTTGCTTGTAGAAATCAGTTCCCAGTCAAATAGTAGCTTGCAAATATCCATTCCTAGTGAAACAGTTGCTTTTAAAAATCAGTTCCCAGTCAAACGGTAGCTTGGAGAAATCAGTTCCCAGTTAAATAGTAGCTTGCAGAAATCCGTTCCTAGTCAAACAGTTGCTTTTAGAAATCAGTTCCCAGTCAAATGGTAGCTTGGAGAAATCAGTTCCCAGTCAAATAGTAGCATGTAGAAATCAGTACCCAGTCAAATAGTAGCATGGAGAAATCAGTTACCAGTCAAACAGTTGCTTGTAGAAATCCGTTCCCAGTCAAACAGTTGCTTGTAGAAATCAGTTCCCAGTCAAACAGTAGTTTGTAGGAATCAGTTCCCAGTCAAACAGTAGCTTGTAGAAATCAGTTCCCAGTCAAACAGTTTCTTGTAGAAATTGGTTCCCAGTCAAACGGTAGCTCGTAGGAATCAGTTCCCAGTCAAAAAACAGCTTGTAGAAATCAGTTCCAGTTAAACAGTAGCTTGTAGAAATCAGTTCCCAGTCAAACAGTAGCTTGTAGAAATCAGTTCCCAGTCAGACAGTAGTTTGTAGAAATCAGTTCCCAGTCAAACAGTAGCTTTTGGAGAAATCAGTTTCCAGTCAAACAGTTGTTTGTAGAAATCAGTTGTCACTCAAACAGTAGCTTATAGAAATAATTTAATATGATTATAAACCTTAAATATCTTTACAACAAAACATTTTTTGATATACAATAAAACAAATGTTTTCAGATTGGGGTTTTTTTTCAGGCTGATGTTCTATACATTGAGATCTAAGTCTAAAGGTTGGAGCATAAACCAAGCCCACCTTGATGGTACTAAAAGTAGTGCTTTAGTGGAGGGCATAGATGAGCTGATTAATCCATATGGAATGACCATCGACTACCCAAACAAACAACTATACTGGGTAGATTCCGCTAAAGGCACTGTAGAGAGAATCAACATCAATGGAGAGACAGTAAAAAGATACACTGTTACTAGGGTAAGATACTTGTTAGAAGCTCTCCTCTCTTTTTCTAAGACATACAGGTGAGCCTCCTTAATTTGTCCACTTACTATCCTGAGCCAATCATCTAGATTAATGAAGCGGCCACATTACTGAAACGTATCTGTTATAATGGATAGACATAAATGTAAATTCTTTTCCCTACAAATTTAATCCAGACGCTTGTGTTGCCAAACAAATTGTCCAGATGGATGAAGCGTCTGGAGAAATGAAATGGGCCTTTTTTATTTGGTAGTTATCAATGTATATTCTAACAAATATTGTCCAGCAGGTGAAGCATCAGCATTATTGGTATTTGGAGTAACGAGGCTCCTCTGTACTATGAAAATAATTGTTGACAAAATTTGATGTTGATATCATGATGCATTTTTTTCTAGTTAGAGGCCAGGAAATCAAGAGGCATTTCCATCCTTGGGAACTTTATATATGTGACTGGTGATGATGTGAAGTTAACTCGTATTCATCGCTGGGATAGATCAGTCAAAGTGACCAAGTACATGAACATCAGGATGCATGATTCTTACCAACTACAGATCTACCATCGACTGCGACAGCCCAGTAAGCCTTTACTTCAGTAATAGATTGAAAGGTTTCTTTTTATTAGAACCCAAACATTATTATATGCCAGAAAGTCAGTTTGTGTAAAAAGGATTTATTGCATTTTCTTAAATAATTTTTGCCAAGTCCTAATATTTTTGAAAATTGATTCAGAATTTTTATGAAGGTCTTGTGGCAAGTGTCTAAGCTTATGGATTCTGGGTATGAATATACCATTGTTGGGCTGGGAGATTCAAATAAGACAGGGTTTTTAGCTCTACTGGTCAGGGACCAGAAGAGCGTATGTGATAGTATGGTGTAAGTACCTCTGTCTGTCTGTCCTTCTGTAAAAAATTTTTCATTATCACTAAAAATAGAAATTTCTTTGAAGTTCTTTAAAAATGCTACTCCTAGAATTTAATTTAATTGCACTAAATCTTGCCTCAAAAAGAGATTAAACCAAGGATCATTATTTTATTTATTGCTGTTGCATAGTTTGAGTCCAAGTGCTACTTTTCACTTCCATTGTGATAAGTACAATCCAGTAGAGCTAGAGTCTCATCAGAGACTTCTGGTTATGTTTTACAAAGAACATGACCTTACTTTTACCAAGAACAGAATGAATTTTTTTCAGTTCAGTGGAAAATTCAATTGATTAATTATTATTGTTAATGGATGCAAATAAGTGCTGTATATAAATGAAGCTTAAAATTTAATTGGGCTCGTCCGGGATTTGAACCCGGGACCTCTCGCACCCGAAGCGAGAATCATACCCCTAGACCAACGAGCCATACCATGTGACAATGTAAACATTGAATTACTCAATGACAGCTGCTAGACAGATTACTATGCCAATAAGTTGCAATCTATAGGGGTTGTGTCAAAAGCATTTTTTTTTAAATTTGAAAATAAAGTAGGTTATCATATATGTAACTAGTGACTGCTTTATTAATGTTTTAACTTTATATACTGAGGTACAACAGCATTTCATGTAAATGTACTTTTCTTTTGGTTGGCTGACTGCCAGAGCATGCATTTGTTAATGTTTTGAAATAAGCCCTACAGGTAAAGAGGTGAACAGTGGCCAGGTATTTACTTACCTGTGTTATGTCTGTAGGAACAGCTGATCAAGCATTTTCTTCTTGATTAATATGGTTTATGTTTCATATTTAATAAAACTTGTTACTCAAAGCATTATTCTGGAGATCTAGAAGGCAAAAGTGTGTTTCATTGTTTTTCTTATTTATCATTTCCATAGAATCTTATTTAGTCTCTAAACTACTGATTGTAGAAATGTTTGTATCACAAATGTTCTAAAAAAGTTTTTATTTCAAGTCATTTTGAATTTGTTTACACCTTTTCTGTTATGAATCTCAAAGTCTTTAGATGAGAGGGAGTCACAGAAACTACTAACTGAACTTGAACTGATCTTATGTTTGAAGTGACATTTAGTTGAAGTCAAGTGTCTGCTAATATCAGCTTGCGGAAGTAAATGAATTCAACAGCATGCCTGTTTCATGTAAGGAAAGAGGAAATGTCATTGGGACCTCTTGTAGACTACTTCTAGGAGACTACTTCTAGGAGAACATGTCATTCTCTTTTTGTTGAATTTGACATGTTTTAGGGGCAAGTGACCTTTTGGAGCAGTTCCAGCAACTCTATGCCTAAAGTGTGCTTAACATGGATATGTCTCTTGTTATATACATGTATATATAAAGTATTATTAGTCAAGTCTCAATGCTGAATATTTACTTATAATTTAGTTGAGGTTTTGAAAGTTAACAAATTCCTAGGTAACTATATTTACACTATCTGAACAAAACTAAGCATGGAAGATTCATCAACTGATACACAAACCAGGCTTTAAAGGTGCATTTAACAAATGTTTTAGATTATTAACCAGGCTAACAGTCTGAATAGGTCTATTTAAAAGTACTGGTTTATCTTTGGTTATATTACTCAGTTTAACTGTTGATTTCACACAATCACATGACAGTTTCAGCCACCTTTCTAGATCACCAAACTGTGGTCCTCAAATGAAATGTCTTTTCATAACACCCTATGACTTAAAAAAGATCCTTATTGATTTTGAACTCAAAAAGATTAAAGATCAAGGTCATAAATTCATATAGCATATTAAAATGAACTCCAGATGTTGAGTTCTGTTTGAGCATTTGAAATGAAATTTAAGTTGATGACTCTAACTTGAGAAAGACCTCCATTGATTTTGAGGTCAAAAGGTCAAAGGTCACAAATATATTGCATAAAACAGATGATAAATTAGTTCTCTTAGAGTTTTTGAAAGGAAACTTGATATGGTAATTCCTTTCTTAAAAAAGACCTCTATTCTTTTGGAGCTCAAAAGATCAATGGTCAAGGTCAATGGTCGAAGTCAAAAACTCATATTTGTTATAAAACAGTTTCCAGATTCACTTCAATACTGTCTTTATTAAAAACATGACCTCAATTGATTCTGAAGTGTTTTAATTTTGCTTAACATTGTTTCTGGTTAATACCTCAAACTTCTGTCCTTAAGTGGAGGACATAAATTCCTAGAATTAGTTTGGTTTTTTTTTGAAAAAAAAATTGAGAATGCATATCATATGTCCAAATGTTTTTTTTTTCTTGTTTATGTTGAATTGTTTTTTCAGTCAACCCAGATGTCAACATTACACAGTGTGAAGCTTTGGGCTGTAAACATCTATGTGTGAATGTACCATCAGAAGATGGACTGGTTGCCAAGTGTCTGTGTGAAGCTGGGTATCAACTGGCTAACGATTTAAAGGACTGTACAAGTAAGAATTGTGTTACTTTTTATGTAGACAACTAATTCATTTATAGCAGCCTCTGCCAGACTGGAGTTTTGATATAACTGTGTAATTCTTATGTGGCCTATTCACAAGTATTGAGCTTTAATGTGATTTGACTAAATACATGCTTAGTATATTGCAACAATATTTATTGAACTTGGTATCTAATATTTGAATTTTTTATGCCCCGCCATGAATATGGCCATGGCATATAGTGTTTGTCATGTCCGTCTTCTGTCCTTCCGTCTGTCTTTCCATTGCGCTTTGCGTTTAGCTCAGTTCAAAGCTCAGTTTCAAAGAAATTTTCCAAGATATTTTCATCAAACTTCATATGCTGATAGATATTGAAGAGAGCTATGCAACTGGATCAACATTTTTTTACCTTGACCTTTCGTTTGACTTTGACCTCACTTTTCTTAAGTTAGTGTTTAGCTCAGTTTTAAAGATACCATTCAAGATAGTGTAATCAAACTTCATATGTTGATACATACTGATGAGAGCTATTCAACTGTGTCAACATTTTTTACCTTGACCTTTCGTTTGACCTTGACCTCACTTTTCTTTAATTAGTGTTTAGTTCAGTTTTAAAGAAACCATTCAAGATATTTTTTATCCATCTTCATATGTTGATACATACTGATGAAAGCTATTCAACTGCATCAACATTTTTTGACCTTGACCTTTCCTTTGACCTTGACCTCACTTTTTTTAAATAAGTGTTTAGCTCAGTTTTAAAGAAACTATTCAAGATATTTTTATCAAACTTCATATGCTGATACATACTGATGAAAGCTATTCAACTGTATCAACATTTTTGTCCTTGACCTTTCATTTCACCTTGACCTCACCAATATCAATTTGTGTTTAACTCAGTTTTAAAGAAACCATTCATAATATTTTTATCAAACTTCATATGCTAATACATACTGATGTAAGCTTTTCAACTACATCAACATTTTTTGACCTTGACCCTTTGACCTCAACTTCACTTATTTTAATTAAGTGTTTAGCTCAGTTTTAAATAAACCTCTCAAAATATTTTTATCAAACTTAATATGCTGATACGTATTTGTGAGAACTATTCAACTGCATCAAAAATGTTTGACCTTGAACTTTCCTGTGACATTGAAACCATTTAAGATGTATTTATGTAAGCTTATGCACTTATACATAATTTGGTGAGAATTTATCATCTACATCCAACTTTTTAGATTTCAATTTTAAAGAAACTATTCAAGACATTCTCATCAAATTTCATACACTTTTACAAATTTTCATATTGTAGTCTTAATTAACTTTCTTTTTTATAGTGACTCCAGAATGCAGTCGGTGTAAAAATGGCCAGTGTGGAGATACTGATAAAAAGGACTGTCAGATAAGTAAGTGTTTAACTGTGATAATCAAAAATGTCAGTGAATGTACATCCAAACCTTGAGATCCAGAAGTGAGAAATAAGTAGGTGTAGAAATGACAAATATCCAATTGTTGATAGCCAGGAATGACAAATAAGTAGGTGCAGAAATGACAAATATCCAATTGTTGATAGCCAGGAATGACAAATAAGTAGGTGTAGGAATGGATGATTAAGTGAAAAAAAAACTTTTCATGGTAAATGTGAAGTAGTAGACTATCTGTTGGATCACCCTTGAAAGACGTAAGGCGTAAATCAGTGTCACTGATATCAACATGCCTTTGTCAATTTATCATTAATGTCAGCAGGTCTATATCAGTTGATCACTGATTTCAAAATATCTATATGAGTTTCTTACTGATATCAGTGGGCCTGTATTTGTTTATGACTGATATAAGCATGCCTGTATATGTATGAGTTTATTACCGATAACGATATGCTTATATCAATTTATCGCTAATATCTGTAGGTATATATCAGTTATCAATTATATCAGTATGCCAGTATCAGTTTATTACTAACTGATATAAACATGCCTTATCAGTGTATCAATAATGTCCATATGCCAGTATCAGTTTATCACTGATATTAGCATACCTGTATAAGTTTATCACTGCCAGCAGCATGTCTGTATCAGTTTATCACTGGCTGCAGCATGATGCATCAGTTTATCACTGATATCAGCTTTCCTGTGTCAGTTCATAACTGATGGAAGCATGATGTATCAGTTTACCACTGATATCAGCTATCTGTGTCAGTTTTATCATTGATAATAGCATGCTTCAGTTTATCACTAATATTAACATACCTGTATCAGTTTATCACATATATCAGCATGCAAGTGTCAGTTAATCACTGATATCAGCATGCCATATCAGTTTAACCAGATTTTGCTTCTTTATATACAGGCTCCAGCTGTGAGGAGGGATACAGAAGATGTCCATTAAATGAATGTCTGATGGCAAACTGGTGGTGTGATAGAGAGCCTGACTGCAAGGATGGGGCTGACGAATTGTTCTGTCATATAAGTAAGGATTATACTGTAAGAATGGGGCTGGTGAACTGTTCTATCATCTAGGTAAGGACTGTACTGTTAGGATGGGACTGGTGAACTGTTCTGTCATCTAGGTAAGGATTGTACTAAATATGTATAAGGATGGGGCTGGTGAACTGTTCTGTCATCTAGGTAAGGATTATACTGTAAGGATGGGGCTAGTGAACTGTTCTATCATCTAGGTAAGGTTTTTACTGTAAGGATGGGGCTGGTGAACTGTTCTGTCATCTAGGTAAGGATTGTACTACATATGTATAAGGATGGGGCTGGTGAACTGTTCTGTCATCTAGGTAAGGATTGTAATACATATGTATAAGGATGGGGCTGGTGAACTGTTCTGTCATCTAGGTAAGGATTGTAATACATATGTATAAGGATGGGGCTGGTGAACTGTTCTGTCATCTAGGTAAGGATTGTACTCATATGTATAAGGATGGGGCTGGTGAACTGTTTTGTCATCTAGGTAAGGATTGAACTACACATGTATAAGGATGGGGCTGGTGAACTGTTCTGTCATCTAGGTAAGGATTGTACTACATATGTATAAGGATGGGGCTGGTGAACTGTTCTATCATCTAGGTAAGGATTGTAATACATATGTATAAGGATGGGGCTGGTGAACTGTTCTGTCATCTAGGTAAGGATTGTACTACATATGTATAAGGATGGGGCTGGTGAACTGTTCTGTCATCTAGGTAAGGATTGTAATACATATGTATAAGGATGGGGCTGGTGAACTGTTCTGTCATCTAGGTAAGGATTGTACTCATATGTATAAGGATGGGGCTGGTGAACTGTTCTGTCATCTAGGTAAGGATTGTAATACATATGTATAAGGATGGGGTTGGTGAACTGTTCTGTCATCTAGGTAAGGATTGTACTGCATATGTATAAGGATGGGGCTGGTGAACTGTTCTGTCATCTAGGTAAGGATTGTACTACATATGTATAAGAATGGGGCTGATGAACTGTTCTGTCATCTAGGTAAGGATTGTACTAAATATGTATAAGGATGGGGCTGGTGAACTGTTCTGTCATCTAGGTAAGGATTATACTGTAAGGATGGGGCTAGTGAACTGTTCTATCATCTAGGTAAGGTTTTTACTGTAAGGATGGGACTGGTGAACTGTTCTGTCATCTAGGGAAGGATTGTACTACATATGTATAAGGATGGGACTGGTGAACTGTTCTATCATCTAGGTAAGGATTGTACTACATATGTATAAGGATGGGGCTGGTGAACTGTTCTGTCATCTAGGTAAGGATTATACTGTAAGGATGGGGCTAGTGAACTGTTCTATCATCTAGGTAAGGTTTTTACTGTAAGGATGGGGCTGGTGAACTGTTCTGTCATCTAGGTAAGGATTGTACTCATGTGTATAAGGATGGGGCTGGTGAACTGTTCTGTCATCTAGGTAAGGATTGTAATACATATGTATAAGGATGGGGCTGGTGAACTGTTCTGTCATCTAGGTAAGGATTGTAATACATATGTATAAGGATGGGGCTGGTGAACTGTTCTGTCATCTAGGTAAGGATTGTACTACATATGTATAAGGATGGGGCTGGTGAACTGTTCTGTCATCTAGGTAAGGATTGTACTACATATGTATAAGGATGGGGCTGGTGAACTGTTCTGAGCAATCATCTGGTTAAACTGGTGGACAGGCTGGGGGCAACCATTCCTTTTATTTCATTGTATTCAAATACTCTATTTGGTTATTGAAAAAATTAGACTGTTAAAAGCTGGTTTGCTGTGTCTGTTTTCCCTGTTGATTTACATGTGCATTTATAAATAACTTGTATAACTGCTTAAAAGCTGGTTATTTGAATCATTTCAGGGGAGAGAACTTGTGATGAGATGACAGAGTTTACTTGTGTTAGCAGTAGACAATGTATTGACAGGGAGTTCCAGTGTAATGCTGTAGAGGATTGTAAAGATGGCTCTGATGAGGTTAGAAACTCAGACACTCTTCTATATTTAGAAAATAAAAATAATCATATAAGATAATATAAGTAAAAAAAATTATATGATAATAAAGGGTTATTGAATTTATATTGGTGAATATTGGCATGATTTGGCTGTATAAATGCTTGAGCTTGCGAGTGCATTTGTACAGCCAACGATTGCCAATATTCACAAATATAAGTTCAATAACTACTTTATTAGGTCACCTGAGTTACTTAGGTGACCTATTGCTTTCTGTTTTCATCTGTTGTCGTGTGTAAACTTTTCACATTATCGACTTCTTCTCAAGAACTGCTGGGCCAATTTCAACTAAACTTGCCACAAAGTATCCTTGGGCAAAGGGGATTCAAGTTTGTTCAAATGAAGGGCCATGCCTTCTTCCAAGGGGAGATAATTAAGAATTAGTGAAAAATTAATGGCATCTTTTAAAAATTTTCTTCTCAAGAACTACTGGACTAGGTAAGATGAAACTTATATGGAAACATCCTCAGGTAGTGTTGACTCAAGTTTGTAAAAATCATAACCCCCAGGGTTAGGTTGGGGCCACAATGGACAGTCAATTTTTTACATAGGAATACACATGAAAAATCTTTTAAAATCTTCTTCTCCAGAACCACTGGGCAAAGAAAGATGAAACTTATGTGGAAACATCCTCAGGTAGTGTAGATTCAAGTTTATTAAAATCATGATCCCCAGAGGTAGGATGGGGCCACAATGGGCAATGAAAGTTCAAGGGCGTTAGCAAGTATTTCACTTTGGGGAGGCATCGAAAAGGGAGGGGGGGGTCTAACTACTTTTTGTGACATAAATTAAATAATCAAAATTTCTGCAAAAATCTTGATATTAATTTTTCCCTTTAAGCCAATAGTTTAAAAGTATATCCTAGTTAAAAAAGAACAATTAAATATGCAACAACAACAAAAAATGCTTTATGAGTTTTAAGTTACATATACTGTCTATAAACTAAACAAAACCACGTCATTTTTAAATAGCTAGGAGATAGTTTGTTTAAATTTGTTGTTTTTTTTTTCTGAAACGGCATAGAAAGAACTTTCAAGGCTTTATGACGAGGTATGCGTAAAGATTAAAATACATATAATTTTTAGGAGTGAAACGGTTCAGCGCGGTATCGATTCACCGCGGTATTTTTTCTCGGTTTGATACACGGTGCAAAATCTCTAATTTTCGGTTCGGTTCATTTTTTGGTCGGGATCGTTATTCAGTCGGGTTTTGCATAAGGTAAAACACGCTCCTCAGTATAAATAAGTATAGAAAACGTAAATTTTTGATGACTGATAGCTTGTAAAATAATTTTTGACAGTCAAATAATTTTAGACAATTTCTTCTAGTCAATTTGCATATAAAATTCGTAAAATATGTGACTAGATTTAGAAAAAGAAAGCATAAAACAACGTAGAATTTGTTTCCTTCTATCAAAATGTATCGTATCGAAAATAACCGAACCGAGACAAAATTATACAATACGTATCGAACCGTGAAGGAGGTGTATCGTTTCACCCCTAATAATTTTCTACTATTGTATAATGTGTCTTTTTACTTGCCGAAAGAATGCATAATTAAGAAATTAAAATTGAGCAGGGGGATTAATCCTCGTAATACCTCCATTTTTGAAATGCAGAAATACGTAGATGACATTATAAAAAATATTGACTGAAGTTGTTTAAATAGTAATTTTACCAAGTATTTTAGTATTTTGCTTTAATTTAATAGCTTACAACTTCGATTCATCAAAGATTTCCTAAACTGATCGACCGATTGGTTAGATAATGAACAGGCCTGTTATACGCGGAAGGGGGGGCTCCAATTTTTCCCCCCACTTTCTCCACTTGTTTTCTGAGAAAAGTCTTTTTGCTTAAGTTTTGATATGTAAAAAATTCATTCATTTAGACGCTGCTTGCCTCCCCCCCCCTTTCATACACTTTTTGTTTGTATGTATGTGCATTGTATTACATTTATATGAAAATGCACAGGTGTTTACAATGTACTTTCTTTTTGCCCCAAAAGGGCCCTTAATTGGTAAATAAACAAACTGAATTAAATTGAATTGAATTGTTGCTGTTAGGTTGACCTCGGGCAAACTCCGGCATTTGAAAAAAAAATTAGAGAACCCCCACCCCACCCTCAAAACATAGAATTTCCAAAAACGTTGCTAGCTGTGGGCCTGAAGAATTTGTAGCAAACTTGCAAGTTGCAATGGATACCATGCTTATTGTTACACATGCCGCTCCATTAACCACAGATTGCCGTTATTCGTGCCGATCCATTGACCACAGATATCGCCATTACAAATTTTGTTATTCTGTATTTCTCATTGAAAATTCATTTTTCTTATTTATTTAATTTTTTTTTTTTTTTTGGCAAAATTATTGGGGCGGCGACTGCCGCCCCTTTGCCAACGTCCCTGAAGTTTTACATTGGAATATGTAAGAAAAATCTTGAAAAATTCTTTTCTAAAGAACAGCAAAGCCATGATTGGGTATATTTACATGGAAACATCCTCAGTTAGTATAGATTCAAGTTTGTTCAAATCATGCCTCTGGGAATAGGGTGGGGCCACAATGGACGATCAAAGATTTACATATGAAAACATAGGAAAAATCTTTAACAATCTTCTGCTCAAGAATAGTAAAGCCATTATTGATTTGTCTTATTCATATGGAAACATCCCTGGGTAATGTTAATTCAAATTTGTTTAAGTCATGACCCCCTGGGGTAGGGAGGGGACACAACAGGTGATCAAAGTTTTAATTAGGAATATGTAGGAAAGATCATTTAAAAATCCTCTCAAGAACAACAAAGCCATGAATAGTCATTTTAATACAGAAGCATCTTCAGGTACTAGTAGTGTAGATTGAAGATTGTTCAAACCATGTCCCCCGGGGTAGGGTTGGGCCATAATAGAAAATAAAACTTAAAAGAAAAAAAATCTAAATGGGGGACAGATTAGAACTTAATTTATTAGTTGTTACTGAATACTAGACTAATTATTTCGATGATGCTGATCATCCTATTTCTCTTGCTTTTGGGCAACAAACCTTCTATCAGTTTATTTTATACTCTATGGATTGTTGTTTTATACTCAGGTGACCATTAAGGCCCTTGGGCCTCTTGTTATATAGTTAAAACATCTCTCATTGATTTACATTAATTATTCCAAATAAATAACTCAAACTAATAAGAATTTCTTAGTATCAGTATTAAATTAACGTCTGTCCTGTAAGTGTTCAATATCGCACTATTCCAGTGACCCCATCAAGCATTATGATTTGCTTATTGAGGTTTTATTGAGGCTAATACATACTAAATTATCAATTAATAATTTCAATTTTGTGTGAAAATAAACACATCTTGTCTAACTGCCGCTACCTATCATAAATTTGCGTTTCAGAGGTTGACCAGAAGACATTTCTTGTTTACAATGGGGCGTTCGATATTGAACGCTCATATTTGGGATGTTTTGGGCATACTCATATACGTAATACTAACTCAGCGTTCACAAAACACCAAAATATTGAACGCTAAAATTCTCTAGACTTTTAGTAGTTTTTGTATTATAGACTATTTATTAGCTATATAATAAAATTATATGTAATATATCTTGTAGCTTGGCTGTGATGTGCATTGTGGTGAGGATAAAAAATTCCATTTCCAATGTGATAGCAAAACCAAATGCCTTTTCAATGCCAGTATTTGTGATGGCAAACCAGACTGTCTTGATGGCACTGATGAAAAAAACTGTGGTAATTATGTCTCTCTTATTTTAAATTTAACAAGGGGATTGCTGATATTAATTTTTTTTTTTGAGGGGAGGAGAGAGTTTTCTTTCAAATATTTGTGCACATTGAGCATGTGTATTTTGCTAGTTATTTGCATTAGTACCAGGTATTCAATTTTTACCACAATTATTTTAGTTATACAATACCAGTTTTAAAACACATCTTTAAAAACAAGATTTTTCTTCCAATAACATCAGTTAGCAATTTTTAGCTCACCTGTGAGCTTTTTTTTGATCACATTTTGTCCATCGTCTTTCTGTTCATCTGTAAACTTTTAACATTTTTGACTTCTTCTCAAGAAACACTGGGCCAATTTCAACCAAACTTGCCACAAAGTATCCTTGGGTAAAGGGGATTCAAGTTTGTTCAAATGAAGGGCCAATCCTTCTTCCAAAGGAAGATAATTACAAATTAGTGACTTTTAAAAATCTTCTGATCAAGAACCACTGGGCCAGGAAAGATGAAACTTATGTGAACACATCCTCAAGTAGTGTAAATTTAAGTTTTTTCAAATCATGACCCCTAGAGGTATGGAGGGGCCACAATGGGCAATCAAAGTTTTACATAGCAATACTTAGGAAAAATCTTTAATAATCTTCTCTTCCAGAACCACTGGGCCAGGAAAAATGAAACTTATGTGCAAATATCCTCAGGTAGTGTAGATTCAAGTTTGTTCAAATCATGATCACCAGGGGTTACCCGGTAGGGCGGGGCTACAATGAACAATCAAAGATTTACATAGGGATACATAGGAAAAATCTTTAAAAATCTTCTTCTCAAGAACCACTAAACCATAATTGGTCTTATTTATATGAAAACATCTTCAGATAGTGTAGATTCAAGTTTATTCAAATTAAAGAAAATAAAACTTTTTAAAATCTTCTAAAGCCATTATTTGTCAAAGAAATGTGGTAGCATCCTCAGTTAGTGTAGATTCAATTTTGTTCAAATCATGCCCCCCTCCCCTTAGGAATAGGTTGATACTACTCATAAAATACTGAGCTCCTAGCCAAAGTGCTCAGGTGAGCAATGTGGCCCATGGATCTCTTGTTTATTTGTTGGTTTTGTATGAATATATAGAAACAGGCTGTAAGAAATATATTTTTCTCAAACACATTAGATTTGGAAGGAAATGGAACCATAGAAATTACTTTTTCCCACATTTTATTAAAAATTGTTGATAACACAAAGCTCCTATATGTGGAAAAAATATTAAGAATTGCACAAAATATTGCAAAATTCGGAGGACTGTCATACAACTATATTAGCCAATACCAGTAGACCTTTTATTTGAAGCGTGATATAGTGGTATGTAATACTACAGAGACCTGAGTCTTGTTTAAAAAAGACCTGGAAATCCCGTGTCTTTTATACTAAAGGTGTTTGTTTTATGTTGTAGGGAAAAACTGTTTGTCCAATGAATTCAGATGTGGAAGTGGAGAGTGTATCAATAAGAGGTGGAAATGTGACCAGGAAAGTGACTGTTTAGATGGGTCAGATGAAACAGCTTGTTGTGAGTATAGCAAGCTCTACCTTGTAAGTGTGTTCTTTATAGATTAACAGGAAATAAGACCTGTAGGTGTATTTTTGCAAACTCTGCCAAACTTCATCAATATCTTATACTGTAAAAGTGGTTATTTACGCTGGTTGTTAAGTACGCGTTTGTGACCATCGAACATTACGCGTGGGTGTAATATACGCGGTCGCACAAGTTACTGAGAAAAATTTACGCGGCCATCGTTTACTAACAGCGTGTTGTTCCCCTTTGAAAAGGTCAAGTAGTTAACACGCATGAATAAGAAAAAAAAATAATTAGAAATAATTACATGTACAAACAAACTTAACAAAAAGAATGTATACTGTTGGATTACTAAATATAACGGCGATCTGCACAGTCAAAAGCGATGAAGTGTGAACAACTGGTGTACACTTTATTGTAATTATTTACGCTAGCTCAAACTTCAAAGTGGGATCTACTTACCTGTATCTGCGCGGCGAGTGTTGGCAATTAATTCAATAGGTATGTTTTAGTGACTGTCAGTTTGGGTAACATTTTGGACTTATTATTTGAAATTAGGAGGGACATACACGTACATACAAAGGAAATGAAATTGAGTATCGATGTTTTTAAGCTTTAATTGCGTGACGTTGCTTTAAAATATTTAATATGAAGATGCATTTTTCATTGCACAATTAAAAAAAAAAAAGAACAGTTACTTTTTCATCACTGTTTGTGATGTATTTATCTACTCACGTGCGTTCAATACCACGATTAATATATGACTGGTTCGACCGGTTTAACAGTATAAGTCGTGGTCTAGAATGATTCCAGAAGTTTGAAATTTTGTGACCATACGCGCGGGGGTATTTTACGCGGTTCTAAGCTTAACGCGTAAGTAGTGTATATTTCCCCCATGCGTAAATAACCACTTTTACAGTACATTACAAATAATTTAGATAAAGATTATTTTTATAAAATTTTATTTTCACAGTAGAATGTTGATTTATTGCAAACAATTTTTAACAGAAACATAAGTTTTGTAAGATTTTAAAATCAACTAAAGTTTTTTAGCTCACCTGAGCTGAAAGCTCAAGTGAGCTTTTCTGATCACTTTTTGTCCATCGTCCGTCTGTCCGTCCGTCCGTCTGTCTGTCCGTCCGTCTGTAAACTTTTCACATTTTTGACTTCTTCTCCAGAACCACTGGGCCAATTTCAACCAAACTTGCCATGAAGCATCCTTGGGTAAAGGGGATTCAAGTTTGTTCAAATGAGGGGCCATGCCCTCTTTCAAGGGGAGATAATTAGGAATTACTGAAAAAATAGTGACATCATTTAAAAATCTTCTTCTCAAGAACCACTGGGCCAGGAAAGATGAAACTTATTTGGAAACATCCTCAGGTAGTGTAGATTCAAGTTTGTTCCAATCATGACCCCCGGGGGTAGGGTGGGGCCACAATGGGGGATCAAAGTTTTACATAGAAATATATAGGAAAAGATCTTAAAAAATCTTCTTCTTAAGAACAGCAAAGCCATGATTGGTCATATTTATATGGAAGCATCCTCAGGTAGTGTAGATTCAAGTTTGTTCAAATCATGACCTCCAGGGGTAGGGTGGGGCCACAATGGGGGATCAAAGTTTTACATAGAAATATATAGGAAAAGATCTTAAAAAATCTTCTTCTTAAGAACAGCAAAGCCATGATTGGTCATATTTATTTGGAAGCATCCTCAGGTAGTGTAGATTCAAGTTTGTTCAAATCATGACCCCCAGGGGTAGGGTGGGGCCACAATGGGGGATCAAAGTTTTACATAGAAATATATAGGAAAAGATCTTTAAAAATCTTCTTCTTAAGAACAGCAAAGCCATGATTGGTCATATTTATATGGAAGCATCCTCAGGTAGTGTAGATTCAAGTTTGTTCAAATCATGACCCCCGGGGGTAGGGTGGGGCCACAATGGGGGATCAAAGTTTTACATAGAAATATATAGGAAAATATCTTTAAAAATCTTCTTCTTAAGAACAGCAAAGCCATGATTGGTCATATTTATTTGGAAGCATCCTCAGGTAGTGTAGATTCAAGTTTGTTCAAATCATGACCCCCAGGGGTAGGGTGGGGCCACAATGGGGGATCAAAGTTTTACATAGAAATATATAGGAAAAGATCTTTAAAAATCTTCTTCTTAAGAACAGCAAAGCCATGATTGGTCATATTTATATGGAAGCATCCTCAGGTAGTGTAGATTCAAGTTTGTTCAAATCATGACCCCCAGGGGTAGGGTGGGGCCACAATGAGGGATCAAAGTTTTACATAGAAATATATAAGAAAAGATCTTAAAAAATCTTCTTCTTAAGAACAGCAAAGTCATGATTGGTCATATTTATATGGAAGCATCCTCAGGTAGTGTAGATTCAAGTTTGTTCAAATCATGACCCCCGGGGGTAGGGTGGGGCCACAATGGGGGATCAAAGTTTTACATAGAAATATATAGGAAAATATCTTTAAAAATCTTCTTCTTAAAAACGACAAAGCCATGATTGGTCATATTTATATGGAAGCATCCTCAGGTAGTGTAGATTCAAATTTGTTCAAATCATGACCCCCAGGGGTAGGGTGGGGCCACAATGGGGGATCAAAGTTTTACATAGAAATATATAGGAAAAGATCTTTAAAAATCTTCTTCTTAAGAACAGCAAAGCCATGATTGGTCATATTTATATGGAAGCATCCTCAGGTAGTGTAGATTCAAGTTTGTTCAAATCATGACCCCCAGGGGTAGGGTGGGGCCACAATGGGGGATCAAAGTTTTACATAGAAATATATAAGAAAAGATCTTTTAAAATCTTCTTCTTAAGAACAGCAAAGCCATGATTGGTCATATTTATTTGGAAGCATCCTCAAGTAGTGAAGATTCAAGTTTGTTCAAATCATGACCCCCGGGGGTAGGGTGGGGCCACAATGGGGGATCAAAGTTTTACATAGAAATATATAGGAAAAGATCTTAAAAAATCTTCTTAAGAACAGCAAAGTCATGATTGGTCATTTTTATTTGGAAGCATCCTCAGGTAGTGTAGATTCAAGTTTGTTCAAATCATGACCCCCGAGGGTAGGGTGGGGCCACAATGGGGGATCAAAGTTTTACATAGAAATATATAGGAAAATATCTTTAAAAATCTTCTTCTTAAAAACGACGAAGCCATGATTGGTCATATTTATATGGAAGCATCCTCAGGTAGTGTAGATTCAAGTTTGTTCAAATCATGACCCCCGGGGGTAGGATGGGGCCACAATGGGGGATCAAAGTTTTACATAGAAATATATAGGGAACTATCTTTAAAAATCTTCTTCTTAAGAACAGCAAAGCCATGATTGGTCATATTTATTTGGAAGCATCCTCAGGTAGTGTAGACTCAAGTTTGTTCAAATCATGACCCCCGGGGGTAGGTTGGGGCCACAATGGGGGATCAAAGTTTTACATAGAAATATATAGGAAAAGATCTTAAAAAATCTTCTTAAGAACAGCAAAGTCATGATTGGTCATATTTATTTGGAAGCATCCTCAGGTAGTGTAGATTCAAGTTTGTTCAAATCATGACCCCCGGGGGTAGGATGGGGCCACAATGGGGGATCAAAGTTTTACATAGAAATATATAGGAAAATATCTTTAGAAATCTTCTTCTTAAAAACAACGAAACCATGATTGGTCATATTTATAGGAAGCATCCTCAGGTAGTGTAGATTCAAATTTGTTCAAATCATGACCCCCAGGGGTAGGGTGGGGCCACAATGGGGGATCAAAGTTTTACATAGAAATATATAGGAAAAGATCTTAAAAAATCTTCTTCTTAAGAACAGCAAAGCCATGATTGGTCATATTTATATGGAAGCATCCTCAGGTAGTGTAGATTCAAGTTTGTTCAAATCATGACCCCCAGGGGTAGGGTGGGGCCACAATGGGGGATCAAAGTTTTACATAGAAATATATAGGAAACTATCTTTAAAAATCTTCTTCTTAAGAACAGCAAAGCCATGATTGGTCATATTTATTTGGAAGCATCCTCAGGTAGTGTAGATTCAAGTTTGTTCAAATCATGACCCCCGGGGGTAGGGTGGGGCCACAATGGGGGATCAAAGTTTTACATAGAAATATATAGGAAAAGATCTTAAAAAATCTTCTTAAGAACAGCAAAGTCATGATTGGTCATATTTATTTGGAAGCATCCTCAGGTAGTGTAGATTCAAGTTTGTTCAAATCATGACCCCCAGGGGTAGGATGGGGCCACAATGGGGGATCAAAGTTTTACATAGAAATATATAGGAAAATATCTTTAAAAATCTTCTTCTTAAAAACAACGAAACCATGATTGGTCATATTTATAGGAAGCATCCTCAGGTAGTGTAGATTCAAATTTGTTCAAATCATGACCCCCAGGGGTAGGGTGGGGCCACAATGGGGGATCAAAGTTTTACATAGAAATATATAGGAAAAGATCTTAAAAAATCTTCTTCTTAAGAACAGCAAAGCCATGATTGGTCATATTTATATGGAAGCATCCTCAGGTAGTGTAGATTCAAGTTTGTTCAAATCCTGACCCCTGGGGGTAGGGTAGGGCCACAATGGGGGATCAAAGTTTTACAAACGAATATATGGGGAAAAAATCTGCTGCTCAAAAACAGCAAAGCCATTTGTTATATTGATATGAAAGCATCATTAGGTAGTTTAAAATTCAACCCCCACCCCCACACCACCCCTCCCCCACCCCCCATAAACTTTTCAATACTGAACTGATTTTTGCTTTTTTTCCTAGCCAATGTGCTCAGGTGAGCGATGTGGCCCATGGGCCTCTTGTAGTCTTAGTCGTACGTAAGTTCTTTTGTAAAACAAGAAAGCTAAAACCTTAATTAACTTAGATAATGCTGTTTCCTTTTGTTGCAGGGCATCAGAAAAATTGCTCTGAGCATGAATTCAAGTGTGAGATTGATGGCAGCTGTATACTAAAGAGCTGGCAATGTGACAGAGAATATGACTGCAAGGATCGCTCTGATGAAGCCAACTGTAGTAAGTTTGAACTGCACTGTTTTATTACCATATTTCTGATGGTCTACGCAGGGGCATTTTTGATTGTGTGTCCATTACAAAGAATTGATTTGAATTTCTGTATTTTCAGCATACCACACTTGTAATTATCCCAATGTTACTTGTGGTAACAATGAAAACACCAAGTGTATCACCCCAAATCAAATGTGTGATAACAATACAGACTGCCCAGATAATAGAGATGAAAAAGGATGTAAATCAGGTTTGTTATTGCTGCTGCCTTTAAAAAATGCTGTTCACATATGTAATGTCACTTATATGTATAGTATTTTTCTGTATGTGCTGATATTGTTAACTTCAGATATTGTTTTTCATTTCTGAAATTTTGACACATGTTTCACAAATACTTGTTACATGTTTCACACTAATTTATATGCATAAATCCACAATATTTGACTTGATAAAATTCACACAAAAACCATTGTGACGTCACAACTAGATATGAAAAGGATATTATTATATGAGCTATATCCACTGTGTAAAGGAATAAACAAGTTTTGTTTCCATCAATTATTTAAATGTGTAAATTGTCATAGGTTGGACATAGACTTACACTCATTAAAGCAATGTGAGCTGCAACTTTGATGTAGGAAATTTTTGTTGCAAAATTGTAATTAACTATTTGAATGGCAGAAAAAAAGAACATTTATAAATTTCTGTTGTTCATATTTGCTGGAATAAATATTTATAAGCTTTGATTTAAGCAAAATTACATTATTGTCATCCTGTACAATATTGATCTCTTACAAAATACTATATATTTGTCTATACAGAAGTCTTTCTTTTTAAACAGTTTAATACCGTAAGTTTTGGGGTATAGGTCGATACTTTTTTTCTCAGAACCGTTGGGGTCGCCCAATTTAACGAATCGACCTTTCTAAGGCTCAAGTTTATGAAAAATGCCCCCAAATTAGTGAAATTTACGTCAATTTCAAAACAAATCTGTGCCATTTTCGTAACTTTTTAAATTATTTTACCGAGAAAAAAGTACTAAACAATAAAGAATTAAATATCTCCCATTGATTTCTTACAAAATAAGTTCCATTAAATATCCGTCGATGTACAAAAAAACATTATATCATCTAGTAAATAATGTCTCAACGTATATTTACAACATGCTTTGTCCATCTTTTGAAGTTGGAAGTCGCAATCGCTTACTAAAAATAAAACCGCAACCGTATCAAAGTTTAAAATACGGAAGCGTTTTCACAATCGCAGATGTAATCTTTTTTTTTCCATTTATTTGTAACAATTAATTGAAATAGTATACCTAAATATTTTTTCATTGTCTTGTGATATTTATTTAAATGTAAAATACGTGAAATAAATTGTTGCCAGTAAATTCCTAAAATTATTTACCAAATATACCGCTAGTCATAACTATTTTGTTTTATATCCCAAGGGGTACACTGAATTATACGAAGATTGGCTTCTAATAGAATTTTAATTGTCTGACAGAAAAGGGATATACACTGTGTACACAAAGGTGTTAACACCTGTGTTGGTTAAAACACCTGCGGGGCATGATTAACAGATCCACGTGCCGTTACAGGGGTATTAGTGCTATACATCATTGAACAAACAAAACTGTGAAATTCATAATGACTGTTAAATTGCGAATGTACTCTCAATTAAATTTATTTTTTCAGCAATATCTCAAGCAAAATTATAGCATGTTAATATAACTAATTTCAATTGCTCACTGTTACATGTACTGGTAATAGTCATTTGCGTGTTTTAGCAAATCCCTGGACAAGAAATATAAAAATGGCGGTCATCGAAGTTAATATTGTACCCCGGGAAATAACGTCGAAATAAAAGAATGTGTCCAAGATGTTCTAAAATGGAAATGATTATTGTTTGATTTCGGGTATTTCCCTAATAATAGCTGTTGTATACTACCGTATTTATGTGTTTAAGGACAGAGTCAAACTACGACGGCATTGAACAGGCAAGTTGGAGAAAATACGTTATATCACAATTCAAGGAAATTTTAACTATGTTTGTATAAAACACTATTAAAATGCTGTACTTATAAAAAATACCAGTTTATTTTCTCAATACGTTAATATTACGGGTTAAGTTAAAGAGGTTTACATGTTCTGATACGTAGTATATACGTAAGAATCTCTAGAAAATCGATAAACAAAGCCTCGTCCTATCTTCCGGATTCGTCCTATCTAAGGATTTTTTAAAAATTACGTCTGAAAATGAGCCTTTCGACCTATATACCCCATCGACCTATACCCCCAAAATTACGGTACTTTATTGTAGTCTTACTGATCATAAAGGGTTAAATTACTCACAAATTTATCATAATAACACATTTTAACAGCAAAATGAAATTCTCAAAAATGCATATTGCTTTAACAAATTGAAATCACTGAGGAATTTGAATAACAGTTTGTCAGCATAACTCCTCAATGGCAGATTCATGGGGGTTGGGGGGGGGGGGGGGTCTGGACCCCCCCCCCCCCCCCCCAATTTCAAAAAAAAATTTTTTTACCAGTGTCATTTTAACAATATATTTCATAAATGAAACTGATATATAAGGAACGTCCTGTCAAAGCAAGAATTTGCCACTTTTTTATTGATTGTTTTTCAAGACTTTTTTTCAAGCATTGGGCTGGTAAGTGGGTAGAAAAAAAAAATATTAAAGAGTGCATTTATGTTAGAAATTATAATTAACCCCCCACCCCACCCCCAAATGAATAAACAATAATTCCAACCATTTTCCAGAAATAATTTATATTTATTCTTCAGAATGTAAACAGTATAGTCAAGTAGTTGAAAAGAGTAATTAGGGACTCTACACAGAATCCAATTTTTTCTAAGTGTTGGGAAATTACAAATCAGTTGTATTTTGGTAGTCAGAGCTTCACATGCGACACATCGAACGTGCATTTTAAAATGAAGAATTGGATATTATATATCAAATGGTGATATTTCTAATATTATAAGATTTACATTTAATTTTTTTTTTTTGAAAAGTCTCATTTTTTCATGTTTACATGGAAGTTAAAAATAATCCCAAAATTTTAATTTTTTGTTCAAATTCTTGAAAATTTGGGTAAGTCGGTCTTGAAAATCAACCAGAAAAAGTGCTCAAAAGCTAACTATAAATTCAATCTAAAATGCTGGAAAATGCACAATTTGGAGCCATTTCTAAAGAAAATTTCTCGGGGGAGGCCCTCCGAACCCCCACCTGTGGGAGGGGGAATTTCCTGAAACTTCGTAGGTATTTCAGACATAACGTGTAGATTTGTATGTTGCCAAGAAATTTTGATTCCATTATTTATCTAGAAACTTCAACCCAATTAAGTTTGTAATATACAAAGATTTGAATGTCCTTATATGCAAGAAGTTTTGTTGTGATGATTTTTTGCAAGTAATGCCCCTTTTTGAATTATACTGTGTATTTAAAGTGCACCGTGCCATTCATTATGTGTTGAGTTGTCAAGTTTTGGGGAGTGTGGGGTATGTGAGCTTGCTCACTTTTTCTTTCATTATCTGGATAAAACTGTATATTGTATGCTACATGTTATTATGTGGATAAAACTGTATATTGTATACTACATGTTATTATGGATAAAGCTATATATTGTATACTACATGTTGTTATACTGATAAATCTGTATATTGTTATCTGGATGTTGTAGAAACAGAGAGCTGTAGGAACCACAGTTGTTCTGATATTTGTCATCCTGCCCCACCAGACCTTGTGAGGCATCCTTATATCTGTCTCTGTCAACAGGACAGAGAACTGGGGTCAGACAACAGGACCTGTAATCGTATGTATTAGTTCAGTATTTTGATATATTTTGTAGTATTTAGATAACTGTTTTGACTTTTGGTTAACAATATACATGTATTCCTATTTTCAGCATCAAACATTTGTCAGACATGGGGTATATGTGGACAGAAGTGTGAGAAGTCACAGCGAGGGCACGTGTGTTCCTGTAATAAGGGCTACCACTTGGAATCTGATGGCTTCACATGCAGACCACTTGGCAAGTGGCAATTTAGATTTCAATAATGAAACCTAAATCAGATTAAAAGTTATTACAGAATTTCTTTCCTCTGTAAAACAAGCAAACACAGTGACATTTTATAGCTCTGTAAATAGCTATTTGTTTAGTTTATCAGTGCATTATTCATCTAAAAAAATTCTATGAATTTATTTTCATATTCTCTACTTATATCCTGTTTTCTCTTTGAATACAGAATTTCATTTTTTTTTTTAGTTAGAGCAAAGTTATAGGTTTTGTAGTCATCTCAAATGTGTATTTTGTTCTCTATCTTACATGTAAGTAGAGAGCAGCAATTCTACTTACATTTTGATGATATCTGTTTTTGAATTTTAGATAATGTGCCTGTTTATGTAATATTTTCTAACCGCCATGAGATGCGCAGTGTGGACCTTACAAATCACAATTATGCTGCCCTTGTATCAGGCCTACACAACACAGTGGCTTTAGATTTCTATTATGCCCAGCAATATATATTCTGGACTGACGTGGCAGATGACAAAATCTTCAGGGGCAAACTACAGGGAAATGGTAAATTACTGATATTTAAACAAGTAAACAAGAATAAATAAGAAGTCATGTAACGTTTACAAGAGCAAAAAGCTTGAGCTGTTTTTTTACCTGTGTAGGTGAACAAGTTGAGATAATTGAAATTAAATGTATATTAAATTGGCTTTATTGGAAGACTTTTTATATAAATTATGATTGTAATTTTAACCAACTTTTTCTAGCTTTAAGAAAAGTTGAATCTGTTGAACATTTTGGAAGAGTTTTTTTTACTATTCATGTGTACAGTTAAAATTTATTCTTTTTTGATAATTTACATTATCTCCTCTGTAGAATTTTATAATACAGTGAATATTTATTCTGTTTTGATATGAATTGTTATTATATAGTATCTCCACCTTGATTCACAGAAACTACACTGTGATCCCACTTTAAATGACTGTGAAAATGAGTGTCTTTTAAGTCAGTAGTCATGAAAATGTTTTTAAATCATATTTTAAGTTGTTTGTGATAAAATTATTACATTGTATCAGTATTTACAGTACCTTGATTTTCTTTTTGCCTTCACAGCCTTGACTGATATCACACCAATCGTAGATATTGGGCTGGCCACCACTGAGGGTCTGGCTATAGACTGGATAGGAGAGAAGATTTACTGGGTGGAGAGTAAACTCTACCAGATAGAGGTCGCTGGCATTAATGGAGAAAATCGCACCACACTTATTGCTGGTAACATGGTCAGTCCTAGAGCCATTGTTCTGGATCCTAGAGTCGGGTAAGGTTTTCACCATTAGTGGACTTTTCCTGATTTCATAACAAATTTGTATCATTTAAGTGAACTGACTTTTTAAGTAAGCCATAAATATATTTTTTTTTTCAGAACCCTGTTTTGGACAGACTGGGATACAAACAGCCCTAGGATTGAGACTTGCTCTATGGCTGGAGAAGACAGACATGTAATATTTCACATCAGACGGATTGTAGAAGGGGGTTGGCCTAATGGATTAACCATTGATTATGACTTTAAAAGACTCTACTGGATTGATGCAAGGTACAGTTCTTATCAGTTCATGTCTACTGAACTTTATAGGAATGAGGGTTTAATTTTTTTTTGTACAATAGTAAATTTTTTTATCACAAAAAAAGTTAAGACTCTACACATGAAAAATTCAATTTGATGAAGGCGTTGATTACAAATAAAAATGTTTTCAATTTGTTTGTAATTTTTAGATCTGACTCCATTCACACAGTGACATATGAGGGACATGATCATCGTCAGGTTCTACAGGACAGAGATAATATCAGACACCCGTTTGCTCTGACTCTGTTTGGTAACCATGTCTACTGGACAGATTGGGGCATTAATGCACTTGTCTCAGTAAGATTTTAAGTCTTTAGAATTTCTAAATGATATTGTAGTATGGGTAATTTTGTTGATTTTAGGTAATATATTGTAGTCATGTATGGTAAAATGTCTTCATTTCTTTATACGGGTAATTATAGTTATAAATGCATTGTATTCTGTTCTGTGAAAAAAATCAATTAAAATCATTTAGTGACTGTAATTCTTTTACATTTAAAATCAATCATATGTTGTTATTAAAGGCTAACAAGTTTGATGGCTCTAATGTGACAATAGTTAAACGAACCAATACCCAGCCATTTGACATCCAAGTCTATCATCCCAAACGTCAGTTGTCATCACCCAATCCCTGTGCAGTAAACAATGGAAATTGTTCCCACCTATGTTTGATCAGTTACAACAACACAGTAGGTTGTGTTTGTCCTCATCTCATGGAGCTGGCCGCTGACGGAAAAACATGCAAACGTACGGATATAATCACAGTGTCTTTAACTTTGTTTGGCAAATTAGTAATTAGGAAAAAAATAAAATGTAACCTAAATCATTTATAAAACTATAATATTTCTTAAGCAAATATATGCAGATGCATGTTTATGGTACGTGTAAGTGTTTGATGAAGAATTCGTAGCTATGTCAATTAGATATTTTGATTTGAAAATATTGAATCTACAGATTTATGAATTAGTATTTCTTTCTGACAGCTGATCAAAGTTTCCTGGTGTTTGTACGGAGAAATGAGATCCGTGGAGTTGACCTGGAAAATGCCAATTTCAGTGTTATTCCCACCTTAACTACTCCATATGTTAACAAGCCCATAGCAGTTGATTACGATGTCAGTGATGAAAAGGAGGGACATTTATACTGGGCTGACCAAGAATTAAAGGTCATAAATAAATCACCTCTGTCTGGGTCAGAGGTCAAAACTGTCATTGACTCAGGTATGATTGCATTTTAGCTAATCCAATAAATGTTATTCTATATAAACTACGAAGTGAAACAAGTTTGCTTGTATAGAAAAGCAGTACTATCTTTATACCAGTACATTTGGACTTTTCTTCTTAGGAAGAGCATTGACTTTAGATGGATTTGTAGTGGACTGGATTTCCAAAAATATGTACTTTTCCACCTATAATGACAAAATCAAAAGGGGCACCATTACAGTGGCCAATCTAGATGGGGCCTACAGAAAGGAGATCTTTGTGAAGAATAGCACCAAAGTCAACTCTATCACGGTTAGCCCCATCTCTGGGTATGTATGAGATCTGGAACAATGACTTCTCCAATAAAGCATAAATGTTAATTCTGTGTGCTGGTAGAGTCTTGCTTGAGATAAAGAGCAGATTCACCCCTATACATTTATATTATATAGTATTATTAAATACATGTATAATATTCATTGATCATAAATATTTTACCATTATAACAAAATACAGTAAAACATGAATATAGCAAACAGGCTTATCATGAATTGACACTTACAGCAAAGTGATTTTCATTCCCCTTGGCTTTAAAATACATGTATATTATTAACTTAACAGATATAATTAATTACATTTTTAACGAAGCAGAGTCATATTCTGTCTCAGTAAAAACATATAAAATTGAAGTAGAATTTTAATTTTGTAAGCATACTTTCTTCTGTTGAGTCATAATTCCACAAAATTACAATATCTGTTTAATCAGTGGGTAGAAAATTATACAGTTTTCTTGAATTCCTATTATATATCTTAAATGCTCTTTAAGTGCACGGTGACAAATTTCTGCAGGAAATTTGTTATTTTGTACGTAAGTACACAAAGATGTGTTCTCTAGGACCTTTGAATTAATTTTTCTTTATTTCAGAAAACTTTATTTCTCTGTCTTTAATGAGGACAACATTTATGGTGCTAAAATGGATGGGAGTGATGTAAAAGCTGAGATTACAGACGCCAACAGACCAACAAGTAATGATTTCACTTCTAATGTATGCTTCAGGTCTTATTTGTTATAATAGCACACAGAGTTGTGTGATTTTGTAAAGGTTATTCTTAATATTGGATTTGAATGCATTGATCACAGATACTTGTGGAAGATTTTTACAAAAAGCATTACCATAAGTCAGTCTGAGGCATGTGAACTGTTTTATGATAAATTATGCAAAAAAATATGTACTTTAATATGTGTATGATATAAATATGTAAATTTGCATACATATGATGTATGATATTATTTGTGCAGAATTTATGAACATGTATATGTATCTGGTTTATTCTTTCTTTTTATGTCTTTCTCCTATCAATCATGCAATTCTTTCTCTCTTGTTTGTGTGTGTTTATATTGTATTACATGTATATGACTATATATAAATGTTAATTTACAATGTACTTTCTTTTTGCCCCATGAGGGCCCTTAATTGCTAAATAAACTAATTGAATTGTGGACAGGACCCCCCCCCCCCCCCCCCCCCCCAATATTCAACCCCGGTGCTTGTTGGACATTTTTTCACAAATTATATTTATTGCACTTATTCATCATGTGTACCATAGGAAAAAATCGTGAAACCCCCAAAATAATCGTTCCACACCAAAAATGCCTCACTATACATTATAAGAGAGAAAGGTATGCCACTCCGGTTTGTTTACGTTGTACCCCCGCTGGTCTTTCTGGGTTAAAAACATGTTTATATTTTATTTTAACGTAAAATGTCGGTTCACACTGTCTCTTCATATATTTCTGTCTTAGTTAATACTATCATATTGACTCTGCATCTCGTAAGAATCCCACAATTAATCCTTAAACAGCATTACAGTCAGTGCGTTGAAAAATCCTTAGGTAAACGCAACTGTTCCAACCCACTTTATACCGTATAAATTGGGTAGCTATTAATTTCATTCCTTATAATTTAATTTTCATTCATTTAGTGTGAGAAAAAGAGATGATTGTCTTTAAAAAATGACTTCAAATTGTACAAAATTTAGAGGGGGGTCCTATCCACAAGTACCTTTGGCATTGATTAGTTCACCGTAATTGTGCTATCATTTAATTATAGATCATATGTATTGACTCTGTTTTATGATTTGTTCTGGAATCTTAACATTTTCTGTTTCAGATTTGAAATATAGTGAAGCAGATGGCAGGATATATTTCCTCAGTGAAAGGAATAATTCAATAATAGCCTGTGAAATATTAAGTAGTCTAAAATGTGAAAATATTTATAACTCAAGCAGTAACCAATCAGAAATTCAGTACACCATGGCGTTTGCAGTAAATGGTCAAAAAGGCATCTTTATTGCACATGACCACAAAATTGCAAAGTTGAGTAAAGGAGAGCAGGGCTACAGCTATTCTATTTTACGGGACAAGACAGATGATGTCATAGCAATGGCTGTTTATGACAAGTCACAAAGAGTCAATGGTAAGATATACATGTAGCTCCTCTGAAAGTAGATAGTTCATATACTGTGTTTATAGACTTATTCTGGACAAGAACCAGTATTTAGTTTTTGTGATATTATCTGTTTTAAATGAAGTAAAAGATAAATTGCAATTTTTTAAGGCCACCTATAAGATGATGTGTCTAACTTTACAATAGACACAGCTTGTAAAATTGCAGTAAAATGAGATGACCTAATTCTAAATCAATCTTCTAAACTAATGCTATTAACATTAGATTAAGAAGACCTGTTTAGAATTTAAAAAAATGTTTGTGTGTGTGAATGGACTTCGAATTTATTCCAGTAATTTTGATTATGACAGATACCAATGCATGCAGAACTAACAATGGCGATTGTTCTCAGTTGTGTCTGCCAGTAGGAAAAAACAAACGTGTCTGTGTGTGTACTGCCGGGTATCAACGCAAAAATGAAACTTACTGTGTCGGTAAGAATGTTAAATGTCACATGCAATCTGTATTTGTCTGTGTTTTCATTGCAGATTTTATATACATTGAACTTCTAGATGTGTACTTGATATTGGTATGCATCTTATTTATTTGTAGGTGATTGTCAATATTTTTTCTGTTCTCAAAAAGAAAAAAATCTTATGGATTGAATATTTTTTATGATGAATTGCTACATATGGATTATGTTGTTTTAGTAATTGATGAACTTCATTTGGACTTTTGTTTTCAGATTTACGACGTATGTAATGTTTAAAGTTGTTGCTTTCTGTCATTTTACCTTATTTAATGGCATCTTAACTTTCAGTATAGATTTGAAGGTCCATGTTGGTCATTTATAGCATGTTCGTGGTCATTGGGCAATGCCCACACCTTATTCAAACCTGAGTATAGAGTTTGCTCTTGATGTAATTCATTGCAAGATTTCATTTTGATACCAGTCAATCAGTGTCAGGATTTTATATGTTGAATGCTGTCTGGAATGTTTAAACAACATTGTATGAGATCCTGAAAGTGCCTTGTAATTAAGTCTTCTGTTGAATTAGTTACTAATTCTTGCTTCTGAGCTGTTAAAAGTCCGGGTTATGTTAAAACTCCCGGTTAGAGGCATTGCTGTGGTTTGTTTTAGGATTGTTCTTAAATCTTTTCAAAAATTTAGACTCTTTTTTTTTATTTTGTAATTTTTTTGGTATTTTTTTTTTAATTTGCCATAGACAAGCTGAGCAATGCCTCTTATTGTGAATATATGTTAAATGAGCAATGTGTAGATGCACTGTGAAGTAACAAGCATGATCTAAACAAAAATATCTTCAATTTCTGTCTATATAAGATGGAGAACTTCTTAAAGAAAAACTCTACCTTAAGCTTTAATTGCAATATGAAATTAATATTGTTTGAGTATGGGGTTAGGCTGGATGAATGACACTTATGTTTTAAATGTTTTTGTAGGAATTGATTCCCTCATCATATACTCTGCTGTGTCAGAGATTAGGGGGATCACATATGACCCCCAGAACAGTACTGAGGCTCTGCCCTTCATCTCCCAGATCCAGAAGGCCACTGCTATTGACTTTCATGCAGGTGAGAGAAGGAAAAACAAACAAAAGAACAGACTCTTTTGTTATCAAGATTGTTGGTAAAACCTATCAAACATTACTAGAATATGGTATGTACATTATGTATTATTATATATTTAATAGCACAAGACTATATTTACTGGGTGGAGACATCACCAAATTACCAGATTGCTCGTATCAAGCGTGACCTAACTGGATATGAGGTGATCATTTCGGATGAAATTGGTAGAATTACAGATATAGCTGTCGACTGGATAGCAGGTGAGGCAATGGATTGTTTTAAAAATAAATGTGGGAAATTCATTGTTTTACTCCACACTAATATATAATTGATGTACATCTATGTGGTCGTAGATATGAGCAAGAGAATGGAATAACATTTTAATTTTAAATCAACTTTAAAGAGATTCTCTTTAGAATTTAAGCTTTTATTCTGATGGTATTTTCATTTAAAAGAAAAGGTGTGAAACTTGACAGATTGTGTATAAATGAGAAAGGTAAAACTTTGATTTTCATAGTTCCACATTGTTACAGTACATTTTTTTTGGCATAGGTCATTTGTATTGGACTGATTCTCAGAGGAAAGTAATAGAATTGGTACAGCTAAAGAAGGCCAGCTCTGATGAAGAGCTCAGGAGATACGTCGTCATTCATGATGGCTTACAGAATCCACAGAACATCGTTCTAAACCCTAAAGAAGGGTAAGATATAGAATCCATGGGACGTTGTTCTAAATCCCAAAGAGCCCAGGACATTGTTATAAATCCCTTAGATGGGTAAGTAATAAAACCTAGGACATTGTTTTAAATCCCAAAGAAGGGTAAGTAATAGAATCATCAGAACATTGTTTTAAATCCCAAAGAGGGGTTATTAATAGAACATAGGACAGTGTTTTAAATTCCAAAGATGGGTAAGTAATAGAACCCAGTACATTGTTCTAAATCCAAAAGAATGATAGGTGATAGAATCCACAGAATAATGTTCTAAATCCCGAAGAGGGATAGGTGATAGAATCCACTGAGCATTGTTATACATGTAAATCCCAAAGAGTGGTAAGTAATAGAATCCAGGATATTGTTTTAAATACCAAAGAGGGGTAGATGATAGAATCCACTGGACATTGTTCTAAATCCCAAAGAAGGGTAGATGAAAGTTGTAGTTCACAGATTACTGGTATTCTAAATCCCAAAGAGGGTTAGTACATAGATGTCATATTGTCTGCTGTTTTCGGATGTTCAACTGTCATTTCATATTTGTGTGTTTTGGATTGTTGTTGACAATGATAACTCTTATTCTTTCCTTATTTCATGTAAACTTAGTTTGTTTTAGAAGTTTTTAGCATTCATTAAATGATATCATGCCTCTAAGCGACCTCTAAAATTTAGGCGCCAGCTGGCTCCTAAACAGAAAAATTTAGTCGCCATTGCAAATTTTTAGTTGCCAAACACATTTTTCTCAGATGCCAACTTTAAAAGCTGATATTGGTCAAAATATGGGACCACTGGGTTAGTCATGGGGTGGGGGGAGGGGGTCTGTTGCAATTGATTTTCTGAAGCCAATTACCCTGGACTGCTATTGTCTTATCTGGTCTACCTAAGCTCTGCGACGTGAAATTTCGTTTGCACGTGCGTGACTAAAAAGCAAACAAGGTGACAAAGAAGACATTTTTATGCCCCGCCATGAATATGGCCAGGGCATATAGTGCTTGTCATGTCTGTCTTCCGTCTAGCTGTCTTTCCGTCTGTCCTTCTGTCACACTTTGTGTTTAGCTCTGTTCAAAGCTCAGTTTCAAAGAAACTATCCAAGATATTTTTATCAATCACCATATGGTGATAGATATTGATGAGAGCTAATCAACTGCATCAACATTTTATGACCTTGACCTTTCCTTTGATCTTGACCTCACTTTTCCTAAATTAGTGTTTAGCTCAGTTTTAAAGATACAATTCAAGATAGTGTAACCAAACTTCATATGTTGATACATACTGATGTAAGCTATTCAACTGCATCAACATTTTTATGCCCCGCCATGAATATGGCAGGGGCATATAGTGTTTGTCTTGTCCGTCTTCTGTCCTTCTGTCCTTCCATCCTTTCATCTGTCCTTGCATCACACTTTGCGTTTAGCTCTGTTCAAAGCTCAGTTTCAAAGAACTATCCAAGATATTTTTATCAAACATCATATGCTGATAGATATTGATGAGAGCTATTCAACTGCATCAATGTTTTTTTACCTTAACCTTTCCTTTGACCTTGACCTCACTTTTCTTAAATTAGTGTGTAGCTCAGTTTTAATGAAACCATTCAAGATATTTTTTAAAAACTTCATATGCTGATAATACTGATGAGAGCTATTCAATTGCATCAATATTTTTTGACCTTGACCTTTCCTTTGACCTTGACCTCACTTTTCTTAAATAAGTTTTAGCTAAGTTTTAAAGAAACCATTCATAATATTTTATCAAACTTCATATGCTGATACATACTGATGTAACCTTTTCAACTGCATCAACAATTTTTGACCTTGACCTTTCCTTTGATCTTGACCCAAAAATGTAGGAAAGCTGACACAGAAATTAAGATTTATTATCAGGTTTGCCAGGATCATATTAATTCTTTGTGTTTATTTTGTAGCACTATGATTTGGATGGACAGTATAAGCATGACTATAGAGCAGGCCTCGTTAGATGGAACAGATCGTCGTATTTTGATGAACTTGACAACCTCCAACATATCTGGACTTTCTCTAGATCATACAAACAGAAAGAAGTTGTATTGGTGTGATAGACAAAATAGAATCATTGTGAGGTTAAATCTGGACACACGTGAAAAAATTACAGTCGCTAAATCGGTAGACTGTTATTCACTCACAGTTTTCAAGACAAAAATGTACTGGATTAATGTGTAAGTAGACTGCTCTCATTAGATTTGGATATATACTGTACATACTATAACTGTTTATTGGACTTGCTGGAAAGTTGTGCATATTTCTAGTGAAAAATCTCTTTTTAATGGTTAACAACCTGTATGTGACAATATTATTACTAAATTGCAGTTCTTTTGAGTTTTTATCCTTTAACACTCTTGGTGCTTTACTTATCATACATGTGATATGTACCGGCGGTACGCAAAAATGTACCTTTTTTTTCGAGCGTACCGCCAAATGTACCTTTTTTTCGAGCCCATTCATCGTGTACCGGCGGGACACCAAAATTCACGGAATATGAAAATTTGTACAGTATTTTGAATTTCTCGCTAAATGCCACCATTTTCCTCTCATTCTCGCTCGCGAGACACTGGAAAATGTCACCTGTGTTTGACACTTGACCTTCTGATAATAAACCATCGCGCGTGAACATGGTGAAGGTGTGAACTGCCAATTGGGATAATTATCTTGCTAAAAGTCCGTATTAAGATACCACTTTAGGTAGCTTTATTTTTAAAGGGGTACTTAATTATAACTGTTAATGTTTTGTAACTGATTGAAAAAAATTAAGCCAACTTCTAAAGTTGATATATATACATGACTTAATATCCATGAATCTGACCCAGATCTCCATAGGTATAAAATATACGATGTTTATTACCATGATTACAATGAAATAAAGAATATAGTTTGAAGTTTAATTTTATATGCTGAAATTTATGTATGATTGTATTTGCTGCTGCTATTTAGCATTGCTGATGTATATATCAGTAATATGAACAAGATGTAAATTGGAGACATTGACTCTCACGTTAATACTATATAAAGCTGGCAAACAAACTATCATCTAAACTAGCTTAATTTACAGTCGATTCATAAGAACATTGTGATTATAAAACACAAAATATGAAATTTTAAAGCATTTAAACCTCTATTACAACTTTTAAATAAGACATTTGCAACAATATATATTTGTTGGTTTAGAAATAAGGTGCCTTATCAGAAGAATTTAAGCGATATTTTATACCATTTTTTGATAGGCAGTGTACAGTTTTTTCACCCAAATTCCAGTTTTTTTATGGCTCCTGTACAGTTTTGTGGTCTTTGACTTATCACATGTATGACTTATGCAAAACCAGGGGTAACTGCTTTCTTTGTTTGTTAATATAGGGATCAAAAAAAGAAAAAAAATTGGCAATGATTGCAGCCATTTATCCCCATATTAACAAAGAAAGGCTTTATTTTGTTATATTTATATCTGTATAAAGAGCTAAACCTGCCTTGCTGACGACATGGTCGACTCAAGAATTTAAAAGGAAATCACCCATTTCTATACATAGATGTGGAAGAGTGTTATATTTCCATAGGTTCAACTATATCATATAACAATCATTTTACATGTTCCTTACTCTAATTTCGAGACTTGTTCTTTATCATTTACAACAATGTGTTCTACTTCAGTGCTTGTTTTATTAGAAAGGCAAGGATTTTTGCACAAAGTAGGAACAAATAAGGGCTGACAGGATTTCCTTATCTAACTAGTTTAGGAGTTGATTGTGTTAACCTATTAACAGTTTTCTTATAAATTAAAGAGAAAAAAAATACTCATTGGATGTGAATACAATATAACACTAAAGGTACCTGGGTGCTTCTGTTGCTGTAAAACTGATAGTTTAACCCGTACATGTACAAACAATTACACTTATCATCAACAGACCTCCAAGTTCTGATGCCAGCATACTGAGTCTCTCCAAGGAGGGATCCTCAAGCCCATCTACATTAATCAAGTCTAAGCTACCAAAGACTCTCAACAGTATAAAGGTCTTTGACAGACTGGTACAAGCAGGTATGTGTATGTCAGCAGCAAAAATTGGACGGATACTGTGTGTCTTTTTGTTTCCCTAAGGTAATGGAAATCATTCAGTTTAATATGTTGGAAGTTTAATTTATGATTAATGGTTATGGAGAATTTTGATGATATATATGGGAGTTACAGTTATGATTTATGTAGGTGGCTTGTTCATCTTTAACATCTGATTATAGTGGTGTGTTTGGTTTCTTCTTACAGGCAACAATTCTTGTACAGATAAAAATGGTGGTTGTGAAGAAATCTGCTTGTTTAATAGTAAGAAAATGGTAACATGTGCTTGTACATATGGAAAATTGGATACAGACAAGAAAAAATGTATAGGTATGCCATTCTATTGCTTTTAAAGAAATGTGTTAACTAGATGTAATAAAAGAAAATGCAAAGTGTCACATAATTTCTGCTGAATAAAATAAAGAATTGATTACATATTCTAATAAAAAGATCTGTTGGAAATAGATAGCTGAAATGACATTTTGTTGGTGAATTAAGTATATTCCATCACAGAAATTCTTAATGCATGTAGATACTTTGTGAATGTTCCTCATGCCAGCTTTTCTTGTGTGTAATTTGCAGACCACGACAGTTATTTACTGTTTTCTAAAGTAACAGCTATTCAGAGCTTACATATGACGGGAAATAAAAATAAGCCAACAGAAGAAATCTCTGACAAAATTTTGATCAGGAATGTGATCGCTTTGACTGCCGATTACAGTCAGAGTAGAGTATTCTTTAGTGATATTCAGCAGTCTAATATACAGTCAGTCTGGATGGATGGCTCATCTTTTTCAAACATTACTACAGTCATTCCTTGTAAGTATAACTGGTATCCATTAAATAAGCACTTATATAATCTTTAATTATAGCTATATAAGCTTTAATATGGCCATTTTTGATTGTTCGTACTCGGAAGAATGATTTGCCATATTTCACTCACTGCAGCGATTGGTTCAGTGGAAGGCCTTGCATATGATTCATCAAACAACACTCTTTACTGGACCAGCTACACAAATTCCTCTATTAACCGTGTCAAGATAAATCCGGAAACAGGGAATGCCAGCGGGCCTCCACAGAAACTGATCCAGTTATCCACTAGCGATCATCCGAGAGCTATTGTTGTCGATAGCTGTACACAGTAAGAACTCAATGGAAGATTTTCCTTTTATTACATGTATATGCCTTAACATTGCTAATTCGTAATGATATCAGTTTATCTAGAATATTGATTTCTCAAAGATATTCTCATGTGACTTAAAAAAAATATTTCTCATGTTTTCCATATACAATGAAGACATTTTGCACGAATTTTGAAGAAAATGAGTTATATGATTTATGATTTTTAAATTTCACTTTACATGTAATCAAGAAAATTTCAAAATATCTATTTACTCAAGAGATGTGAATATCATACAGATTTCACATTGATTTTTAGACATATGTTTTGGACAAACTGGCACAGCAGTCAGCCAGGTATTCAGCGGGCCTTCTTTAGTGGTTACAGTGCTCAGTATATCATAAAAACTGATATAAGTACGCCAAATGGACTCGCCATAGATCATAAGGAACAGCTTTTGTATTGGATTGATGCTCGACTTGACAAGATTGAGAGGTGTGACTTTGATGGAAATAACAGAGTGGTACGGGAAATCATCTAACATTCTTTTGCATTCTTTATAAATGCATCCAAATATTTGATAAATTATACAGTTTAACTTCAGTATTTTAAACACTGATATCTCAAATACTATGGATATGTCAAAATGATTTTGAAGTACCAATCACATTTTCTTTAAGTATTTTAACTTCAATATCTCAAATCCTCCGATATATATCAAAGTTTTTTTTATGGTCCCTTTGAGTTCATGATAATGAGGTTTGACTGTAATTATGCTGTCAACCATAATTAGAATCATGACTGTCAGATGATAAAAAGTTTAACGAGATTATTTAATCTGACTGAACATGTGTATGATAAAATGTCAGGTGGTGATGACGTCAATCCCCCAGCATCCTTTTGGTCTGGCCTTGTATGGGGATCATCTCTACTGGACAGACTGGTTACTTCATGCTGTGGTCCGAGTTAACAAGTACGATAGCAATGACTACGCCTTCCTAAGCAAGAATCTGAATAGACAGCCAATGGGAATTACTGTATTTGCTAAGGATGCCAATGACTGTAAGTCTTGGTTTTCACTTTTCATTTCTAGTGACTCAAAACTGTGGAATCATTTAAAATCTTGGGGATCAATGTTTGTGGGCAATCAAAATTCTTCTGCTTGTGGGATAACTTATTTATACAGAGGATTCAATGAACAGTGTGTTGACATAGTGGGGAGTTCTTTGGTAAGTGTTGCCTACGTAATCTACGAACATTGGTCCCCCATGAACAATGATGATTTCACAGTACATAAGGATTATGACTCCTTTTTTTAATGAATAGTAAATTCTAGTCCATGATAAATTCATGGGTAACTTTTCTGAAATGGTATTATGAAGGAAGGTTTTAATGAAAATTGTAATATTGTACAGGTACGCAGAATCCATGTCTGAATGCAGGATGTTCTCAGAAGTGTAAGGTGGTAAAAGGAAATGCAGTCTGCTACTGCAATGACTCTTATTTTCTACTTAATGATGGAGTTCGATGTATAAGTAAGTTTTTAGCTCACATTAATGAAGTTTGGGGAGCTTATGTAATACCCGCTACATAGGTGTCCCAGGTTAAAGTTTTTGGAGCAGATTATTTTTCAAGAACTTCTATGCCCTATACTAACCAGAGATGCATGGAAAATGCTTCTAGCATATTTCACTGTACCAGTCAAGGTTTCAGATGCTGCAATTTCAAGTGAAGAATGCCCAGTTTAATGTTTTTGATGCAGGTTAACCTTTATGGAGGAGGTTAAAGTTTTTGAAGCAGGTCTTCTTTCCAAGTAACTATATAAGTTATATTGACCAAACTTGCATGGATGATATATCTAAAGATGCACACTACCAGACTTGCTTTGGATGCTGGATCTGACCTACATTTTCCAGATGAGTGACCAGGTTAAAATTTTTTGAGAATGTTCATCTGAAGTAACTATAAGCCTTATGTTGACCAAACATGCATGGATGATACATCTAAGGATGCACACTACCAGGCTTGCTTTGGATGCTGGATCTGACCTACATTTTATGGATGAGTGACCAAGTTAAATTTTTGAGCAGGTTCATTCTAAAGTAAATTCTTTTAATATATATATTTGATTAATCTGATTACCTTAAAATTTAATAAATTCAGTGTATTTGCTATTTTTCTGGATTATTGAGCTGGAATGTATACATGGTGCTTGTATTTTTAGCTCACCTGAGCTGAAAGCTCAAGTGAGCTGTTCTGATCACCCGTCGTCCATCTGTCTAGCTGTCTGTCTGTCCGTCCGTCCATCCGTCTGTAAACTTTTCACATTTTCAACTTCTTCTCAAGAACCACTAGGCCAATTTTAACCAAACTTGGTACAAAGTATCCTTGGGTGAAGGGGAGTGTAAATTGTTAAAATAAAGGGCCAAGTCCCCTTACAAGGGGAGATAATCAAGAAAAGACAAAAATAGGGTGGGGTCATTAAAAAATCTTCTTCTCAAGAACCACTGGGCCAGAAAAGCTGAAACTTATGTGGAAGCATCCTTGGATAGTGTAGATTCTAAATTGTTCAAATCATGACCCCCGGGGGTAGGGCGGGGCCACAATAGGGAATCCAAGTTTTACATTGAAATATATTAGAAAAATCTTTAAAAATCTTCTCAAGAACCACTGGGCCAGAAAAAGTGAAACTTATATGGAAGCATCCTGGGGTAGTGTAGAATCTAAATTGTTCAAATCAGGGCGGGCCACAATAGGGAATCCAAGTTTTACATGGAAATATATAAGAAAAATCTTTAAAAATCTTCTTCTCAAGAACCACTGGGACAGAAATACTGAAACTTATATGGAAGCATCCTGAGGTAGTGTAGATTCTAAATTGTTCAAATCTTGACCCCCAGGGGTAGGGCAGGGCCATAATAGGGAATCCAAGTTTCACATTGAAATACATAAGAAAAATCTTTAAAAATCTTCTCAAGAACCACTGGGCCAGAAAAGCTGAAACTTATATGGAAGCATCCTGAGGTAGTGTAGATTCTAAATTGTTCAAATCATGACCCCCGGGGGTAGGGCGGCGCCACAATAGGTATATTAAAAGTGGGGAAATCTGGTAAAGAGCAACATGGCCAAAGTTACTCAGGTGAGCGATGTGGCCCATGGGCCTCTTGTTTAAGCTCAATGGTCTTAATTCATATCCCAAATTTTTAAACAGTAGGGCTACATATATGAATTAGTAAATGCACTCCATTGGACTTCATTAATATGTATGGACGTAGAGCAATGGCATATTTTTATTATTTTACGGAAAATTACCATAACTACAATGAAAAAGAAAACTATCAAATAACTTTTCATAATATAAAATCATGCTACAGAATTAATGTCTATAAAAAGGTTTCTCTTATCATACTATCTGTATTGATTAGAAATAAATAGCTGCATGAGAAACTGATTACTACTAGTATGCAGTCTAAATTCATTGACTGGAACAGACAACGATAAGCTTTTTGTGAAGACTAAAACCAACCCCAGCCTTATAGGTCTGTGCTATGTATATAACAAAGTGATTCTTTTTAAAAGAGAAACATTGGAAGCCCAAACATACAGGAAGGTTCTATGTACAAAAGGGTAAGACATTTCATGCAAGGTCATTTCAATGTGTTCAAGGCTATTGACAGAAAAAGTGAAAAAATTCTGTCCAGCTAATAAGCTCATACAATGGGTGTACTATGACCTTGACCCAAGATCACTTGTCCAGTTGAAGATCATTGGGAGAAAAGGTGTTAAATATGATTGAATTATTATATTTGTCATACTTACTTGCAAAAAGTGTGTGTGACTTGTAATGAAGAGAATGTACCTTTGATTTTAACATTAAACAATTGCTGCTTCTACCTCCTTTAAATAGTGTGTGTAGTAATAGCAATTCCACTTGGGTTGCCCCTCTTCATCTTATTCTGTCAAATATTCTTGCAGAAAATGAGACCATAGACAACTGTGGAGTTACAGACTTTCTGTGCCATGATGCAGAAAAATGTATCAAAATCACTCAAACTTGTGATAAAATTCCACACTGTTTAGATGAAAGTGATGAATCTGCTGTTGTTTGCAGTGAGTTTTAATCATAATGATACTTTTTTTTCATTACTATATAATTAATTGTATTCATTTTATGTTGCACATTTGTGTGTCATCATAAGAATATGTCACATGTTATTGTGTACAGATAAGGAGCACTGCCACTCCCAGTATTTCACATGTAACAACTACCAGTGTATTCCTTTTGGGAAACAATGTGATGGGAAGTTTGACTGTTTGGATGGCTCAGACGAGAGAGACTGTCAGTGTAACCCAGATACAGAATTCCAGTGTAGGAACAAACAGTGTATTAATAGGAAATACCATTGTGACATGGACATTGACTGTGATGATAACTCAGATGAAATTGGATGTGGTGAGTGGCTAGATGAATCATAACTGATTTTGATTACAAGGTTATAAGTTGAAGAATATTTTATTGTAGTTGAGTATGTGTTGAATGAAATGTAAAGACTTGCTGTAGAAAAGTAAAAAAGTGCATTCTATAAAAAAGGCCAAAATGGTTATTCAGGTGAATTTTTTCTCTTTTTATTTGTGCTGTCAAGATTTGGTAATTGTGTTGAATTTCTTTGATTTGAAGATTTCAACTGTTCTGCAATTCATCATGAGGATACTGCCCACTGGGTATCCTGTAACACAACATCTCTGTGTATCATGGAATCCTGGATTTGTGATGGAAAACGAGACTGTCCTGACTCCGAAGATGAAAAGAACTGCTCCAATACAAGTATATAGCAGTTTATAAATATTAGAAATACACTTAGTCTCCTTCAGATATGTTTGAAATGTAAATCATTTGTGATTAAGACAGCATTTGGAATGCAGGATATATTCTATAATTATATTCAACTTCTGGTTATAGGCATACATATACCAAACAATCCATTTAAATATTTATAGCTCACCTGGGGCAAAGGCTCAAAGTGAGCTTTCGTAATCAAAATTTGCCTGCTGTGTGATGTTGTCGTCTTTGTTGTTGTCCTTTACTTTTCATAGAAAAGTCGAAAATTTTCTTCTCTGCCCATGGGTAATTAGCAGACATACTAAGTGCATGTTTTCATGATGAGCAAGGATGCCTCTTGTGAAAGTGTGAATTTTTTTTACCCCTGGGTCAGAGGCTTTGGTGTTAGGGTGGGGCTTTGTTGAATCTATAGTGAAAATGAATTATTTCTTTGAAAATCTTCTCTGCTCCTGGGCATTTAGGCAGCAAACAGAGTCTATAAAGTTTTAATGAGCAAGGGTATTTTTACCAAATTGTTAAAATTCTGCAAATTAATTAATTTGTATTCTACTGAAAGAAGTTATTCACCTTTGCTATGATGATTTTAAAATCACTGTAAATAATGTACTTGAGAGGTCAGTTGAATAACAGAACTATACAAGAATTTTTATAATTTTTAATACAAAAAGTACTTTCATAGTTTTTAATGGTCAGGTAGACTTGTAAATAATAGATAAATAAAAATTGGACAGAACTACCTTATATTTGTACATTAAATGTTCTTCAAAGATAAGTGAGGCCAGTGTTAGGGGGACTGGAATCGTTTTACTAAAATGCTTAAGAACTATTGTTTTACTTAGTCTGCATGGGGATAGTGACAAATGGGGGCAAGTGTAGGCAAGTAAATAGATCAACTTTGAGATATGTTACTGAGCACTAAATTAATTATTTTGCTTATCCCTGATCATCATATTTCTCTTGCTTTTAGGCAACATAGCTTCATTTATCAGCTTATTTTGTTTTATTTTATATTCAATCTTTGGACATTTACAGTGTTACTTTATACTCAGGTGACCATTAAGGCACTTGGGCCTCTTGTTTCAAATCACAACTGCAAAGGGGGGGGGGGGGTTCGGACCACTTATATATGTAAACTTTTCAATAATGAACCAATTTCTGCTTTTTCTCCCGCCAGAGTGCTTATGTGTGAACAATGTGGCCCATGGGCCTTTTGTTTTTATATGACTGTGATTGAAACAGATGATTAAAAGGAACAGACTGTTTCAATTTATGCTTGAAGTTCAGTATCACATTTTTTATATACAGAAGGTGATTGTAAAGGACCAGACATGTTTCTCTGTAAGGATGGCAATCGCTGTATTCCCAGTGCATGGAAGTGTGACTTAGACAATGACTGTTTGGACAAATCTGATGAATTAACTTGTGGTATGGATTTTGTGGTATTGATTAGGTGTTACCCACATTTTTGTCTATCTGTAATCTCTAAATCTGATTTATCGTTAAAATAGAACTCGACCTTTACAGAAACTACTGATGTTTCATTGATAAATTGGAAGAAAGAAAATGCAGTAAAACATGGTTACAATGGACACGCTTATAATGAATTAATGCTTAGAGCCAAGTGGATTTCATTCCCTGTAGTTTAAAAACATATTGTGAACTTTACAAATTAGGTTTATAACGAATCACAAGGACATCCCTGGCACTTCGCTAAAGTTAAAAATATGATTTGAGATTATTAGATGATCTGAGCAGAAAGCTCAAATGAACTTATCAGATAAAGTTTGTTAGTGAATATTACGAGGGTTGATGCAAAAGCAATGTCACAACTTTGATAAAATTGTTACTAGTCGACGTAAAACAACAAACTTATAAATGATGGAAGCTATATTTATATTGTTACTAGTCGACGTAAAACAACAAAATTAGAAATGATGGAAGCTATATTTATATTGTTACTAGTCGACGTAAAACAACAAAATTATAAATAATGGAAGCTATATTTATATTGTTACTAGTCGACGTAAAACAACAAAATTATAAATAATGGAAGCTATATTTATATTGTTACTAGTCGACGTAAAACAACAAAATTAGAAATGATGGAAGCTATATTTATATTGTTACTAGTCGACGTAAAACAACAAAATTATAAATAATGGAAGCTATATTTATATTGCTACTAGTCGACGTAAAACAACAAAATTAGAAATGATGGAAGCTATATTTATATTGCTACTAGTCGACGTAAAACAACAAAATTAGAAATGATGGAAGCTATATTTATATTGTTACTAGTCGACGTAAAACAACAAAATTAGAAATGATGGAAGCTATATTTATATTGCTACTAGTCGACGTAAAACAACAAAATTAGAAATGATGGAAGCTATATTTATATTGTTACTAGTCGACGTAAAACAACAAAATTAGAAATGATGGAAGCTATATTTATATTGTTACTAGTCGACGTAAAACAACAAAATTAGAAATGATGGAAGCTATATTTATATTGTTACTAGTCGACGTAAAACAACAAAATTAGAAATGATGGAAGCTATATTTATATTGTTACTAGTCGACGTAAAACAACAAAATTAGAAATGATGGAAGCTATATTTATATTGTTACTAGTCGACGTAAAACAACAAAATTAGAAATGATGGAAGCTATATTTATATTGTTACTAGTCGACGTAAAACAACAAAATTAGAAATGATGGAAGCTATATTTATATTGTTACTAGTCGACGTAAAACAACAAAATTAGAAATGATGGAAGCTATATTTATATTGTTACTAGTCGACGTAAAACAACAAAATTAGAAATGATGGAAGCTATATTTATATTGTTACTAGTCGACGTAAAACAACAAAATTAGAAATGATGGAAGCTATATTTATATTGTTACTAGTCGACGTAAAACAACAAAATTAGAAATGATGGAAGCTATATTTATATTGTTACTAGTCGACGTAAAACAACAAAATTAGAAATGATGGAAGCTATATTTATATTGCTACTAGTCGACGTAAAACAACAAAATTATAAATGATGGAAGCTATATTTATATTGCTACTAGTCGACGTAAAACAACAAACTTATAAATGATGGAAGCTATATTTATATTGCTACTAGTCGACGTAAAACAACAAACTTATAAATAATGGAAGCTATATTTATATTGCTACTAGTCGACGTAAAACAACAAAATTATAAATAATGGAAGCTTTATTTATATTGTTACTAGTCGACGTAAAACAACAAAATTATAAATAATGGAAGCTCTATTTATATTGTTACTAGTCGACGTAAAACAACAAAATTATAAATAATGGAAACTATATTTATTTTAAATCAGATCTGAAAATTTCAATTCAACATGATTTATACATTTATAAATATCGTATTATATACAAAGTGCGATTTTGGTAGTTGCCGCATCTAAATTACGTCATATAAATGATACACGTCGTCATACATTCAAACGTTTCCCAATAAAAATATTTGAGATTCACTAACACGTTCACAAATTTCTGTTCTTTAAGAATTCTTGGTACCCATCTTACACTCACTCTTTTCATAATTAAATCCTCTGTCAAAATTCTTTGAACAGTACACAAGACAAAGTGTTCATATCCCTTTACATAACAGATCTATACATGCATGTCTTTTGACAACATCAGACAGACACCAGTTAAACGTTTCCGTCCGACCTCTCATCTTTCGGTCTTCCTGTCCTCTGCTAATTATTCAATGACCCATCACCCTCCCCAAAATACCTGAAACCATCTATAAACAAGACTCTTATTTACGTCTTTTCACTGTGACTCTGATTTATCTACATAACTTGTCTCTACTGGTAATTTCCCCATTTTGAGGTAAAAATGCAAAATGCATTACAGCTTGCTCCGGCATTTTTTCCCCCATTTTGACACGTCCTTTGTTCAATACATCAGAGTAAAACTCAACGGTTATAATCAAAAATAACAATGACATCATTTAATTTTCAACTAATCATTAGAAAATGGCATAAATTTTGTCTTTTAAAATCATTGGCCGATTAGTCCCGTTTTTATATCTTTTTTGTGTTTGTCTATTTCATCCTAAAGAAATACGCTTTCAAAAGTGACGTTTTGTTGTGACGCAGCGACACCCCATATGCCTTATGTTTGAAACAACCGTAAAATTAATTTATTTTAACATAATTAAACCAAAGTTCCAATGTTAATTAGATTTATATATGTGCATATTTTGGTATATTGTATTTGATAATATGACACCAAATATAAAAGATATGGACACTGTTACATTACTTCTGGGTCAACCCTCGTATTTGTCCATCTTTGTAAACCTCTCACATTTTTGACTAGATATTTGAACTATTGGGCCAATTTCAACCCAGCTTGCTTTAGAAAATCTTTGAGTTAAGAGCTTTCAAGTTTGTTAAGATAAGGAGTCATACCCCTTTCGAAAGGGAAATAAGTAAGGAAAAAATAATCTTTTTGAAAACCATACAGTCATGCAGATAAATCAAAACTTCATTGGATCCAAATATTGCATCTTTTGCTGTAGTGGAGTCTTGGGATGAGTTAAGATTCTTGCAGGGATGTAAAACTCCATTTATTAATCAGTATATACATTCCACATGTATTTTCCTTATAAAATGTTGGAAAGCTTTGACATTCAAAACACCATAACACAGATGAGGAGGTCAATAGGTTAAGTTATGATTTTTAGTTGGATGTTGGAACACCGTGCAATGTCATGAGTGAAAATCAAAATTTACACTCAACACATTTAACATTAACAGCTGCTCTTTCAATTTAGCTGTTCAGGTGCAATGTATATAATTTAAACAGGCATAATAAACCTAGTATTTAAATAAATGAAACTTTATCAATCTACCATGAAATTTAAAAATGTAAATATTAGCATTTAATTGTATATTTTGGATGTTCAATGTGTCGAATGAAGGACAGCTGTGCATTAACAAACCTTAATACCAAGCTAACATGTGTTATTCAATTTGTCAACACAGCCTCTGAGTTATGACATATTGAATGTCCAATATTTCCAATTAGATACTTAAATGAATCAATTGTACAAATCATAGCTCTTAAGGCTATTTGCAGGGGCCACACAATGATTGACCAGGGGGGAGGGTGTTAGTGGTGGACAAGTTTTACATAGGAGTGAATATATATTGTCTTAAAAACTCTTGACTCAACATTCATAAAAAATTACATTTGTTTTTGCCTTAAATTAAATTGCATTGATGAAATTAGTATCGTCTTTAGAAAAAGGAGAATTATCAGAATATATTTTTTCTATATAGATCTACATGTAATTAATTATTTTTCAAATATACCATACTTCTCTTAGATGATGATTGTGATAGCAGTATGACCAAATGTTCTGAGGGGACATGTATACCAAAATCTTGGGAGTGTGATGGTCACCCAGACTGTTTTAATGGAACAGATGAATCCATTGATGTCTGTAGTAAGTAGATCTTGCATTAATTGAGTGCATTCATGTTCAGAACATGGACATATTCATAATTGATTTTTTCTATAGATCATGAACTTGTCCAACTAATCCCAGTCAACTAAGTTTACAAATGTGTAATCAATGCAAAGTTTTCAAAACTGACTCTTTTATCGCTCTAGTTCTTATTAAAGACATTAAATTTAGAAAGAGAAAGATCAGAAGTATTTGTATGACTAAGTAATTGTTAAAAAAAATCTCTTAATGATTAATTTAGATGTCAACAGAACCTGTAAGCAAGATGAGTTTCTGTGCTTCTCCACCTTCCGCTGTATATCAAAAGACTGGCTCTGTGACGGCGACGCTGATTGTCCTAACAGTGAGGATGAAGATGTAGCGAATGGTTGTGGTATGTATGAAACGTAATCCCTCCTTGATTCATATATCTAAATTGTTCCCTGAATCACATATCTACATGTACATGGTTATCTCTGTATCACTTGTTGAAGTACCCTATGAATTATGTCAACATGGTACTTCATCATCATAAGTCTAGCAGTAACCATCTGAAAGATTTCTAGATGGTACTCTCTATCACATTTTGTTTATCTCACAGGCCCTATTTACTTTTTAGGTCACCTGACCTGAAACCACAAGTAAGCATTCCTGATCACATTTTGTCTTGCATCTATTTGTCTGTAAACTTTTCACATTTTCAACTTATTCTCAAGAACCAAGGGGCAATTTTAACCAAACTTGCCACAAAGCATCCTTGGGTAAAGATGATTCAAGTTTGTTCAAAATGAAGGACCACAAATTCTTTGAATGGGAAATAATTAAGAATTAGTGAAAATATAGTGGTATCTTTCAAAAATCTTCCTAAGAGTCACTGAGCAAGAAAAGTTGAAACTTATGTGAAAGCATTATTACCTAGCATAAATTTAAGTTTGTTCAAATCATGACTTTCGGTGGTAGGGTGTGGCTACAATAGGCAATCAAAGTTTTACATAAGAATATATAGTAAAAAATCTTAAAAAATCACTAGACCAGAAGAGTTGAAAATTATGTGAAAGCTTCATTAGATAGTGTAGATTCAAAGAGCTAAAGCCACGAACCATCATATTTGGCCCTGTGTTTTTCACAAAAATAAAGTTTCGATTCAAGAAGAGTACTATACGTTAAATATTAGAGGACAACATTTTTCTTTTCCATACATAACTTATATCGTTATATAATGCGCCATTAAACACGTGCGACGGTTGGAAAATGCGACGGTTTCATAAAAACGTTAAAAAATGCCGTTTTTTCGACAGATTTTCCCAAAGTTGGATGTGGCCACAGTTAAGAACAACTTTTATACTTCCCATAGATATAGATATTACCGATACAAATCTTTATGTTTAATATCGTTGTTGTTCGTGGCTGTGGCCAATATGAAATTTGATTTTATATTTAAATTTTGATGGATCAAATAATCCTTAATTTGTAGATCAATCGTTTACATTCAATTCATGTAATAATAAAAAAAATATAAATTTCACAAAATATGCTAGAAAATCAGTAAATTGTTCATTTAAAACGCTAAATGTGAAAAATAGTCAACTACATACATTTTCTGAAATAAATGTCTGGAAAAACTTTGTGGTTTTTACTATGACTAGGTCATTATGTATGACGGTACTAGTAATACGTCAGTTGTGACGTCATAAAGGCTGTAAATTATTTGGGATGTTGCTGAAAAGTTTTTAACGCTCTAGATAGTGCCCCTACATGTATTTACATGTATATGATTTAATTACATGTAAACCCAACTGGATGATACCATCAAATTGTAAGTTTTTAGAAATTCCCGCCACGGTGTCTTTCTTTACTAACCCCCCCCCCCCTCCCTGAAATAATTCAAAATACTGTTGTTGATAGTGTTAACAGGCATGACTTAAATTGTAAACAAATTAATAGAGAGTGTAGCAAAGATATCACGCTATACCTTTTTAAAACAAGCGAAATAATAATGATATGGGTTGCTGTCTAAAGTGAAAATTAAAAAAAAAATTAAAAAAAGGAATGAAAAAAATACGCATTAAGATAATCATCTGCATTTCCGCACCGAAATCCACCATCTTTATGTACATGCAGAAGAATCATCTCAATGGATTTACAAAATTCAATCGTATCGATGGCTTATACATGCTGATACAAAATAATATATAGTTATAGTATACAGTTATGTGATCACCGATATCGGGTTTCGTTAAAACACTTGCACATGACGATCCCGCGCCCGTGATCAAAAACAAAAGAATATATCAGTATATTTTTAATATGTCTGTATTTTTATTAAAATCGAAGTGAGGCTATTGATGCATATATACATATAACATATACCCGATCTTGTCATCCTTTGTGAAACATAATTCAAATATACCCCCAGTGAGCAAAATTGCATTAAATGCATGTCGTATGTCTTAGACATCAGTATAAAATGTTTATGCATTTTTTGTACTGTGCTTCAAATATTTCATTGTAACTAACACAATTTAAATAAGTATAGTTATGCTTCAGATCGTCAGTCAGTGAAAGGGTAGTGATTATATGTCTATTTAGACAAAACATAAATTAAATAAATAAGTACACTACATATAATTTACCCAAAGTTTTTATCCGTCATAAACTCTTCATTGCGACTTTATTAGTATACGGTTTTATCTAAGAATTCAGCGATGTGAAAACACATGGAGAGAGAGAGAGATCTTAGAATGTGTTTTAAATAACAAGTCAATAAAGCGGAAATATGTTCTTTAAAACGTATGGCCGTAAGTTGTTTATAGCTAGATTTTTTTTAAACCCAACGAAGTAGATTTTTTTTGGATAATAATTCTTACTCTTTTTTAAAGTCTTTTTTCAGCCTATTCTGGTTAGTACACTTGTACCTCCTCCCTCAGTATAAACTATTAGGATCATGATATGTAGAATGGTAGATCCAAGACTTCCAGCTGAGATTGAAACAAAAGGGGGGGGGGAGGGTGTTACAAACTAATGGCAACAAAATTTTCATCTAATGTAGTTATTTTCATTTTATTCTCTTAAGTTGTCTTGAATTTAACTTTCTTTATTGTTAATTAATAGAAATCAATCTAGAAATTGAAAATTGTTAAAGACTTTCCTACTCCTCTTATTTTTTCCTCAATGAGAAGGGGGGGGGGGATTGGTTTGGCGGCACCTTTTTTCACGAAAAAAAAATCATAAAGAAAATTGAAGAAAATATGTACGGACAACTCTTATTGCTTCTCTGAGTAAAACCTTTTTAAGCAAGCTTTTGTTGATTAAAATCAATCTTGTGCTGATTGTGAGACAATAAAACAAGAATAAATGAACACCTGTACATGTATTTCAATTATGGTACTGACCCACATATCAGCAATATCAGTGTAGCTCTACTCTTTTTATAAACCATAAAAACCATAATGTGCAAATGAAATCGAAAGTGCAAAAAAATGGGGGGGGGGGGGTTCCAGCAAATACTGTTTTAAATATATAATAATGGACAGTGACGAGTGATTTTTTAACAAATTTAGTTTTCTTAAGAATATTTTTTGAAGTGTACTCTACTGTATTCCATATTACTCCAAAGAAATTTACATTTAGGGCTAGAATGTTTTGATGAGTTCTTTTTACTAATTAAACCATTCTGATAAATTGCGAAATCCCTTTCCAATTAATCTAAAAATTTTCCCTGTTTCTGTATCGAAAACAACGTTCAAATTATTGTTACAAATGAATGAATGGATTAGAAACAAGTCCTTCCAACTTTTTCCTTCTTCCTCTTGTCCAAATAATTTAGATCTTTTATACGTTAAAATACTCGTATTATCAGGATCTAAGAATTTTGCATTGAAAGTCTCTTTCAATTTAAACAAAACTTTCTGCAATTAAACTTTTACCTAGTTATAGAATTAGCTCTTCAGTTCAGAAACATTCGTTTCAAGATCATTTCAGGTATGTTGTCAATTATTTTTTTCCCGACTGCCCCCTTCCCAACTTTGAAAAACGATACTACGTGCCTGGACGCACATGCCAAAGATCAGCTTAATATCTGCTGGCCTGAAGGGAAAAATCCGGAAAACTTAGTTGGTCAGACTATCGGCAATTGAAGCATGTCGTATATTGTTTATGATGATTTATACACAATACTTAACTAGGAGCGAAGCATCGCTCAAAAATGTGTTGAAGGGATATAAATAGAATGTTCCTTTTTTTAATATTAGGGACCAGGTAGAATGAAAATATTCCAAGACAGGCACACAGATTATTATACTCCCGCTTGAAAAGTGGGGGTATATAGTGATGGGGGTGTCCTTTCCGTCCGTCTGTGCGTCCGTCCATTACGCTTTGGGGTACACATCTCTTATCCGCAACTCCTTCTATACCACTCAATAAAATCTAATGATATTTTCGCAGAATCTTTGTTAGATAGTGCCATTGTGCACCTCCTATTTCACTTTTTGATCAGACACATATTTCGGGTTTCCAATAGCAAAACATAGACACTGCCATTCTTTAAATAATATTTAGGGTACCCATCTCTTATCCGTAACTCCTCTTATATGCCTGAATAAATTAAAAAATGTGATTTAATGATACTTTCACGGAATCTTTTTTACATTGTGCACCTCCTATTTCACTTTTGATCAGACACATATTTCGGGTCTCCCATAGCAAAACATGGACTTTGCCATTATAAATATATGATAGGCGGGGTATCATTTTGTGAGCTCAGTGCTCACAGTACCTCTAGTTTTTACTTCATGTATCTATATAATTCAATCAGTTAAACACGAGGTTACCATAAAGACGGCAAGTAAAATCAAGTTCCAAATTAATGCTTTTAATCGTCTTAAATTAATTATGATGTTTATTATATTATTAATACTAGTTTTAATTCAAAGTCACATATTCATACATGCAAAATCGATCAAGGAAATTTTTCCGCCCTACGACGTTACGTTACAGAAAATGACGTTCTACTAGCATTTTTCTTTTAAAACACCACCATACTTCAAACTCTCTTTTTCAAAAAATATAATCGATATCGAAAAAAGAAAAACGGCAAAGCAAAGCTAAAGGTCTTCACTATCAATTGACAAAAACCCGTTAATTTTTGACACAGGGCCATTTTTGATGGTTCGTGGCTCTTGCTCTTTGTTCAAATAATGACTCCTCGAGTTAGGGTGGGGCTACAGTTGGTGATCAATGTTTTACATTGGAATATATAGGAAAAAATCTTCTCAAAAACAGCAAAGGCATGATTAGCCATATTGATAAGGAAGCATCCACAGGAAGTGTAGATTCAAGTTTGTTCAAATCAGGACTACTGGGGAAAGGATGTGGCCAAGTTAGGCGATCGAATTTTTACATAAGAACTTAAAGGAAAAAAATCTGCTGATGAAGAACAGTATGGCCGTAGTGACTCAGGTGAGCGTTTTGGCCCATGGGCCTATAGTTTCAAACCTTATGCTGTTCAAATCACATAAATCTTAAAAATGCATTTTAGGAAATAAACCTATTAATGGCAGGGCTGATATAAGTTTCTCCCTGAAATGCTGAGTAACACTCTGAATCATGTCTACATGTTACTCTCTGAATCACAAGTCTGTTATTCTCTGAATCACAAGTCTGTTATTCTCTGAATCATGTCTAAATGAAACTCTCCTAATCACATGTCTATAGGTGACCATATGAATCATGTCTAAATGCTAACTTTATTAAACACATGTCTATAGGTGACCATATGAATCATGTCTAAATGCTAACTTTATTAATTACATGTCTATAGGTGACCATATGAATCATGTCTAAATGTTAACTTTCTTAATCACATGATATGTCTAGAAGTAACCATATGAATCATGTCTAATTGTAACTTTCTTAATCACATGATATGACTATAGATGACCATATGAATCATATCTAAACATTCAACCAATACTAGCCAATTTTTTTATGACTGTCATCATCAAATGTCCATTACACATATTTTTGTATTGGCTTTTGATTTTGATGAACAGTGTTACCATGGTTACTGATTATAGTAATGCCTATGAAATTCTTTCAAAAGATACCCCTCTTACAGTTTTGTTTTGATTTCAATAAGGCAGACTACACTAGGTTATGTAATTGTTATTGGTTTTTGATTTCTTTGAACTGTTGCAGTGGTTACTAATAATAGAAATTTCTGTGAAATTACCTATACGTTGGATTGTTATAATGTGATAAATTACTGTTTTATAGAACCGCTGGCTTGTAGTGATGACGAGTTTCAATGTCAAAATGGGAAATGTGTTAAGAAGATATTTTACTGTGACTCAGACAATGACTGCTTAGATAACAGTGATGAGCCGCCATTCTGTTGTAAGTATCCAATTAAAACATTTTTTTTTTTAAAGTGATTACACATGGCAATTTACATTATTTAAGAATATGAACCCTGTTTTAATTCAGCCATTTCTTACAGTACAATATAATGTTAATCTAATCATTTTATCTAGCAATTTCACTATCAATTAATAGGAACTTTGTCTCAAAACTTTGTCTCAAAATTGTTTTAATAGCCAAAGGATGTGCTGTGGGTGAATTTCAATGCCAGCAACATCACAATTGTATCAACAGGACATTGTTGTGCAATGGATTTCCAGATTGTTACGATCATTCTGATGAGAATACACCCAACTGTCCTCAGAAACCAGTGGAGTGTGATTTCCTATGTGACAATAATAAATGTCTGAATGATTCCTTGGTGTGTAATGGACAGAATGATTGTGGGGATAACTCGGATGAAGCTCCAAACTGCAGTAAGTAGAAATGTATAATCTAGCTGTGGTGCTCATCCACATTGTGAGTGACTTGATAATTTACTTCTAGGCTGCTAAGTATTGAAGGATTCTTAAATCTATTGACCTCGAACCATTAAATAATAACTCAGTAGTATATGTATATATATACCAGTCTGATTCTGAAATTTAAGTGGCTTCCCTTTTGATAATTTTTTTTTTTTTTGCTTTTATTTTTTGTTTTTGGTTTATGGATATTTTTTTTAAGTGTCTTTTTTGTACTTGTAGATTTTGATGAATGTAAATTTATGGAGGAAGCAAAGAGGCATGGCATTCAAACTAATTCTCCATATTTTAAAATCTGTCATCATAACTGCACTGAGATGAAGATTGGCTATAAATGCACCTGTCATCCCGGTTATGAGCTGGAGGATAATGAACACCATTGTAAAGGTAGACCTGTCAGAAATCAAGGATTAAACTTTGATGATATAAGTATAGTATTGTTCTGCCATAACAATCAGGTTTTACTTTAACAAAAGTGAAGTAATACAGGAAATTCAATCCTTATCATTGATGTCCCAAACGCAGCCATCAGAATATCACACCTCTGTACTATCCTCTATTACTTTTACACTAAAATTATTGAAACTTTTCACATTTTTTAAGTCACCTGAGTCACTTGGGAAACATATTGCTGTTTCATTGGAACCGCTGAACCAGTTTCTACCAATATTGATATACATTTATAGATTCTATGGGTAAAGAAGAACGAAAGTTGTGAATTTCATGGTCTTTTCTCCCTGGGGCCTAAGAAGTTGGGTCAAAACCATCAAAATTACTGCAATCTTCAAAAATCCTCTTTTTTCCAGAACATCAAGCAGTCAAAGTGTTGGCATTGTTATAAAAAGCATTGAGCCCTCTGCCAAAATTGTGAAATTCATGGCCCCAGGGTCAGAGGTTCTGGTGTTAGGGTGGGTTTCTATAGATCATAAAGTAAAATTGCATAAAATCTTCAAAAATTTTCTTCTCTTTCCCTTTATATTAAGCAGACAAACTTAAGTGCAAAGATTTGATGCCCAAGGGTGCCTATTCCAAAATTGTAAAATTCATGGCTCCAGGGTCAGGGGTTTCTTGTGTTATGATGGGTAGGAGTGAAACGGTTCACCGTGGTATCGATGCACCGCGGTATTTTTTCTCGGTTTGATACACGGTGCAAAATCTCTAATTTTCGGTTCGGTTCATTTTTCGGTCGGGATCGTTATTCAGTCGGGTTTGGCATAAGGTATAACACGTTACTCAGAATAAATAAGTATAGAAAACGTAAATTTTTAATGACTGATAGCTTGTAAAATAATTTTTGACAGTCAAATAATTTTAATCAATTTCTTCTAGTCAATTTGCAAATAAAATTCGTAAAATATGTGACTAGATTTAGAAAAAGAAAGCATAAAACAACGTAGAATTTGTTTCCTTCTATCAAAATGTATCGTATCGAAAATAACCGAACCGAGACAAAATTATACAATACGTATCGAACCGTGAAGGAGGTGTATCGTTTCACCTCTAATGATGGGGCTCTATTGATCATATAGTGAAAATGCTTAAATTCTTCAAAAATCTTCTTCTCTTCCCCTGTATATTTAGCAGAAAAACTAAGTGAATAGATTTAATGAGCATCAGTGCCTTTTCCAAAATTGTGAAATTTGTGGCCTCTGGGTCGGGGTTGTGGTGTTAGGATCATTCAGCAAACCTCGGCTGATTCCGTCACCTTCATCAAACCTTGGCTGTACGAGGAAATTGATATGCATCTCCACTTAACATTTGCGATAAGGCTGCCTGTTTACCGCTTAGGGAAAACGTAACGCTTTGAAAAATGGTAATAAACATGCATCTGACATACGATAAAAATTTTCAAAAGCATTTAGGCAACACTAAGAATAACGCCAAGAAACTTGCACTTAGTTTCTTTACATAATCACATGATTGTTAACGGATCAAATTCAGCACACTGTGCACGTGTAATTATAGGGTGCAGCCATATTGCGTATAAAGTAGCTCCAGTTCAATGGAGGTTTACATGATACAGCTGAGGTTAGATGAGGTACGGATCGGTCGAGGTGTGCCGAGTGGTGTTAGGATGAGACTCTTTAAATTGATCATGTAGTGAAAATACATTAATTCTTTGAAAATCATCTCTGCTTCTGGGTATTTAGCAGATGAACTAAATGCATGGTTATGATGGGCAAGGATGCCTCTTCCAAATTTGTGAAATTCATGACCCCTTTGCCAAGGATTCTTGAGTTTGGGTGGCGCTCTATTATGATCATGCATGTATGGAAGTTATTGTTCTTTTTATTCCCATATGATAATTGACACTGTACCTAATGTAGTTGATAAGTATACTGAATAAAAGAATTAGATAAGAATTTACATGTATAATAAAAAAAGTACCGGTACTTTTATAGTTTTTAATGGTCAGGTAGATCGACTCTGAATAATAGATGAATAAAACTAAGACAAATTATTCAAAGTCCAAAAGAGGCCAATGGTTTAGGGATCCTGCTTGGACTAACTATGTGAATATTCTGTTTTAAGTTTATGCACTACTGTGTAGAAAATTTTGGTGTAGTTAACACTTGCACATAGAGGGAAGTAAAGGTCTACTTTCTGAGTTGTTGCTGATTACCAGACTATTTTGTTGATCCCCATTTGTCCTATTTCTCTTGCTTTGAGCAACATATCTTCATCTATCAGTTTTATTTTTATGCCCCGGGATCGAAAGATCCCGGGGTGTATTGTTTTTGTCCTGTCTGTCTGTTTGTCCGTTTGTCTGTCTGTTGTCAACTTTAACCTTGCCTGTAATTTTTGATTGGTCGGAGCTATGACTTTCATATTTCACATGTGTATTCCTTGTACCCTCTTTGGGTACCACCATATTTGACCTTTTGACCTTGACCTTGGAGTTTGACCCACTTTTGCAAAATTTTATGAGACTTTAACCTTGGCCATAACTTCTGAACAGTTGGTGCTTGGGGTTTCAAACTTCACATGTGTATTCTTTGTGACAAGGCCTTCCTTTGGATACCAACAACTTTGACCTTTTGACCTTGACCTTGGAGTTTGACCTTCTTTTGAAAAACTTTAACCTTGGTCGTAACTTTTGAACAGTTGGTGCTTGGGGTTTCAAACTTCTCATGTGTATTCCTTGTGACAAGACCTTCCTCTGGATATCTTTGACCCTTTGACCTTGACCTAGGAGTTTGATCTACTTTTGAAAAACCTTAACCTTGGCCATAACTTTTGAATGGTTGGTGCTAGGGCTTTCATACTTCACATATGTAATCCTTGTGACAAGACCTTTTTAGCTCACCTGAGCTGAAAGCTCAAGTGAGCTTTTCTGATCACCCGTTGTCCGTCGTCCGTCCGTCCGTCCGTCCGTCCGTCTGTAAACTTTTCACATTTTCAACTTCTTCTCAAGAACCACTGGGCCAATTTTAACCAAATTTGGTACAAAGCATCCTTGAGTGAAGGGGAGTTTAAATTGTTAAAATAAAGGGCCAAACCCCCTTACAAGGGGAGATAATCAAGAAAAGACAAAAATAGGGTGGGGTCATTAAAAAATCTTCTTCTCAAGAACCACTGGGCCAGAAAAGCTGAAACTTATGTTGAAGCATCCTTTGGTAGTGTAGATTCTAAATTGTTAAAATCATGACCCCCGGGGGAAGGACGGGGCCACAATAGGGAATCCAAGTTTTACATTGAAATACATAGAAAAAATCTTTAAAAATCTTCTTCTCAAGAACCATTGGGCCAGAAAAGCTGAAACTTATGTTGAAGCATGCTGGGGTAGTGTAAATTCTAAATTGTAAAAATCATGACCCCCGGGGGAAGGGCGGGGCCACAATAGGGAATCCAAGTTTTACATTGAAATATATAGAAAAAAATCTTTAAAAATCTTCTTCTCAAGAACCATTGGGCCAGAAAATCTGAAACTTATGTTGAAGCATTCTTGGGTAGTGTAGATTTTAAATTTTTAAAATCATGACCCCCGGGGAAAGGGCGGGGCCACAATAGGGAATCCAAGTTTTACATTGAAATACATAGAAAAAATCTTTAAAAATCTTCTTCTCAAGAACCACTTAGCCAGTCAAACTGAAACTTATGTGGAAGCATGCTGGGGTAGTGTAAATTCTAAATTGTTAAAATCATGACCCCGGGGGAAGGGCGGGGCCACAATAGGGAATCCAAGTTTTACATTGAAATATATAGAAAAAATCTTTAAAAATCTTCTTCTCAAGAACCATTAGGCCATAAAAGCTGAAACTTATGTGGAAGCATTATTTGGTAGTGTAGATTTTAAATTGTTAAAATCATGACCCCTGGGGAAAGGGCGGGGCCACAATAGGAAATCTAATTTTTATATTGAAATATATAGAAAAAAAAATCTTCTTCTCAAGAACCACTTGGTCAGAAAAGCTAAGACTTTTGTAGAAGCATCCTGGGGCAGTGTAAATTCTAAAGAATTCAAATCTTGACCCCTGGGTGTAGGGCGGGGCCACAATAGGGAATCCAAGTTTTACATTGAAATATATAGGAAAAATCTTCAAAAATTTTCTCATCAAGAACCTCTTGGCCAGTAAAGCTGAAACTTATATGGAAACATCCTAGGGTAGTGTAGATTTTAAATTGTTAAAATCATGATCTCCGTGGGTAGGGCGGGGCCACAATAGGTATTACAAAAAGATCATCTGGTGAAGAACAGCAGGGCCAAAGTTATTCAGGTGAGCGTTGTGGCCCATGGGCCTCTTGTTTTTGTATACCAACCACTTTGACCTTTTGACCTTGACCTAGGAGTTTGACCTACTTTTGAAAAAACTTTAACCTTAGCCATAACTTTTGAATGGTTGGTGCTAGGGCTTTCATACTTCACATATATAATTCTTGTGACAAGACCTTCCTTTGGATACCAACAACATTGACCTTGACGTTTTACTTACTTTTAAAAAACTTTAACCTTTGCTATAACGTTTGAACAGTTACAGCTAGGGCTTTCAAATTTCACAGGTATATTCCTCGAGACAAGACCTTTCTTTGGGTACCAACATTTTTATCTTTTGGCCTGGACTTTGACTTGCATTTGAGAAACTTTAACCTTCGCCATAAGCTGCCATATGGGGGCATCAGTGTTTCACAAACACATCTTGTTTATTATATAATTATTAAATTTCCGTTTCACTGATTACAATTCCTTAACAGGCTTGTATTCTACTTAATTAACCATTAAGGCTCTAGGGCCTTCATTTTTATGCCCCGCCATGAATATGGCCGGGGCATATAGTGTTTGTCATGTCCGTCTTCCATCCTTCCGTCCTTCTGTCTGTCCTTCCATCACACTTTGCTTTAAGCTCTGTTCAAAGCTCAGTTTCAAAGAAACTATCCAAGATATTTTTATCAAATTTCATTTGCTGATAGATATTGATGAGAGCTATGCAACTGCGTCGACATTTTTTGACCTTGACCTTTCCTTTGACCTTGACCTCACTTTTTTAAAAATTAGTGTTTAGCCCAGTTTTAAAGATACCATTCAAGATAGTGTAATCAAACTTCATATGTTGATACATACTGATGAGAGCTATTCAACTGCATCAATATTTTTTGACCGTGACCTTTCTTTTAACCTTGACCTCACTTTTTTTAAAATTAGTGTTTAGCTCAGTTTTAAAGATACCATTCAAGATAGTGTAATCAAACTTATTAAACTGCATCAACATTTTTTGACCTTTCCTTTGACCTTGACCTCACTTTTCTTAAATTAGTGTTCAGCTCAGTTTTAAAGATACCATTCAAGATAGTGTTATCAAACTTCATATGCTGATACCTACTGATGAGAGCTATTCAACTGCATCAACATTTTTGACCTTGACCTTTCCTTTGACCTTGACCTCACTTTTCTTAAATTAATGTCAAACTTCATATGCTGATACATACTGATGAGAGCTATTCCACTGCATCACTATTTTTGGACCTTGACTTTTCCTTTGACCTTGACCTCACTTTTCTTAAATTAGTGTTTAGCTCAGTTTTTAAGAAACCATTTATAATATTTTTATCAAACTTCATATGCTAATACATACTGATGTAACCTTTTCAACTGCATCAGCAATTTTTGACCTTGACCTTTCCTTTGACCTTGACCTCACTTTTCTTAAATTAGTGTCAAGCTTCATATGCTGATACATACTGATGTAAGCTATTCAACTGCATCACTATTTTTTCACCTTGACCTTTCCTTTGACCTTGACCTCACTTTTCTTAAATTAGTGTCAAACTTCATATGCTGATACATACTGATGTAAGCTATTCAACTGCATCACTATTTTTTCACCTTGACCTTTCCTTTGACCTTGACCTCACTTTTCTCAATTTGTGTTAAAATGTTGCATTACTAATATACCCTCGGCGGGGCATTCATGTCCTATGGACATATTTCTAGTTATTTTTGACTGACTCTGTTGATCAGCTCTTACTTAACCAAAAATAAGAAAAAGTGACATTTTCCAGATATTTCTATGCCCCACCATTAATATCGCCTGGGCATAAAGTGTAAACCCCACTTTTCTTAAATTTGTGTTTAGCTCAATTTCAAAGAAACTACTCAAGATATTTTTATCAAACTTCATATGCTGGTACATATTGATGACAATTTATATAGAATAAAACACTGTATATTCCGACCACTGCATATTCCGATTTCCGGTGCTTTTTTATCATCAAAACTAGATAATTACATTATGATTTCACCTGGGTAATCCGGCATAATTACATGGGTGTACCCTAATTAGCTGCTGGCCAGGTAACACGAATGCCCCGTTTGGTCACAAAATTGGTCTACTTAGAGAGTAGTTAATTATATGAAAGTGTTTATGTAAGCAATAAATGAACAGTTCTTGAATTTAAAAATTAGGCAATCAATTCTCTCAATTTTATTCTCGCATTGACAAAATAGCATCCAAGCGATAGAAAATTAAAAGAGTGCATGATATTTAGATCGCTTTTACCTTACAGAATAAATATTAAGATTTTTTTGCTTGAAATTAAAATCAAGAATGCAGTCAGAGTCCTTTATAAAGCCATGTCGCTAAACAAAAATGAGTATGGCGAACTACTGTGTAACATAGACAATACACAATTTGAAGGCAGCACCTTGTCTAATAAAAAACATTTCATCTCCGGGTTAATATACACTGAATTTAGTGAGGCTGTGCACATAGAAGATTTGCCGGAAGAAAAAAAAGTACCGCTTTAAGTTGCCCATTAAATTTTAAAATGTTGCGTCTGTTTGATTAAACTTCAATTGCAATCACAGTGTTTTACGTCTGTTTGATTAAAATTTGTTCGCAATCACAGTGTTTTAGAGTTACGTCCTGTTTGTATGAAAAGTTGCATGACCGTATTAATGGCACAGTCTATGTTGAGAAGTAAACAATGGAGAAAAAATCGGAGAGAAATATAGTGTATGAAAAAGAATACAACTGTGTAGATGAGATATTTACTTTAATATCTACTGTCAGAAAGTAAAATGCAAAAAATTAAATTGCAACATCTTGAAGTGATCTGCAGTTCCATCTGTTTTGTCCCTTCAAAAAATCATCGTGTAACTATAATACTACAGAGTTTACTAATGCTATCACAAATCCGTCTCAAAGAAATGATAACTGAAGGTATATTTCATACAACAAAGAAACACACTTTGACAATTAAAAACACATGTACTCTTCACCTAATAAAAAATAATTTTTCTTTGGTATGAATCATCTGACACTAATCATAATGCTCAGAAATATTCAAAACTGAGTAATCCGACACAAAGTCTAATCCGACATTGATTTTATTTCCCGCAGCATGTCGGATAAGACAGGTTTCACTGTACTACATAAATAGATTATTTACCAACAGAAGTTTTTTAAATACATATACTTAAAATTTTATGTATAATGATTAAAGTTCATGAAAGTTTCCATACATACATGTAAAACATTGAGATTTGTTTATTTGTCAGATGTGGATGAATGTAAGACTGTGTATCCCTGCTCACACTTCTGTGTAAACACCATTGGGAGCTATCATTGTCGATGTGCAGAGGGATTCAAACTAGCAGAGGACTTAAAGACCTGCAGAGTCACTGGGTGTAAGCGGTCATCTTGCTTATTTTTTTTGATCTTTTTGAGCACTTTTTCTTACTAAGATGGTAGTTAACTTGATATATCTTTTTTTGTAGCCGTGAAACCATATTTGATTCTGGCTAATGGTTTTTACATAAGAAACATCAGCTTCACTGGTTCCCAGAAATTAATCCTGCATAACCTGAACAATGCTGTGGCTATTGACTTTGATTACGTGGATCAGATGATATACTGGTCAGAAATTACAGCCACCATGAGTAAAATTAGTCGTCTGAACACTACTGACCATAAAGTCACGGTGAGTACAATATCAAAACAAGTACAATTCATGAAAATGTAGCTGCATAAAGCATTTGTTTTAGCTACACACATTTTTAGTTTTATAAGTAGGTGTCAAATTTGCATATTCAGTTTTATTAGATATTTGTGGAAAACTATGTTTTTGTAGAAACTTCGCAAGTAATAATTTTTTTGAAAACTACTATACATGTATGTGTACTTAAAAAAGCGGGCTTTATATTTTAGCGGCTTTGGCGCAGATAACGATGCGCTAATTCATGAATACCCCTAAGAAATCATTTATAAATACAATGTACTGCAGGGATATTTATAGCGCTAATTCATGACTTTGCCAACAACTCCCAACCCAGTGATTGCAATAAATTTTGAATACGCCAATTTATGTACACATACAGTACTTGATTGCTAAATCAACATGGAGGTAATTTACTTGCAAAATCTTAATGATAATGAATTGCATCATAAAGTTCGTTAAAAGCAGGAGTTGGATGGGGAACATATGTATCAGCTTGTTCATGTGGCTCTGAATTGACGTACATGTTTTAGGTAATACATAATACCACACTAAGAAACCCTGATGGTATTGCTGTGGATTGGGTTGGCAGGAACATTTACTGGTGTGATAAAACAAAAGATACAATCGAGGTATCGCGACTGAATGGATGGTACAGGAAGGTTCTTATTGACAAAGAATTACAGGTATTGTAATCCATAATATAGAATATTATTGACAAGGAGTTACAGATATTGTAATCCATGTGAAATTGATAAAGAATTGCAAGTACCTGTTTTGTAATTCATGTGTCAGGGGCCCGTTTTACAAAAGAACTTACGACTATGATAAAAAATTTAGTTGATTGTAAAATTTTGCAAAATTGATGATTCTGTTTGAAATTACTAGCATAAAAATATATTGTTAGATTCCTTTTTAGCTCTACTGGTCAGAGACCAGAAGAGCTTATGCGATAGTAAGGTGTCCGTCGTCCGTCCGTCTGTCTGTCTGTCTGTCTGTCTGTCTGTCTGTCTGTCTGTCCGTCTGTCTGTAAACAATTTTTCAAAACGCTACTCCTCCTACAGTTTTGGTCCGATTTCAATATAACTTGGCACACAAGTAGACTACACTAAGATACATAATTTAGTGCATCGGTTTTTGATTTCGATGGACGGTGTTGCCATGGTTACTAAAAATAGAAATTTCTGTGAAATTCCTTTAAAACGCTACTCCTCCTACAGTTTTGGTCCGATTTCAATATAACTTGGCACACAAGTAGACTACACTAAGATACATAATTTAGTGCATCGGTTTTTGATTTCGATGGACGGTGTTGCCATGGTCACTAAAAATAGAAATTTCTGTGAAATTCCTTTAAAACGCTACTCCTCCTACAGTTTTGGTCCGATTTCAATATAACTTGGCACACAAGTAGACTACACTAAGATACATAATTTAGAGCATCGGTTTTTGATTTCGATGGACGGTGTTGCCATGGTTACTAAAAATAGAAATTTCTGTGAAATTCCTTTAAAACGCTACTCCTCCTACAGTTTTGGTCCGATTTCAATATAACTTGGCACACAAGTAGACTACACTAAGATACATAATTTAGAGCATCGGTTTTTGATTTCGATGGACGGTGTTGCCATGGTTACTAAAAATAGAAATTTCTGTGAAATTCCTTTAAAACGCTACTCCTCCTACAGTTTTGGTCCGATTTCAATATAACTTGGCACACAAGTAGACTACACTAAGATACATAATTTAGAGCATCGGTTTTTGATTTCGATGGACGGTGTTGCCATGGTTACTAAAAATAGAAATTTCTGTGAAATTCCTTTAAAACGCTACTCCTCCTACAGTTTTGGTTCGATTTCAATATAACTTGGCACAAAAGTAGACTACACTAAGATACATAATTTAGTGCATCGGTTTTTGATTTCGATGGACGGTGTTGCCATGGTTACTAAAAATAGAAATTTCTGTGAAATTCCTTTAAAACGCTACTCCTCCTACAGTTTTGGTCCAATTTCAATATAACTTGGCACACAAGTAGACTACACTAAGATACATAATTTAGTGCATCGGTTTTTGATTTCGATGGACGGTGTTGCCATGGTCACTAAAAATAGAAATTTCTGTGAAATTCCTTTAAAACGCTACTCCTCCTACAGTTTTGGTCCGATTTCAATATAACTTGGCACACAAGTAGACTACACTAAGATACATAATTTAGTGCATCGGTTTTTGATTTCGATGGATGGTGTTGCCATGGTTACTAAAAATAGGAATTTCTGTGAAATTCCTTTAAAACGCTACTCCTCCTACAGTTTTGGTCCGATTTCAATATAACTTGGCACACAAGTAGACTACACTAAGATACATAATTTAGTGCATCGGTTTTTGATTTCGATGGACGGTGTTGCCATGGTTACTAAAAATAGGAATTTCTGTGAAATTCCTTTAAAACGCTACTCCTCCTACAGTTTTGGTTCGATTTCAATATAACTTGGCACACAAGTAGACTACACTAAGATATATAATTTAGTGCATCGGTTTTTGATTTCGATGGACGGTGTTGCCATGGTCACTAAAAATAGAAATTTCTGTGAAATTCCTTTAAAACGCTACTCCTCCTACAGTTTTGGTCCGATTTCAATATAACTTGGCACACAAGTAGACTACACTAAGATACATAATTAAGTGCATCGGTTTTTGATTTCGATGGAAGGTGTTGCCATGGTTACTAAAAATAGAAATTTCTGTGAAATTCCTTTAAAACGCTACTCCTCCTACAGTTTTGGTTCGATTTCAATATAACTTGGCACACAAGTAGACTACACTAAGATATATAATTTAGTGCATCGGTTTTTGATTTCGATGGACGGTGTTGCCATGGTTACTAAAAATAGAAATTTCTGTGAAATTCCTTTAAAACGCTACTCCTCCTACAGTTTTGGTCCGATTTCAATATAACTTGGCACACAAGTACACTACACTAAGATGCATAATTTATTGCATCGGTTTTTGAATTCAATGGACGGTGTTGCCATGGTTACTAAAAATAGAAATTTCTGTGAAATTCCTTTAAAACACTACTCCTGCTACAGTTTTAGTCTGCTTCTAATATAATTAGGCATACAAGAAGACTATACTAAGATACATAATTTATTGCATTGGTTTTTGAATTCGATGAACAGTGTTGCCATGGTTACTTAAAATAGAAATTTCTGTGAAATTCCTTTAAAACGTTACTCCTCCTACAATTTTGGTCTGATTTCAATCTAATTTGGCACACAGTTAGAATACACTACGATACATAATATGTATTTCTGTTTTTTTTATTTGGGTGAATGGTGTTGTCATGGTTACCGGTACTAAAAATAGAAATTTCCGTGAAATACTTTCAAAACGCTACTCCTCCTAGTTTTCATTTGATTTCAATATAACTTGTCACAAAAGTAGACTACATTAAGATACATAATTCTATTTATTGTTGCATGTTGCAATGTTTCAAATCCAAGTGCTACTTTTCTTTTGTTATACAAAGAGACCAGTAGAGCTACAGTCTCATCAGAGACTTCTGGTTTTAAAAAGATTAAAACCATTTTCAAATAGCTGAAAAATAGAAAGTAAGAACCAGAATTAAATTTTGATCTTGGTCGTAAGTTCTTTCGTAAAACGGGCACCAGAATGTCTGATATAAGAACCCAACAAAAATCTACATGAACCAAAACCCGGAAGTGATCACCATTTGCCTGTCTTACCACAAATTTCCAACTATCTTTTTTTCATGATTACCCTGTAATTTTCTAATTTGGCATGTTATATCAGGAAGTAGTAAGGCATTTGATATTAAGTTTGATTCTGTTTGTCATCTTGATGAGGTCTAGTGTGGTGAGGTACCGTATATACTCGCTTATAAGTCAGTTTTTGGGGAGTTAAATTTTGGTCCAAAACTCTGTGTCCGACTTATAGGCAGGTCATAAAAAATTGGCATTTTTCTGGATGACAAATGTAGTATTTTTGAAGTATTTCTGACGTTTATCGTTTAACAAAGTCTGGATATAATATATCATTCTAAGATTATACATTAAGTACAAGTATTTACAAATTTATTAATTTTATTTCATTTTAAGTGTGTATTACTTATTTGTTTAATAATTCAAAATCAAATATTGGCATCATTTTTAAAAAAAAATCTTAATTGAAACCAGGTAAACATCAGAACATTGCTTTATATTGTCAACCAATTCTGGTAAAAAGTAGTACCGACTTATAAGCGGGTCAATGTCAAATCCTTCCAAAATAACCATAAAAAATACAACCGACTTATAGGCGAGTATATACGGTAGGTTTCTGATGATAAACATGAAGAGGCAAAAAGAATTTGCTTATTGCAAACTTATAAATACTTTAGTAGACAAGGATGATAATTTTCACTAACCCTAGTATTAATTAGCTTGCCTGCCTCAGAAGATGACAAGTCAGGGGTTTATCAGTACCTTCTGAGGGACCAATATTCGGCCTCAATCTTAATGGAAAATAGGCTAAATTTTTCCCAATTTGTTAATAAAAATACCCTAAATCGAAATATTGATTATTTTTTGTTTGTGTAATTTGTGTAGTTTGAGGACAACTGTTTTAGTTTCAGTTGATTAAAATATGCATATAGGTAAGATATGTTTCTAAAGAATGTAGAACAACAATGATATTATTTATTTTTTGCATGGACATTTTTACAGGTATCTTTAAACTTGATAATTACCTTTATTGTTCCACAGGACTATTAGTTCTTTTCTTAGATTTTCATTTTTTCTGACAATAACCATTAATTATCACAATCATGACCTGGACCATTACCGTTAACATAGATATATGTTTATCCTTCAGTGGGACTCTGTCTACCAAATAATTTTTTTATCCCCTTGCAATGCAGCTGGAGAGGATATAGTAATGTTTTTATGTGTGTGTGAGTGAGTGAATGCATGCAAAATGGAAGTTACGCAAGTAATAATTTATATGAGGATCTATAAACACTTTTGTGAGGGGATGCGTCCTTGTTGGTTTTTATACTTGTATGTTACTTTGATTGTTAGTATTCTTTTTCAAAGGTTACTTTGATTTTTAATACTTTAAAACCTTTATCACAGGAGCCTAGAGCTTTAGAAGTTTTCCCAGCTAAAGGTTTGATGTTCTACACTGACTGGGGAAATGAAGCCCACATTTCCTCTGCCCACATGGATGGCACTAATGTCAAGCGGATCATCCACAGAGACCTCTCCTGGCCCAATGCCCTGACTATTGATTATGTCACTGAGAAAATCTTCTGGGCAGATGCTAACCTAGATTACATTGCCATGGCAGACCTTGATGGTAGTAATCGACATGTTGTTATAGATTCCAATGTTCCCCATGTGTTTGACATGACCACTTTTATGGACCATCTGTTCTGGACAGACTGGGAGAGAATGAAGATAGAGACTGCTCACAAATTCTCAGGGTCAGACAGAAAACCAGTGGCTACTGTGATTCATCGACCAATGGGAATCCATGTGTTTCATCAGATGAAACAGACAGGTATAAACTTTCTGGTTTCTATCAGCTTGAGTACAAAGTTGTAATTAAGTGAATTATTTTTCCTTTTCCTATATGTATTTTTGATGTTTCATATGATAATGTTATGTAAATTTTTGCAGCTAAGGGAGCTAACCCCTGTTATAAGAATGGAGGGTGTGAGCATCTTTGTTTACTGAAGCCCAGCAGGCTGGGGTTGACCAAAGTTTGTGCCTGTCCTGAGAACCATTACCTGGCCAGTGATAATCGCTCATGCATCATGAACTGTACCAGGTCAGTATCAAGAGTGTATAATTAATGGTTCTAACAATTCTTTTGATTTGGAAATTTTGATACGAAGCAGTAAAATAGAATCTGTGAAATTTGATGTTCTTGTTGTAGTTCCCAGTTTTACTGTAAGAGGAGTTCGAAATGTATCCCTTTCTGGTGGAAGTGTGATGGAGTAAATGACTGTGAGGATGGCTCTGATGAGCCACGTGATTGTGGTAAGTCTGGGAGCTCTGAGCCACTTGATAATGGTAAATTCTGGGAGCTCTGAGCCACTTGATTGTGGCAAGTTCTGGGAGCTCTGAGCCATATGATTGTGGTAAGTTCTAGGAGCTCTGAGCCACTTGATTGTGGTAAGTTCTGGGAGCTCTGAGCCACTTGATTGTGGCAAGTTCTGGGAGCTCTGAGCCATATGATTGTGGTAAGTTCTAGGAGCTCTGAGCCACTTGATTGTGGTAAGTTCTGGGAGCTCTGAGCCACGTGATTGTAGTACATTCTTGGAGCTCTTAGCCACATGATTGTGGTAAGTTCTTGGAGCTCTGAGCCACGTGATATGTAGTACATTCTTGGAGCTCTTAGCCACATGATTGTGGTAAGTGCTTTGAGCTCTTAGCCACATGACTGTGGTAAGTTCTGGGAGCTCTGAGCCACTTGATTTGGTAAGTTCTGAGAGCTCTGAGCCACATGATTGTGGTAAGTTCTGAGAGCTCTGAGCCACTTGATTATGGTAAGTTCTGGGAGCTCTGAGCCACATGATTGTGGTAAGTTCTGGGAGCTCTGAGCCAGGTGATTGTAGTACATTCTTGGAGCTCTTAGCCACATGATTGTGGTAAGTTCTGGGAGCTTTTAGCCACATGATTGTGGTAAGTTCTTTGAGCTCTGAGCCATGTGATTGTGGTAAGTTCTTGAGCTCTTAGCCACATGATTGTGGGAAGTTCTGGGAGCTCTGAGCCACATGATTGTAGTACATTCTTGGAGCTCTTCGCCACATGATTGTGGTAAGTTCTGGGAGCTCTGAGCCACGTGATTGTGGTAAGTTCTTTGAGCTCTTAGCCACTTGATTATGGTAAGTTCTTGGAGCTTCTATATCATTTGTTGTAAAACTATAATAAGGATTATACAAACAGGAACTCTAGGTGCTTAATGTGGTTTGATATTTACCAGAAAAAGAACAAAGAGTCCATAATTGTTTTATTATGAAGTTCTGTATTGAATGAACAAAATAATGAAGAGTGCACCTGACAAACTTCCATTGCAGAAAGATTAAAAAATTGTCCAGGTCACAAGTTATGGCTTTTGTGTTTTCCTTTACTAGTGTAAAACATCATTTCTGGAATCACTGTCTAGTTAGTAGAGTATGCTGGGGCATCAACGATAGTTGGAAACGTGGGATAATTTGCATAACGGGCGAAGACCGTTATGCATAAATTATCCCACGTTTCCAACTATCGTTGATGTCCCTGGCATACTCTACTAACTAGACAGCGGTTTCTTATATTTCCATTTCATAGTGAAATAAAATTGTAAATTTAGATTTTAAAAATGTAGACTAACAGATTTAAATTACACAAGGCCTCACATGTCAATTTCAATAGTCCCCGCCCACTGACGTCAAACACAAAGACAGCCGCACGAGAATTACATGCATATTAGGCCTCCTTAGAGTCAGACACAAAGACAGCCGCGCAAGAATATACATGCATATTAGGCCTTCTTAGCTCCTGACCTTTCGCTTGGCGAAATCTGCATTCCGGTGGAATGATCAAGAAATCAACTCTCCTAACTTTCAAAGAGTTATCACAGAGAAAACAAATATAAATGGAAATATTGCTTTGACAATAACCCAGGGATGGGCTTGCAAAACATTTTTCCTGCTCAGGTACTCAGCTGGCTTCAAACATCGAAGCCTTTACAACATTAGGTGTCATTTGTGATGTCACAATTGCAGTTGCATGCTCACTGACCCTTTGGTGAATATGGCCTCAAATCCTGAGAAAATGTAATTTTATGAAATGATTGCATTTGTATAGATTATATAGGGACTACATTTTAAATAGACTATTGATTTTTTCGATTTTACTTGACCATGACAAGGAGCACACGGTGGGTGTGTCTGGTCGACAGGGGATGCTTACTCCTCCATGGCACCTAATCCCACCTCTGATGCTTTTAGAGGTCTATGTTTGCTCTGCTCCCCAATTTGTATTGTTTGAATGGACTATGAGCTTGAATACCATTCGTTATCTTCAAATTATTTCAATGTATATGATAATGTGCATTAAGGTGCATATATTTGATATTTATGTCTTGGTTCTATCTCTAATATCATTTGATGTAAAACTTTTATATTCATTATTTTATTACAAAGCTACATACAAAAAATGTATATAGAAAGTTTATTTATCTCTTCAATCTAGTTTTTGTAATAGAGAATTGTTATGCTCTGGGATAAAAAAAAAAAAGGTAATATTTTATCCATTTAACTTGAAGTTTTTTGCTTCTTTGGCTGACCCCAAAAGAATTCTTATTATAAAGAATCTGAGTAATTGTGAAGGGTATTGCCTAGTTGTTCTTTGCCAGAGTTACTGGATTATTTGTTTTGACAGATGAATACCCTTGTTCTGTACCTGGAGAGTTTAAGTGTGCACACAGTGGCAGTAAGGATGCTAAGGACTGTGTCAATCCAGTGGAGATCTGTGATGGAACCCCCCAATGTGACAATGGCTGGGACGAAGACCAGTTTGTCTGCCGTAAGTAAAGAGCACAAAGACAAATAATTTGTATTGTGTTTGAAACACTTCTCTCTCTGTAACTACTTTTATTTAACCTGACATCTTTTGATGAGTGAATTCTTATTATGAAATAACTTTTCTCCTAAAATTGTCTCATTTGTCAACCAATTACATGTAGTACTAATCTACCAACATGTAGAAAAAAAAGAATATAGTCTGTTTTTGACTTTTTATGCACTGTTTTGGTGACATCCACATTCCCTGTTTCAGAAAATTTCACTTGTCTTCCTGGTTTTACTAAATGTGTAAATGAGTCTAAGTGTATCCCCAGCCCTGATCTGTGTGAGATGCCCAGCTGTAATCCTGAGCTGCACAGTGTCAAGTGTAGTAAGTGTTAAAGTATTCATCCTCAACTACTCCGTCATCAGAATTTCATTTCATAGAAAGCGTTTTAATTGTACATGCACTGACAAGCAAATCGACTAAGTTAATATTGATTTTGAAATGCATAGGAGTTATTTTTTTATTCTCTACTTAATACAATCATAGACAATTTGCCTTATACTGACTTATCTGTTTCAGCCAATCAAAAATGTGACTCAAACATGTTTAGATGTGCCAATGGTCAGTGTATTTCGTACGTGTGGTGGTGTGATGGTGACCAGGACTGTCATGATGGTTCAGATGAAGCGGTTAACTGTACGCTGGAGGACTGTAAGGCAGGCTTTGTGAAGTGCAACGAGACCGGTCGTTGTTACCCCGAGTCGTGGCAGTGTGATGGGGATGCTGATTGTGGCCCGGATGGTTCTGATGAGAGCCCAGATGTGTGTGGTAGGTGTCTTTGTAGAATTGCATAGTACCTTCAGAATAACTCTGTTGAAGAACAGCAAAACTTCCTGTTATCAAATAGATATACAAGCATCACTGTCTAATGCAGATTCAAGTTCACTTGAGACATATCTCTTAGGGTCAGTGTAGGGCAACAATGATTTACATGGGACTATTTTTGAAATTCTTTAAAAAAATATGCCCCCACCATGAAATGGCCAGAGCATATAGTGTTACCCTGTTCCGTCATTCCATTATTCTGTCATTCCATCATTCACTTTCTGTTCATTTTCTCTGCAACAGTTCCACACATTCAACTCAAATTTGACATATGGATACGTCATAGGATTATGCAGGTCAAATCATGACCCCCAGGGGTAGGGTGGGGCCACAATGGATGATCAAAGTTTTACGTAGGAATATATAGAAAAAATCTTAAAAATCTATGATTGGTCATATTTATATGGAAGCATCCTCAGGCATTGTGGGTTCAAGTTTGTTCAAATCATGACCCCCGGGGTTAGGGTGGGGCCACAATGGATGATCAAAGTTTTACATAGGAATATATAGAAAAATCTTCAAAAATCTTCTCAAGAACAGCAAAGCAATGATTGGTCATATTTATATAGAAGCATCCTCAGATGGTGTAGATTCAAGTTTGTTCAAATCATGACCCCCAGGGGTAGGGTGGGGCCACAATGGACGATCAAATTTTAACATAGGTGTACATAGGAAAAATCGTCAAAAATCTTCCTCTCAAGAACAGCAAAGCTTTGATTGGTCATATTTATGTGGAAGCATCCTCGGGTGGTGTAGATTCAAGTTTGTTCAAATCATGACCCCCAGGGGTAGGGTGGGGCCACAATGAACGATCAAAGTTTTACATAGGAATATATAGGAAAAATCTTTAAAAATCTTCTCAAGAACAGCAAAGCCATGGTTTGTCATATTTATACGGAAGCATTCTCAGATAGTGTAGATTCAAGTTTGTTCAAATCATGACCTCCAGGGGTAGGATGGGGCCACAATGAAAGTTCAAACTTGTAGAGAAAAAAGTCACTGTTAGTCAAAAAATTATGTAAGCATCCTTAGTTAGTGTAGATTTAATTTTGTTCAAATCATACCCCCCACTCCCTTTTAGGGGTAGGATGGGACAACATATGCATTTAAGCTTTTCAATACTAAACTGATTTTTTCCTTTTTTCCTAGCCACAGTGCTCAGGTGAGCGATGTGGCCCCTGGGCCTCTTGAATTAGAGGAAAAAAGAGATGTGATCATTTTCTTATTATTCTTGAGTTATTAACTGTGATAAGTACTCTTAGTCACACTTTTTTCACGAGAACTTTATTTTCTTGTAATTATGCGAGACCCTCTGTTTGTGAAAATTTTATTCTCACATTTATTTTTATTATCAAAGATAAAATATAACGATAAATAAACTAAAATTTGAGTAAAAAACTACCAAATAAATTTCTTGCAAAAATAAGGTATCCCGAAAAATTGGTGAGCTACAGTAACCTACGTCTTTTTTTTACAGACAGGAAATGTGACAATGAGACTCAATGGCAGTGTGAGAGTGGCCAGTGTATCTCTAAAGTCTGGCATTGTGACTTTGACAAAGACTGTCATGATGGCTCAGATGAAAAGTACTGTAAAGGCGGTGAGTACACATGTACTGAGAATATTTTACAACAGTGAAGATTGCAATGAACATCTTATTTTTTTACATTATCTATTTGGCTTACACAGCTACTGGTAAATACAAAAATATTTGTTAGATTTTTCTTTTTATGGTTTTGTTAAATGTATAGTCATCATGCAGTTTTACATTTCAACAAAATACATGTTTCATCAAGGTTTAACTCATCCTCGCAAGCCAGGGGTCCTGAGTCAACACGTTGCCGTTGGACCCCTGGCATATTTCATTCAATATTTGTGGGCTGACTGTGGCGACGTCTTTCGGAAAAATTACAAATCTTGATTGTTTTTCTCATCTCTCAACCAATCACATTAAGCCATTCTATGATAAACAACTTGTAACACGTGCATTTGAGGTGTCAACTGAATCCTTATCTAACTATTTATGAAAGCTTTAATTTGATTGGTGCTTCTCAATGAGAGAAGCAAGCCCACGAATATTGAATGAAATATGCCAGGGGTCCAACGGCAACGTGTTGACTCGGGACCCCTGGCTTACGAGGATGGGTTTTACTTGAAGTGTACACATTCAAAAAGTGAAATTTACATTTATTTTTAGGTACAGTAGCTAACTTAAACAATAAATTATTCATATAAAGTAGGTGAAAGTAGGTAAAATATTTTATTGGCCTGTGTGTTTCATTAATGGAAGAGCCTACTTCTTAAGAAATCTTCAAACAAGTGGCTTTATAAAACCAGTTCTAACTAGCTGTTAACTAGTTAATGGATTGATAACAGCAAATATTTACATTTGCAATTTTTTTTCTTATATAACAGTATTTGAACAAGGCGTTTTTACACCTGTTTAAAACAAGTTCGTCTTGTGACCATTATATTAATTGTTTAGTCAAAAACGATCTACGTAATTTCATAGTGACGTCATAAGTGATCGACATGTTCAACACATTCAATTTATACCGTTGAGTTTTGAAAAAAATAAATCATTTATGGGTTTAATCTTTAGTACCTTACTATTTGTAATAAATCAGTCACAAATGTAAATATAAGTAATAAGGTATCATTTTAAAAGTTTTATCGGGATGTAAATACGGGTTGGCATGTGATCAAATCTACCATAAAGCCCTTCGGGCTTTATGGGATTTGATCACATGACCAACCCGTATTTACATCCCGATAAAACTTTTAAAATGATATATTATTTCTTAATTGGTTTTCATAGAAAAAAAAACTATTTAGGGGATTGTTGATTTTATGTGTTTCAGATGATTATCGAAACTGTTCTGAGGCAGAGTTCCGTTGTGCCAATAGACGCTGTATACACAAGTCATACAGATGTGATGGAGAGTACAACTGTGAAGACAGCAGTGATGAAGCCAACTGTAACATGAGTAGGTTATCAGTATACAACTGTAAACAAAGAAGGTTATCAGTATACAACTGTAAACAAAGAAGGTTATCAGTATACAACTGTAACATGAGTAGGTTATCAGTATACAACTGTAAAAAAAGAAGGTTATCAGTATACAACTGTAAACAAAGAAGGTTATCAGTGTACAGAACAAAGAAGGTTATTAGTATAAAGCTGTAACATGAGTAGGTTATCAGTATACAACTGTAAGAGGAGAAGGTTATCAGTATACAGCTGTAAACAAAGAAGGTTAATAGTTCACAGCTGTAACATGAGTAGGTTATCAGTATACAGAACAAAGAAGGTTATCAGTACACAGAACAAAGTTACAGCTGTAACAGGAGTAGGTTATCAGTTTACAGCTGTAACAGGTGTAGGTTATCAGTATACGACTCTAAACAAAGAAGGTTTTCAGTATGCAGCTGAAACATGGGTAGGCTATCAGTAGATGTATATAGCTGCAAACAAAGAAGGTTATCAGTATACAATTATAAACAAATGGGGGTAATTTTATACTGCTGTAAACAATGTAGGTTATCAGTACACAACTGTAAAGACTGAGAGGATTATCAGTATGCAGCTGTAAACTAAGTAAGTTATCAGTTTACAAGTAACAGCTGTTAAACTAAGTAGGTTTACAGTATACAATTAACAGAATGAATTGGTAATAGATATCTGGAAGGTCCTAATAGTTTGTATATTTCTGTTTACAGCTCATGCCTGTAATCCAGAGACTGAGTTTTCCTGTAACAATCTGTGTATACAAAAATCCTGGCACTGTGATGGAGAGATAGATTGTCCTGGGGGAGAGGATGAAATTAACTGTTCCATAGGTTAGTTGGAATAGACACAACTTAATAAAACTACAGATACATTTGGAAATTGCTGTGTGGACTTAATTGAGGATTTTTTTTATAGAAAAATGTGACGGTGGCTTTAAATGTGGTACTGGTGCCTGTGTGCCGTACTCCTGGCAGTGCGATGGTGAGAATGATTGCTCCGATGGGTCAGACGAGGAATCACTTCACTGCAGTAAGTTCAGTCAATTAGTAAGGGGCTATCATCTTAGTTCATTAACTCCATATCTTAAAATTAAAAACAATCCCATTCTGGGCCATCATTAAGAATATTTTGCTTGATGTACTCTGACCCAAAGCTTTCAAAGTGGGTAGGAAGGTGGGTATTTTTTTTTTTACTTTATAGTATTGAACAAATTGATAATTGTCATAAAAATCACAGAATCAGAAATTTATTGATGTTTTTGTTACACACACTGGATAGCTAGACAGATTTTAATATTTATTTCTATTAAAAAAGCATCCTAGAGAAATTATATACATGTAATTTAGCTTTGAAATGAAGCAATCTCTTTCTATGAAAACTAAGGGGGAAATGCTGAAAAAAAATGATTGGGTAGGGGTGATTTTGACGGGTCGGTCGGAGTACATCAAACAAATCATTTTTTATAGTTGGCCCTGCTTTATATTAAATATGATTTGATTTAAATGAATCTGAATATATTCATTTTAACATACAAAAAAATATCTTCTATCTGTTAGATATTTAGCTTCAATATTTTTCCACAGTAGAGCTGTCTACAAATCTCGTAAGTTTGTGCAGTTTTTAGCTCACCTCAACGAAGTTGGGGGAGCTTATGTAATACCCTCGGCGTCGGTGTCGGCATCCCAGGTTAAGGTTTTTGGAGCAGTTTTCTTTTCAAGTACTTCTATGGCCTATATTAGTCAGAGATGCATGTAGGATGCTTCTAGTGTGTTTCATTGTACCAGTCAAGGTTTCAGATGCTGCAATTTCAGCTAAAGAATGACCAGATTAATGTTTTTTGGAGCAGGTTAAAGTTTTTGGAGCAGGTCTCATTTCCAAGTAACTATTAGCCCTATATTGACCAAACTTGCATGGATGATACATCTAAGGATGCACACTACTGAACTTGCTTCAGATGCTGGATCTGACCTATATTTTCCGGATGAGTAACCAGATTAAAGTTTTTGGAGCAGATCTCATTTCCAAGTAACTAAAAGGCCTATCTGAACCAAACTTGCATGGATGATGCATCAAGGGACGAGCAATCTCAAAACTTGCTTCGGATGCTGGATTTGACTTACATTTTCTGAATGAGTGACTAGTTTTAAGTTTTCAGATAAGTCTATTCCCAAGTAACTGCAAGCCCTATCAGACCAAAATTGCATAAATGTTGCTTCTAGGGATGCACACTCCTAGATTATTAGTTTAGTGTGGGACTTTGCCTTACTTAAAGACAACATTCGTTGAGGTGAGCTCTGTAATCTCTGATTACCTATGTTTAATTCAATTTAGAGGATTAGGTTCAAAGTAAGGATGTGTCAATGTCACTTGCATAACTTAAACGAATAATCAGGGGGCTTTAGTCAAGGGATAGTCGAGTACTTATTAAAATAATTTTTCTCATGGCAGTTTCACTTTATATGCTTTCAAATTGCTTTTAAAATATTTAAGCCATGTCAGAAGGAACTGATGCATTGGAGATTTTCCATTAATTTTGCCAATATACATTATACATGTACAATAGTTAACAAAGCTAATTTAAAATTGTGCATTTTAAATATTACATATGAAGACCAATCTTTTTTTTTCTTACTATCAAGGAATTTCTCTCAGATAGTGCCCCCATCCCCACTCCCTCTACTGAAATTGCTTCTTACGTCCAAAACTAAATTTACTTTGAAGTAATAAATATCTGTATAAGTGCACAATGTATCTGATTATCTGATTGGAAAAAAAAAATTCTGCATATTTTATCTAAATAAGCTTTACCAAATTCTGTGCTGGCTTTTCTTTTTCTCATGATGCTAATACGTTAATGTGTAATCAATTATCACTTGAGGCCATTTAATGCTTCTAATTTTCCTTAAATCAATGACCCATGCTATTAAACAATGAAATTTACCTTTTTATCAAAACATAAAAAGCTTGCTATGAAGTTCAGTTATGAAATTTTCATCTTCACTAGCCAAGGGTTTCCGCTCCCCATAAATGGGGAGCTTAGTGGACCGAAAACCCTTGCCTAGGGAAGATATGAAATTTTGTACAAACAACAAATTCAATTTTTATATTAATTGACATTATATGTTAAATATGTTTAGATCAGACTCATTAATTACATGAATGCACAAGTATGTTTTCATTCTTATTAAAAAGATATTTTGATACACAAACATATAATCATGGGGGAATCTAAGCTTGGAAACAACAGCTAAAAAAGCTTTTCATTTAAAAAAAAATTACTACTATAAGTAGCACATTTTTTAACGAGTTTCTGAGTAAAAATTACTTACTTTAAACCAACAATTATTCATGAAAATTTTTGCAATTTATTTGCAATTCTTCGTTGGGAAATCTATCTGCGACTATTAATATTTGCGACCAAGGAAATGTTCAACATAAATACACAATTAAAGTAGTAATTTGCGACAAGAAATATTTGCAGTTTAAGAAGGTTGCAAAACTCGCAATTATTTCTTGCACAAGAATAAAGGTTGGTATTCAGTTGTTAACAATCGGTGTGACCGAGTGATAGTATAGTATTCAAATACTGATTGACATCCCCAGTTGAAAGGGATAATAAACATATTATGATGGTAAACTTTTCCAGCATTCAGATGTAATTCCTTGGCTTTCTCTGATGGCATGTTTATTTTCAGAGAATTTTTCATGCGGAGAAGACCGATTCAAATGCCACACCCACATCTGTATATTTGCCAATCAGCGCTGTGATGGCATTGACAACTGCGGAGATGGCTCAGATGAACGCTGGTGTAAGTTTAATTGGAATATCAGGCTCTGATATTTCTTTATCAAAAAAAAAGAATAAAATACATGTAACTTAGACCCTGAATAGAGAAGGATGGAAATGTAATTGTGTGTTGTAGGTAAACATGAGAGATGTTCTCTAGATTAGCCTGGTTCCCTGGCTCATCCTTGCCAAAGCAGGAGAGCCAGGTGGATTACAATCAATGCTGTCCATTGATTGGTCAGAACAATTATGCACTAAATTGTGGCCGTTGCCATGAACCACAGAAAAAAATATTATCCAATGATACATTGCATCGATGGCGTAGAAAAATATGACATCACAATGACCTTCTACACCAGAAGCACAGCTAAATATGACTTTACAATGGGCTCAGATTCAGGGCAGATATGCCCTGAATCCATTGTAGTCTTTGGAGTCATTGTAGTCTTTGGCCATTGTAGGCCCTAGTATTGTGGAGTATACGAAGCATAGCAGGGATGGGGAACCAGGCTATTCTCTAGATGAGTTTATGTGTTGTAGGTAAACATGAACAATGTTCTCTAGATGAGTTTATGTGTTGTAGGTAAACATGAACGATGTTCTCTAGATGAGGCTATGTGTTGTAGATAAACATGAGAGATGTTCTCTAGATGAGTTTATGTGTTGTAGGTAAACATGAGAGATGTTCTCTAGATGAGTTTATGTGTTGTAGGTAAACATGAGCGATGTTCTCTAGATGAGTTTATGTGTTGTAGGTAAACATGAGCGATGTTCTCTAGATGAGTTTATGTGCAGGAACACATCGGAGTGTATACCCATGTCAAAAGTTTGTGATAGAAAAAATGACTGCTTTGTTAAAGATGATGAAAGCCCTACTTTGTGTCGTAAGTAAATCAAAGATACAGTAGGTCAAGTTAGATAAATTGTTAAAGATTTACTACAGTACAATTCCTCTAATAATATAGTTTATATGTCTGTCAAAATTATTATAATTTAGGCCAAAAAAAATAATCATTAGTTTCTCAGGCACCGCAGCGTCAGGTCAAACACTGCCGCATTGATCAATTTTATTGACATATTGATCGAAAAGCGAAGTAACTCAATTTTCTATTTTTCCGAGTTGAAAAATAAAATCTAGGTATTCCCCTATTCATAATTGCTAGTATATAGACATTTTTTATTAGATAAACAATATATTTCTTGTTAATATGGTATTTTATGAATTAACTTTGTTTGGAATAACATTATTTAAAGTTGAAAACATATAATAATTAATGTATGAGAACAAAAAAGTAAGAATCAGTTAATATTTTGTTGAACGACTGACTTGGAAAAAGGTATAACACCTGCTTCCAAAAAAGAAAAAAGAAGCTGCCTGTCGCATTGAATTTTGTAATTTTTGGCCTGAGAAACTATTAATAATTTTCTGTGGCCTTATAATGATTACGATGTATTAAGGTGCACTATGCTTTTGACTCTAAGGATCAGTTCATATGTTTCACCTGTGTAATCATATATAATCTCACAACTTACTTCTGTTGAAGTAAAAACCTATTCTTTGTTTCCAGAATCTGAAAGACATTGCTCTACAAACCCTTGCCAGCATTTGTGTTCTTATTATCCCTCTCTGGACAAATACAAGTGCACATGTAAACAGGGCTTTGCTCTACAAGATGATGGCTTCTCATGTGTTGGTAAGTATACAACTCGGCAGTTTTCTGACTGACCACCTGCATTATAAGTATTAACATACTTTAAGTAATAGTGAATGTAAAAGGTGCATACATTTTTTTTTTTTGCAGTTTAAATAACATTTTATTTAAACAAAAGTAAATTTCATTAGTATATGATTTAATAATTCTTATCTCTCTGGTTGGCTGAGATCCCACAATGTAGAAAAAATACAACATTATATTCACCTGCAGGTGACCCAAATCCCTCACCACTAACCCCAAAACAAAATTAATTTTGAAGTTAAGAGAATTCTTTTTTTTATGGGTTTTTTTTTTCAGCTGTCAGTTTTCCCTGATAATACCCCCCCCCCCCTTTTTCAAAATCAATCTTATTGAAGTTTTTGTTTTTCATAGCAACTTAAGTAGAAAAAAAAATTCAAATTAGTATGACTGGTAATATTTATTTAACACTGCTTCTCTCATTGCATTTGCTATGACTTCAGCAATGTAAACAAGTAAGATGGCATGAACTGCTTAATGGGTTTGTATCATTTGATCATTGAATCATTTAATAAAACAATTAGTGCTGTTTTTGAGGTCAATACAATGATTAAGCCACCTGAGGAGTACAATATTCACCGAGCCCAAGTATTATTATATAATATTTCGAACTACATGTTAATCTTAATTAAAACTGAAAACAGTGTTTACCTTTGTTCCAGAAATTGACCAGTGTAAGTCCTGGGGAATATGCCCACAACAGTGTAAAGTTGTCAAACAATACGATGTGCAGAGACCCGCGTGTTCGTGTGATGTCAACTTCATGTCAGGTTATCTGATGGGGACAAATATTCGTACATGTTATGCCAAAGGTAAGAAACAGAGCTGATCTTGTAAAAAAAACTCTTATCTAACGACCAGGAATTGTGTAAGCAGCATGGAACCTGTAGAATTTTATGCTTGACTAAGCTTCATAAAGTGCTTATGTAAAAATATGAATACCTGCATGTATATACAACTATGGTAAAAGAACTTGATTTTTACCTGCCAGATATCTGTCAAGATGATCTACAAAATCTTTATGTTCCTTGAGATAAGTTGTCCCAAATCGTTCAACTTTTGAAAAATTGTTAACAGTTGTAAATGGACATCTACAAATATTGTAAACATACTTGTTTTAGGGTTTATCACAGTTTAGTGCCTTTTACACTGCTACCTCAATTCATGTACATGATTGAAACTAGTACTTGTCCTTTTAAAGACTCAAGTGTGCTTATTATAGTATATTATACAATGTAAAAGCTCAGGCACTGTTGTTTTGTTTAGTCTGCATGATGATAGTTACAATTAGGAGTGTATTAGAACTGGCAAGTACAGGCAAGTATATAGTCTACTTTATGATTTGTTACTGAATACTCATCTTCGCTAGCCAAGGGTTTCTGAGACGCTGCTCTCCTCATAAACCTTTGGCATACGGTGCTGACAAAAGACAGGATGTTTTCATCACATGATCACGATTCTTGCCAGGTGCACACAGATTGCGTCATCGACAGAAATAAAAAGTGTATTAAAAAAATTAATGTTTTTTAAGAATAATTAACAAGAAGGTATTGAGTTATGTTAATTTGTTATTTAAACATGTTAAAATGCAAATCTACATCTTCAGTATAGATTCTTAATCACATATTTTGCACGTAGCTTAAGATATTGGATGACACCATATAGCTATACTTAGAATGGCATGTTATCTTACGGATCGTTGTTTACTTGCGTTTTTCATTCCCGATATTAAAGAGTCAAGATATATCCCGAACTCAAATATCGTCATTTACAAAAAACAATTGCTGATTGGTCGCATGATGTCAATCAACTCCAATCACAACTTGAGAAAAAAATCCCAACTTTTTTTAACACTGTGTGCCAAGGGCTTATGAGGATAGTAGCGTATCAGAAACCCTTGGCTAGCGAAGATGATGAATACTAGACAAACTATTTTGTTGATCCCTGATCATACTATTTCTCTAACTTATAGGCAACATATCTTCATCTATCAGTTTTGTTTTATTTTATACTTCTCTGGATCCTTTACAGTGATATATCACACTCAGGTGACCATTAAGGCCCTTGGGCCTCTTGTTTCCTCTAGATTCCAAAACTTTTCTTTCGTATGATTTTGAAATGCTTCACTTAGTCAGGTTTTATTGAGATGAAATATCTATATTTTAGTCTTGTGTAAATATCAAGTAGATCATTTTTCATATGTGAACTTAAATTGCAGGACCAAAGCCGGACATTCTTTTAGCACATGAAACTGAAATCATCAGAGCTGGTGTCGGGAAAGGTGGAGATGAAAAGCCACTCAGTGTGAATGAGGTTAGTGATCTTTTATCATAAATAATCCTCGAACAAAGGAGAGTTGCGGAAATCTCAGTGAATCTTAATTTGGCAAGTATTCAATTTTGGTATATTTAGCAAGAATGTTGAGGTCACTAAAATTGAAGATCGCGAATAGTTCATACAGCATTTGAGATAAGACATTTTTCATGGCAATATTAAAATCTTAAAAATTGCCTCTCATGAAAGGAAATAATTCCAAAAAATTTCACTCATATTGTAGTAAGTATAGGTGAATCTTACCTGAAAAGTTTTACTTATGACAAAGTGACAAGTCCTACATGTACACAGACATGTACACATGGCAAGACTAGAGCTAAAAATACATTGTACATTAATGATTTTGAAAAATATGAAATACAGAAATAATCTTCATTTCATTTCAATGCTTGTAATATTTGTTTCAAAATCTTGGCATTAAGGAATGATAAATTGTTTGAAATTCTTGCTCACAGCATTCTCAGGAGAAGATTCTGTCTATGGATATAGATGCCACAGACACAAATGGAGAGCTCATCCTATTTACTCTACAGACCAGTTCAAAAAACCGCTCAACTCTGTATCGTTATGAAATAAATAAATCATCCAGAAGAAAAAGACAAATTCCAACTAAGGTAATTTGAAAAATGTCTTTCAAAATGTGTAAATGGGAGGAAGGGGGATATATGGCTACCCATGTCTGTTACTCTGTCCTTCCATCCATCTGTCCTGCTTTGGTTTTGTTGGTAGGTATTTGTACCATGGGTGGATGTGAAAAAGAGGTTGGTTCAGAATTTTTACGTACATGATTTCTGTTATTAAAAGTACCACCACCATTTGGTGATCCGATAAAGTGCTTGGCTGGTATTGCATTTGGGGTCAGAGGCATGTCTTCATTTTTGAAATATTAAACACTACACCAAATTTCATTTTGCATTTCAGATGCATGTAGTTCACATTTATACATGTTTAATTGTAATAAAGTTGTAAGAAAGGTTTTAAATATGTCAGGGGGGTACATGATGTGCTTGTAGAATAGAGAGTAAATATTCAAGAAGGGAAAGGGACATTCAAAAGCATATATTGCAGTGAATCAATTCTGCACCATGTACCGTCAAGGAGCACTTACTGACATTTTGTCTTTGCCACATAATTAATGATGTTTGTCGTCAAGGTATATTTATAAATTTTTAACATAAATATTATTTTATGACTTTATTTAGGGCACAAATGTAGTGAAAATTAACACCTGTCGTTACTACCCTGTAATTACATCTGCCAGTCCGTTGCTTTTGGTTTATTGGCTCATCTGAGTCAAAGTCTGTTGTATGTTGTCAATAGCATCATTGTCGTCATCATTGTCACCATAAACTTTTCACATTTTCGACTTCTTTTCAAGAATCACTGGACCAATTCCAACCAAATTTGGCACAAAGCATCCTTTGGTGAAAGGGATTCAGATTTGTTCAAATGAAAGGCAACACCCTCTTGATAATTTTCTTAAGCAAAAATTTAACATCATCTTTTGAAATCTTCTTCTCTAGAACCAATAGACCAGAAAAGATCAAACATTTGAAAGCTTGATTACCTAGTGTAGAGTCAAGCTTGTTCAAATCAGGACCCCCCTGAGCTAGGAGGGGTCACAACAGGGGATGAAAGTTATGCTCAAGATTATATAGGAAAAATCTTCTTGAGAACAGCAAAGCTATGATTAGTCATATTTATATGGAAGTATCTTCAAGTTGTGTAAATTCAAATATCTTCAAATCTTGACCCCCCTAAGGTTGGGCCACAGTGGGCAATCAGAGTTTCTTCTAGGAATATATGGGAAAAAGTCTTTGAAAATTTTCTACTCAAGAACATCAGAGCTATAATTAGTCATATTGAAGCATCCTTTGGTAGCAAAGATTCAAGCTTGGGGTAGTGTGAGGCAAAAATAGATCAAAGTTTTGCATAGTAATATATTGGAATTTTTTTTTTTTTAAATTTTCTCAAGAACACCAAAGCCATGTTTAGTCATATTTATAAGAAAGCATCATCAGATAGTGAAGAATCAAGTTTTTTTTTCAAATCATAGCCCATTGGGGTAGGATGAGGCCTTAGTGGGTGATTGAAGTTTTACATGGGAATATATAGGAAAAAAATCTTTAAAAATCTTCTTCTCAATAACAGCAAAGCCGTGATTGGTCATATTTATTTGGAAGCATCCTCCAACAGTGAAGATTCAATTTTGTTCAAATGATGACCCAAGGGGTAGGGTGGGGCCACAATAGGTGATCAAAGTTTTACTTTGGTGTATATAGGGGGAAAATATTCTGATGAAGAACAGCATGACCTTAGTGACTCAGGTGAGTATTGTGGTCCAAGGGCCTCTTATTTTAGTTCTCTAAGCTACCATGCTTATGATGTATATAGATAGAAACTGAACTTCATTCAGGGCACAAATGAAGTGAAAATTACCACCACAGTTTTTATTCCCCATGCAATACATCTACCAGTTTATTGGTTTTTGTTGAAGCTATCATGCTTATGATATTTATAGAAATAAACTGAGTTTTTGAATTGTAGATTTATTATTCTTTTATTATTAATTTTTAATAACAAATTATTACTTTATTCAGTCTTTTTCTTAATTTTCCAGTGTTCTCTATGCTAAGTAAATAGATATTTTAAATGTACTTTTTTTTCACAGGTGATTTCTGAGCTGGCTGAACCTCATGGTCTGGCTGTAGACTGGGTGGGGAAGAATATATACTGGACAGATGCTCAGATACATAAAATACAGATGGCAACATACAGTGGAGGAAAGAAGAGAACAGTTGTTACCAATCTACACCAACCCCATTCAATAGCTGTCAATCCTGAACTTGGGTAAGGGAAACAACTCACCATTTGATATGATTTACTTTGTATTATATCACTTTGTGTTGTAGGTAAACTAACTTTGATGATTCAGAACAACACTTGGTGTTTTTCAATCATAATACTATTGTAGTGCAGGTTTTGTGTGATTTCTTTCAGTTGAGATTTAACTATGTAAAGGTATCCACAGTTGTTAGGTCACCTGAGTCACTGAGGTGACTTATTGCTATCTGATTTTGTCTGTCGCCATTAGTCGTTCATCTGTCATAAAATAGTAATTGATAGATAATTGAAAATGAGGCAAGAATATCTTATATTTGTACATTAAACATTATTCAAAGACCAGGAGAGGCCATGTGTACTTTGTGTATACTTTTTTGTGCTCATGCACTTCTGTGTTGTTTTGTCTGTGATAGTAAAAATGGGTCAGGAGTGTATTAGCACTGACAAGTACAGGCAAGTAACTAGATCTATTTTGAGTTGTTGCTAAATACTAGACTAACTATGTTGTTGATTTCTTGTTTTAGGGTAACATGTCTTCTTACATCTTAATTTTGTTTTATTATATACTTCTGTGGATCCTTTACAGGGTTTAATTCACATACTCAGGAGACCATCAAGAACCTTGGGCCTCTTGTTCAATATTTTTGCTGAAGTTTACATTTCATGATGCACCTATGTAGCAATTGATCAGTCTTTGAGCAGGTCTTGAATATTTACCACATGAAAGAACCAGAGAATGGGTCGAATTTTTATTTGAAATGGAGTAATATTTGATTTGACCAACTAAGAACCACATATTTGATAAGCTAGAACCATTATCATTTTTGTCTACAGGAAAATTTACTGGACTGATCGTGGATACCCACCAAAGATTGAGAGTGCTAACCTAGATGGAAGTGGTCGCAAGGTGCTTGTTAAAGATAACATGATCTGGCCAAATGGAATCACTGTAGATTACCCTAACAGTCGAATTTACTGGGTGGATTCCAAAAAGCAGACCATAGAAACTGCTGATATGGAAGGAAAAGACAGACATGTAGTCCGACAGTTTAACAGTGCGTAGCCAGAATTTTTTAGATATCAGTAAAAATGCTTCAGTCATTAAATATGTGTATATGACTTTACATGTAAATCAGAAATATAAATGAGTGTACCACTTCTTTGATAGAGACAGCCAAAGACCCACCTTATATGCTAGATGTGTTTGAAGATTTCCTGTACGTTACGTTTTACAAAAGCCATAATGTGACACTGATCCACAAGTTTAACAACTCCTTTGTCAAAGATAGAGTCATGTTTAAAAACCTGAAATATGTTGGTGATATTGTGGTTACACATCCTAGCAAGCAAAAACAAATCCGTGAGTAAATTCTTTAGGATAAGTCTGTTACAATGAAATTGTAGCCTGGGTTGCAAATAACATTTAAAACCTTAGGGGCCAACTTAAGATGTTTTACTAGCCCTTATTTATATTTTGGGGCTCACAATTTTCTGTCCACACAGTGAAAAAAATTTCTCAATCTTTTTCATGTCATAGTTTTAGAGAACTTTTGCTGTCCACAGTTTTTTACTTTTCCTGCGGATTAGGACACCACTTGTATGAAATTCCATGTTTTCAGTTTGAGACCTCAAGTAGTGTAAATGTAGACATGACTCAGGTTTTAATTAGAAAACATTTTGTAAGTGGAAACAGTGAAAAACAGTGAACAGTTAAAGTGCATTTAATAGTAGAAACAAACCATAGTCAGGTTCTTTAATCATTCTGATAAAATTCTTACTTGCCATGTGGCTGATAACATCCTCGAAAGTTGGTTGCCCACAGACGAATTACATTTGCAAGATGGCAAGTGTTTATTTGCAACCCTGTTTAGTAGATGTAAGTACATACATATAATAAAGTTCCATGCATCATGGTTTATAGACAGTGAAAAATTCAGCATTGACATTTTCAGTGTATTTCATGTATTTGAATAACTGTATCTCTAGGTGTGATTCTGTTTTCATTTAATGTGTTTCTGTTAACCTTTTGATAATATTGTATACAGATTGTACAATATAGGTAAAAAAAGCCTAATAACCACTGTTTATCATAGAATGCAAATGATATTTTTAGAAAATAACTGTGCATCCTCCCCTTGCAAGCGTGGCTGGTGTATCAACATGCCCCTGTCCATTGGCGCAAAGTTTAAGTGTGTGTGTAATGATGATTCGCATTACAATGAGGATCAGGGCGAGTGTGTCTTCTATAAGGACTGTGTCAATGGAAATCGCAATCCCACCACTAAACAGTGTGTGTAAGTATACCGAACCGTAAAAATCATCAAAAGATCAGGGGGAAGATAAACAGGATGACCATCGTTTATCTCGAGACTTGATTCTAGGAAACATTTAACCATGTTAAGATCAGGGTTCATGTCAAAATGAAAATACAAAAACAAATTTCTGTTGATATTCTGGAAATAAATTTTTTAGGACATTTTGATGACTCAAATAAGATGATGACTTGATAACTCTAAAATGATAGCATGAAATTTATGACTAGTTAATTAAATAAAGAGGTAGACTAAGTTATGAAGAACAGACAAGTAGTATGCTACCTGGACTGAAAATTTGAGGAAATTAATCTTGATTGGCAGTCATTGTTTCCTGGTATCATTAAATTTCTTGTACTTGCCATTTTTTTAATGTGGTGGCAGGCTTTCATGATGTGTAACATGTTCATAAATAAGCTTAAAAGCTTAAATGTTGTGAAAACTAGAAACTTGTATCCTGTATATACAGGGAATTTTTCGCCCCTTTCACCCTACTCACTTGTGGGCAGATTTAAAATGGGGCGAATTAAAAGAACATAATTTCTTAAACAAAACTGGGTGGATTAAAATGGGGCAAAATTGTTTACCAGTGTGAAAGGGCAAAAATAACATGGGGCAAAAATAACCCTGTATACAGTATTGCATATTGCTTTGGCTAAAAGCTTGTTGGCAAGCTTCCTTGCTAGTTCCAACAAATATTGGGTCAGTTATATCTGTAAATAAATGCCTAAGAAAAAAACAACTTTTCCCTGATATTTTTATGTGGTTTCTGTTGCACACTACCATGCTAGCTATTGGGGGGGGGGGGTATATTTATAAAACTGAAAATTGTTAAGTTTAAAAAAATTTTTAAATGCTCCAGTAATTTTTTGACAACATTCCAATTTTCCTCAACTAATGTCTCACACTTCTGTCACTAGCAATGAATGTCTGCTTTATTTTTGATAATGAATCACAATCATGTTTATGCCTGGCCATGAATATGGCCATATCATATAGTGTTTGTCATGTCCGTCTTCTGTTCTTCCATCCTTCTGTTCTCTCACATTATGCGTTTCAAAGAAACTATTCAAGATATGTATATCAATCTTCATATGCTGATACATATTAATGAGAGCTATTCAACTTCATTAACGTTCAAAGAAACTATTCAAAATATTGATGAGAGTTTTCAACTGCAAAAACATTTTTGACCTTAACCTTTCCTTTGACCTTGACTTCACTTTTCAAAAATTTGCTTTTAGGTCAGATTCAAAGAAACTGTTCAAAATATTTTTGTCAAACCCTATATGCTGATACATATTTATAAGAGCTATTCAACTTCATCAATCTTTTTTGACCTTGACCTCACTTAATCTGTGTTTATCTTAGTTTCAAAGAAACAATTCAAGATATTTTTATTTTTTAGGTAAGCTTATGCACTGGTATATAATTTAGTGACAATCAACTGTGTCTGATTTTTTTACCTTGATCTTATAAATGACCTTTTACTTAACTATTTATTATGTGTAAAACTCAGTTTTAAAGAAACTATTCAAGATATTTTCATCAAATTTCACACACTTATACAAATTTTCAAGTTGCAGTACTAATGAACCCTGGATGGGGCATTCATGTCCTACGGACATATTTTTAGTTTTCTTGCTTGCGTTTATGCACTGCTTTCTCTTTGTCATTTGTACATTTCACTGTAGCTGTCCTCTGAGATTCACTGGTGCACTATGTGAACATGACTTGTGTAAAGACCACCCCTGTGAATTAAACAAAGAGTGTTTTGTTGACCAGAATAAAAACATTGGCTGTCGGTAAGACACTAACTTCAATCACTTAGTACTGTCATCATTTAGCTTTAGCTCATCACTGGAACTAATGCTCACTGTGCAATTTCTTTTTTCTAGTTTATTTATTGTTCAATTCATGTTATAAATTAAAACTTTTGACTGAGTTAAATGACACTATCCATTAATATTATCCTTCTCTTTTAACACAGATGTCAGGATGGCTACATTGGGAAAAGGTGTGAAAATCTGTGTTCAGAATATTGTAAAAATGGAGGAAATTGTACAACAGATAGCAAAGGAAATACTGCTTGCAGGTATATTTCAAAATGAAGTAGTCTTGAGGGTTTTAAGATTGTTACTGTTGTCTGAAGGGCTCCCAAGTTGTTATTGTAATTAAAATGACTAAGATTATTATTGTTATCAGAGGTTCTCTCAGATTGATATTGTAATAGAAGTGACTCTCAGATTTTTACTGAAATTAGAGTAATTAACAGATTGTTATTTAGTGTTACTCTCAGATTATTACTGTAGTCAGATGTGCTCATCTCAGATTGTTACTGTAGTCAGATGTGCTCATTTCAGATTGTTACTGTAGTCAGATGTGCTCGTCTCAGATTGTTACTGTGGTCAGATGTGCTCATCTCAGATTGTTACTGTAGTCAGATGTGCTCATCTCAGATTGTTACTGTAGTCAGATGTGCTCATCTCAGATTGTTACTGTGGTCAGATGTGCTCATCTCAGATTGTTACTGTAGTCAGAGGTGCTCTCTGATTGTTACTGTAGTCAGAGGTACTCTCTGATTGTTACTGTAGTCAGAGGTGCTCTCTGATTGTTACTGTAGTCAGAGGTACTCTCTGATTGTTACTGTTGTCAGAGGTGCTCTCTGATTGTTACTGTAGTCAGAGGTGCTCTCTGATTGTTACTGTAGTCAGAGGTACTGTAGTCAGAGGTGCTCTCAGATTGTTACTGTAGTCTGAGGTGCTCTCAGATTGTTACTGTAGTCAGAGGTGCTCTCAGATTGTTACTGTAGTCAGAGGGCTGTCAGATTGTAAATGAATTCAAGTTTGAATGAAATAAGATGAGAGATAAAGAAATAATGTATGGTGGAAAATAACACACAGTATTTGTTTGGTCTCATAAAATTGTTCATAGAATATTTTATGTTTAAGGGTCATTAAAGACATAGTTTATATTTGAGTTTAATCCCACAATTATCTGAAGAAGAAAAAAAAACAACATTTTACATCCATTAAGTATTTTTTTTTGAAACCTTAAAATTAAGACAGATTTTTTTTCAAAAATGTACAGGGATATGAAATTAAACAGAGATAAGTTTGTTCGTTCCAAACATATTTCAATTATGTTATACTTAACAATTTTCATTATTTTTGTATGCTGTGGGGAGCTCAGAATATTGTATGGATTTGCTATTTGCTCATTTGATAAACTTTTTTTATATTTATATCACACATAATGCCTTTCAGTTGTCCAGAAAACTACACAGGGGAACAATGTCTAACAGAAGTATGTGACAACCAATGTCAGAATGGTGGAAAGTGTGTATTAGACCGCTTCCATTATAAGAAGTGTAATTGTACAAATGGCTTCACTGGTAAGAATAATCTCCTCTCTTAAATACATGAGAATGGCAAATCTTTCCTTGGTTTTATATGCTAGAAAAGCTTTCTAATCTTGATCCACTCTCTGTTGACAGAAGTGGGCAAATTGGTGATTTATCAATGATGGAAAGTGTGAAGTAGGACAATAAAAAAAAGTATAGGGCTCAGTGTTCCAATTCAAAAGATCATTAAGCAACATATGTATAAACCTTTACCTTTATATTATTATAACTATGTAAAATGACTTGACTAAATGTCTATGCTAAGATGTAAAAGGGTTATAATTATGAACTTACAGCATATAAACTCACCTGAGTCAAGGACTCAAGTGATCTTTCCTGACCAAAGAGTGTCTGACTTAAGTCATGCAGTCACTAAGTTGGTGTTCTTTTATCTGTCTGGTCTATGTGAACTGTAAACTTTTCACTTTTTAGCTCACCTGAGCTGAAAGCTCAAGTGAGCTTTTCTGATCACCCATTGTCCGTCCATCCGTCTGTAAACTTTTCACATTTTCAACTTCTTCTCAAGAACCACTGGGCCAATTTTAACCAAACTTGGTACAAACATCCTTGGATGAAGGGGAGTTTAAATTGTTAAAATGAAGGGCCAAGTTCCCTTAAAAGGGGAGATAGTCAAGAAAATACAAAAATTGAGTGGGGTCATTTAAAAAAATCTTCTTCTCAAGAACCACTGGGCCAGAAAAGCTAAAACTTACATGGAAGCGTACTTGGGTAGTGTAGATTCTAAATTGTTCAAATATGACCCCTGGGGAGAGGGCGGGGCCACAGTAGGGAATTCAAGTTTTACATTGAAATATGTAGTAAAAATCTTTAAAAACCTTCTCAAGAACCAGTGGGCCAGAAAAGCTGAAACTTATGTGGAAGCATCCTGGGGTAGTGTAGATTCTAAATTGTTCAAATCATGACTCCCATGGGGGTAGGGTTGGGCCACAATAGGGAATCCAAGTTTTACATTGAAATATGTAGTAAAAATCTTTAAAAATCTTCTTCTCAAGAACCTCTGGGCCAGAAAGGCTGAAGTTTACATGGAAGCATCCTTGGGTAGTGTAAATTCTAATTGTTCAAATCATGACCCCCTGGGGGTAGGGCGGGGCCACAATAGGGAATTCAAGTTTTACATTGAAATATGTAGTAAAAATCTTTAAAAATCTTCTTCTCAAGAACCACTGGGCCAGAAAAGCTGAAACTTATGTGGAGGCATCCTGGGGTGGAGTTAATTCTAATTGTTCAAAACATGACCCCTGGGGGAAGGGCAGGGCCACAATAAGTACTACAAAGGAGGGAGGAGAGAAATCAGGTGAAAAACAGCAAGGCCAAAGTTACTCAGGTGAGCGTTGAGGCCCATGGGCCTCTTGTTCAACTTCTTCCTCAGAAGCACAGGACCAATTTCAACCAAACAATAAAGAATTTTAGGGAGATGGGAATTCAAGTTTCCTCAAATTATGACCACACCTCATTTCAAAGAGAGATAATTAAGAAATAGCTAAAGTAGGATGGGGTCAATTAAGAAATCTGAAAAACCACTGAACCATAAAAAGATGAAATTTAATTAGAAGTTTAAAATTTTCCTTTTTGAACCCCAATTCAAATTTATTTCAATCACAACCCTCTATTGCTGGAATAGCTAGAGCATACAAAGGGATCCGTTTTTACATTAGATTATATGGGAAAAATCTTTAAAAAGCTTCTTTCCTATGTGGTGAAGATTTGAGTTTTCTGAAATTTTGTCCCATGACCTGGTTGGACTACAGTTCAAAGTTTGACATTGGTATGTAAGAAAATCTAATTCTCAAGAACTGGGTTACAATTACAGTCAAACCTTGGTATCTCGAACTCGACGGGACAAGAAAAAACTTGCAGATATCCAAGGGTTCGTGATATCGAGGGTAAAATACTTAAGAAATATGTGGTTAGGACTTCCCAATCACCCTTCAACATATCCATGGTATTCGAGATATCAGTGTTTGAGATATCAAAGTTCAGCTGTAGTTATTCAGGCCTGTAGGAAGCAATTTCAGTTTGGGGGGGCACAGCCAAACATTTTTCAGTTGACAGTTGAGGGGGCACTACCAAAAGTTTCCTGACAAGCAAAAAAAAAAAAAAAGTCAGTCAACTACCAAAAATACCTTGACAAGCAAAAAAAAAAAAAAAGGTCATCAGACATTTTTATTGAGGGGGCACAAGCATATAATATCTATGTTTACTATAGTAATCTATATATCAGCAAAATTATTGGGAGGGCATATAAAGCTTAAAATAATCTGTATATTAAAAATAATGATATTAGTTCTAGTAAGAGATCACTGTGAACACATCTGAATGCTATTATTCCTTGTTGTAGGAGCTCATTGTGAACACAAGCCTTCATCACCATGTGCAAACTACTGCAAGAATGGAGGTAAAAATGTTCAACCTTCTATCTACTGCTGTTTATTTTTCTGCTATAGTATATCCCCAAAAGTCTCATATCTACATGGTGTATTTCTGTATTTCCAGGAAAATGTAAATTAAGTGACAATAATTTACAAGGATCATCACCCTTGTGTGACTGTCTGCTTGGTTATAATGGACAGACTTGTGAGAGGAGTGTTTGTGATAACTGGAAGTGTGGTAGTGAAGGAACATGTGTAATCGGTAAGATAATTAAGACTAAAATAAGTAAAGAATACACATTGTGGAAAAACTGTTGTTTATGCTGGGGGTTACATTTTAGTCAAACATGATGCCTGGGTGTAAAATATGCAGACTTAGTTTATGATGAAGATAATGCCTGAGAGTATTTAAGTAAGAGAATTGTAAAGAAGAATAACAGTATAATTTTAATTTTATAATATATTACACTTCATCGTAATAAATAAAATCAAACCTTGTTCATTGGACCCTAAAGTTCACTTCCAATCATAGCGTGATAAAATATGGAATGAATGTAATTTAGCAAAAATTAACCATTGTTTCAATTGTTTTCCTTTACACTTTAAAGTTGCCCAAAATAATTTGTCACAATTTCAGTAAAACATTTTGCTTCACTGTCCTAAAAGTTGAGGAAGAGATTTTCTTTGCAAGCCTTGCAAATCAAGAAAAGTTTTTCTGTCTTCTTTTAATCCATCATTAAAATCAATACATGCATGTACTTGTTCTTAAGGATACAGTGATTTTTAGCTCACCTGAGCTGAAAGCTGAAATCTTGAAAAATCTTCTTCTCAAGAACCACTGGACCAGAAAAGCTGAAACTTATGTGGGAGCATCCTTGGGTAGTGTAGATTCTAAATTGTTAAAATCATGACCCCCGGGGGTAGGGCGGGGCCACAATAGGGAATCCAAGTTTTACCTTGAAATATATAGGAAAAATCTTGAAAAATCTTCTTCTCAAGAACCACTGGGCCAGAAAAGCTGAAACTTATGTGGAAGCATCCTTGGGTAGTGTAGATTCTAAATTGTTAAAATCATGACACCCGGGGGTAGGGCGGGGCCACAATAGGGAATCCAAGTTTTACCTTGAAATATATAGGAAAAATCTTCTCCTCAAGAACCACTGGACCAGAAAAGCTGAAACTTATGTGGAAGCATACTTGGGTAGTGTAGATTCTAAATTGTTAAAATCATGACCCCCGGGGGTAGGGCGGGGCCACAATAGGGAATCCAAGTTTTACATTGAAATATATAGGAAAAATCTTGAAAAATCTTCTTCTCAAGAACCACTGGACCAGAAAAGCTGAAACTTATGTGGAAGCATCCTTGGATAGTGTAGATTCGAAATTGTTAAAATCATGACCCCTGGGGGTAGGGCGGGGCCACAATAGGGAATCCAAGTTTTACCTTGAAATATATAGGAAAAATCTTGAAAAATCTTCTTCTCAAGAACCACTGGGCCAGAAAAGCTGAAACTTATGTGGAAGCATCCTTGGGTAGTGTAGATTCTAAATTGTTAAAATCATGACACCCGGGGGTAGGGCGGTGCCACAATAGGGAATCCAAGTTTTACCTTGAAATATATAGGAAAAATCTTGAAAAATCTTCTTCTCAAGAACCACTGGACCAGAAAAGCTGAAACTTATGTGGAAGCATCCTTGGGTAGTGTAGATTCTAAATTGTTAAAATCATGACACCCGGGGGTAGGGCGGGGCCACAATAGGGAATCCAAGTTTTACATTGAAATATATAGGAAAAATCTTGAAAAATCTTCTTCTCAAGAACCACTGGACCAGAAAAGCTGAAACTTATGTGGAAGCATCCTTGGGTAGTGTAGATTCTAAATTGTTAAAATCATGACCCCCGGGGGTAGGGCGGGGCCACAATAGGGAATTCAAGTTTTACATTGAAATATATAGGAAAAATCTTGAAAAATCTTCTTCTCAAGAACCACTGGACCAGAAACGCTGAAACTTATGTGGAAGCATCCTTGGGTAGTGTAGATTCTAAATTGTTAAAATCATGACCCCCGGGGGTAGGGCGGGGCCACAATAGGGAATCCAAGTTTTACCTTGAAATATATAGGAAAAATCTTGAAAAATCTTCTTCTCAAGAACCACTGGGCCAGAAAAGCTGAAACTTATGTGGAAGCATCCTTGGGTAGTGTAGATTCTAAATTGTTAAAATCATGACACCCGGGGGTAGTGCGGTGCCACAATAGGGAATCCAAGTTTTACCTTGAAATATATAGGAAAAATCTTGAAAAATCTTCTTCTCAAGAACCACTGGGCCAGAAAAGCTGAAACTTATGTGGAAGCATCCTTGGGTAGTGTAGATTCTAAATTATTAAAATCATGACACCCGGGGGTAGGGCGGGGCCACAATAGGGAATCCAAGTTTTACATTGAAATATATAGGAAAAATCTTGAAAAGTCTTCTTCTCAAGAACCACTGGACCAGAAAAGCTGAAACTTATATGGAAGCATCCTTGGGTAGTGTAGATTCTAAATTGTTAAAATCATGACCCCCGGGGGTAGGGCGGGGCCACAATAGGGAATTCAAGTTTTACATTGAAATATATAGGAAAAATCTTGAAAAATCTTCTTCTCAAGAACCACTGGACCAGAAAAGCTGAAACTTATGTGGAAGCATCCTTGGGTAGTGTAGATTCTAAATTGTTCAAACAGGACCCCCCGGGGTAGGGCGGGGCCACAATAGGTATTACAAGGAGGGGGGGGATCTGGTAAAGAACAGCATGGCCAAAGTTACTTAGGTGAGCGATGTGGCCCATGGGCCTCTTGTTAGTTATTTTTCATAGAAGAGGGAATGACAGGTATGTTAAGTAAGAATAATTAAGAGAGAAGAGATACTGTGCTGGACATGATAAAAACTTCTTTTTCTTAATAGATGCAGAAGGGAATGCAAAGTGTAATTGTACGATATTCTACTCCGGTAGTAGGTGTGACAATTGTACTTGCTTAAATGGAGGAAAATGTTTAGAGAAAAATGGAAAAACTTCATGCAGGTATGGCATAAAGACAGGGAGATTGGTAACGTAAAAAAAAGTTTTCTCTTAGTAAGACTGGAGTAGAAATTCTCTTAAAGTGTTTTATATACTATTAAGGGATTGATTGATTGTATATTGTTTTACGTCCCATTCGAGAATTTTTCACTCATATAGAGACGTCACCATATACCGGTGAAGGGCTTCAAATTTTGACCTTTACTCGGCACTCAGGGCCATTGAGCAGTGAGGGATCTTTATCGTGCCAATGCCTGCCGTGACACGGGGCCTCGGTTTTTAAGGTCTCATCCGAAAGACCCGCAACTTTCACTTCAAAGTGCCGAGCGCATGGCGAAGGAACAGTTGCTACCTATTTTTTATCGACTTAGGTCTGTCGCGGCCGAGATTCGAACTCACGACCTCCCGATCACGAAGCGAGCGCTCTACCGACTGAGCTACCGTGAACGGTACTATTAAGGAAATATAGAAATTAATACATTTTGTTCTTCATCCAAATCATGTAAATTGACTTTGTACTGAGGTATTATATCCACAATACAAGGCAACATTTTTCATTGAGAAGAGCACAATAAAGAAACTGACACTTAGGGGCACCATGTTTATCAAAATCTTTTTTTGTTGTTCCAAAGTTTCAATTTTTGAATATGTACTTTAATTTCAACAGCTGTCCTTTAACTTTCACTGGACAATTGTGTGAACATAAAGCTGAGGAAAGACCCATGTCACAATCTTCTGATTCCACGGGCATTGTCATCGGTGTTGTCGTCGCAATCATCCTTATCATTGCTGTCATCCTGATCATTATTGTCATCATTGTCAAGAGAAAAAGGTAGGGAAAAAGTGAAAGCAGTAAAACATTACCTACTGTACTGTTCTAAACCATGCATTATTATTCCTGAAAATTGTGTATGTATAGATTTAATGAATACATTTGTTTAAAAAAAAGGTTGATTAAATATATAAATAGTATTGTACATTCAGTGATGATAGCATATCATATTTATTTTATTTATTTGTTCTACAAAGACCCAGAAAACCTAAAAGGTAACAGTACCCTCTGCACAAGCGGCTACTTCTCAGTGTTTTACCTATTCCTCAATATTGTATTTAGATTTATTTGCCTTATTTCTTCAAAAGCATGGGACTTATTACTATGATGAAATAGTGTATTTTGGCATTTCTCTTCAAAAATGAATATTTCTTCATGATGGAAAGACACAGATATATATATAAGTGTTCAGTGTAATTTTCATTAATATGCATATATATTATAGCTTTACAGCAAAATTTTATCCTATTTTGTATAACTATTTCTTTTTTTTTCTTTTTTTTCTTTTTTTTTTTTTGATATTGAAACTGGCTAAATGGTAGTTAGTCCCAGCTAAAAGAATACTAGTATAAACTTGCTGTCCTCAATATTTTAGGAAAATGAGTTCAGTTATTAATGTTATCAAAGATTTTTTGTCAAGCATGGAACTTGTTAGCTGTGGTGTGTATAGTATATGCATGGAAAGCTGAAAAATGGGTTGGATTTAGAATAAAATTTAGCTGAATAGCTTAATTGAACTATCAGTATTCATAAGCTTGGAAAGAAAGCTGTACATCTTGGATGAGCTGCAACTACAAACACTCATAAGCTTCTCAGTAAAGGTGGAAAGCTTAAATGAGCTAGAAGTGCTCAGTTTAGTTTTTTTGACCTGAATTTATTGTTGTTGCTATTGTTAACTGTTGTTTTCTAGTAAAGCTAAAGCATTCTTCACATAGAATGGTCAAGATAGCTCTGTAGTACAAATTAATGGTCAGATTTTGATTGAAAGTAATGAGCTTCTGTATGTGGCTACAGTGATCCCCCGTTATAACGCCAACATTTGTACCTTGGTCATTTTGGCATTATAACGGGGGTGGCGTTATATCGGGGGGAGAGAAATGACGTGCACAAATAAATGAAAAAAAAATTATTATCAATGTACTACATGTATTTCAAGATTTTAATGCCTTTATATCAAATAAACAAATATAAAAGCTTACGTATGCTTGTCAGAAAATCACTTTTTTTTTGAAAAACATATCAATTGTTGATTGTTTTGATGGTTTTATTTTAATAGCTAATCGCAGTAAAAAGTTTATTTCAGATTCAGTTGTTGATTCTTTTGATTCTAAATGCCGTAACAAACATTCAAGTCCCTGTCTGGCCTCTACGTATGTAGGAACACGCGGAGCTTCTTCTTCACTATCGTCCTCTACCTGGTTTGTATTATCGTCACGGTGCGCCACGGTTGACGATATTTCGTCATCAGTAAGTGATTGAGAGGACTCGGCATTTTTGTCCAAATTCAAAAATTCTCGGACGGTCAACCTCATGTCTGGATCCAAATCTAGCGAGTCTTGAACTTGTGACAAAGACACCGTAAGGTCATAATCGTCGACAGGTGTGCTATTTATAGATCGATTTTCATCCGTGACTAACCCGCTGTGGATCCAACAATTTCTAATCGTGTCGGGCGTTACACTTTCCCATGCTTGTTTAATAAAGCGAATACCTTCACTTAATAATACTTTCGGTGCATTATTTTTGTCAAAACAATCCACTAAATAGTGCAATTGTAGTTTTCGATAATGTGCTTTAAATGCCTGAATAATTCCAGCGTCTAATGGTTGTAAATGACTCGTGGTGGTAAGGGGGAGAAAGTGAATTTTTACGTTTGTCAATTTTGGAATAGCATGACTCGGGGCATTGTCCATTATAAGTAAAACGTTTCTATTTTGCACACGCATTTTTCTGTCCAATTTCAGAAGGAATTCTTTGAAAATTAATGAGGTCATCCACGCTTTTTTTATTAGCGGTATATTCAACAAAGAGTTCATGATTAAAGTTTTTAAAGCACCTTGGCTTTAAATATTTTCCAATTACAAAGGGCTTCATTTTTTCACTACCGTCCGCGTTACATACAAGTGCTACAGTAATTCTGTCCTTGGATTTTTTAACACCCTTAGTAGCATCCGCTGTTGTCAAAGACCTGTCTGGTAAGATTCTATAAAAAAGGCCAGTTTCGTCAATGTTAAAGATGTTTTTTAAATCACAGTTGGACATTGCTTCTCTAGCTTTCACTCGTCCGTCAAAAATGAGATCTGGATGAATTCCTGCACTTTCACCAGATATAACATGGCAGGAAATTCCATGTCTGGTTTTAAACCTATTAAGCCACCCATTTGAATATTTGAAATCGCGAACACCAAGATCATCACCAAATTTTTTTGCTTTTAATTTTAAGATGTCGTCAGTCACTGGAATATTTTTAGCCCTCGCATTCGAAAACCACATGTACAGAGCATCCTCCATGTTTTCGTGATGGGCCGAACGATGCCGTTTTCTTGGGGTAGACGAAACATCGTCAGCTTCCCTAGCTCTTTTTTCCCCATGTTTGAAGAATATCACCTACAGTCCGTCTTTTCACATCAATTTTCCATAGTTCCGTAAAATAATTTGAATTTCTTGCTGCGAACGCTTTGGATTTTTTTCGTGATATTTAATGATTTCCAGTTTTTGTTTCAATTCCAAGATAACGCGTTTTAATTTCGGCGAGTCAGCCATATTCAGACTTCAAAAAGAAGAGTAAAGATTTGAACTCAAATAATTATGTATGTAACTTATTATCTACTCCAAACTTTGATAGCTGGAAGATTAATGGCGGATAATTGCTTAAGACTGTTCACTGAAATTCTCTCCCCGATGATATAATTGGCGGTAATTATCGGGGGTGATTATAACGGTAATGGACAGATTTGTACCTGAAATACGTTGGCGGATGGCGATAGGCGGGGGTTGGCGGTAAAACGGGGTTTTATATAGCGAGGAAATCGGGACTTGACTTTTTTTTGGCGTTAGGCGGGGGTGGCATTATAACGGGGGGAATTATAACGGGGGAGCACTGTATATCAAAATTCACAAGCTTAAAGAGCATGGCAACAAAGAATGTTTCATCCATCTGCACAGCAATTTTGACATTCCTCATGATGATTCTGTATAAAATTTTGCACTACCTTCAAGACATCCTCTATGACAACCTTGATTTTTAATTAGTTAATCTACTTGAAAAATCATCTCTTAATTGCTTTTTAATGAAAATATGTATCAGGCGAATAGATTGACTTTTTACCTCACCTGAGCTCAAAGCTTGGATGAGCTTTCCCAATTAAATTTTAGGGCTTATTTAAACAGCAAAGCATGACAATTTTTATTAATCTTACCATTTCATTTAAAACTGAAATCAAACAAAATGGTTATAAATATCTTTCCTTTTTAAAAAAAAAAACTTTTAAGAGTCGAGATGATATAAAATTTCCAGTTGTATATATGTGGCAAAATTATCTATGTATAAACCAAGAGTTTTCCACAACAAAATTTTTATATAACGATATAAACAAAGATGATCAGACTATATCTTACAGAACACTCTCACTTCCTTAACAAATTGATATGTCACAATTCAAGCATGATTGGAAACTTCAGACTCCAGTTATTATCAGGACACTCAGTACTTTCTTTGTCTTTATGATAGCAGTGTTTCCTATTGCATGTTTTATATACTATGAAATTGCACATACATAGAAATGTCTTTTGATAAAATATAGATAAGCATGGTAGTTTTTTTCCCTTACAGCAGGAATCCCTTCAAACACCAAAGAATGAATGGGATGGATGTCCCGAATCCCATGTATCGGGAACGGGAATCAGATGAGGAGGGCAGAGAAATGAACCCTCACTTTCTACAGGAACATGTATGTATATAAAACAAATCTCAAGATATCTACAGTAACCAAAGTCCAATTATTTGCTTTATTCTTGTCCCCACCATTGAAATTTGGAGCATATAGGCTTACCCATCCCCACATATGAACTGTAGATACATGTATCAGCCTGGGTAGAGCTCCTGACTGGAGCAAGCAATATAGTAGTTATGGCTATATGGAACATGGATATGAGCTTGAATAGCTAATGTGTTGGAGCACCTAACTAGTAGTGCAGGGGCACTTGGTTCAATTACCAGTCCAGCCATAAATTTCCTCCTTTACGTTATACAATTGTGCAATAACCTGAGAATGTTTGGATTAAGTTGTTTATATTATGCTCTATAGATTATTCTGATTATGAGGTCACCTGGAATTACTTATGGAGTTAGAGGGAAGGTAGGGCATGTCTTCTGTTACTAGAGGGAAGGTAGGGCATGTCTATAGTTACTTGAGGGAAGGTAGGGGATGCCTGCTGTTACTAGAGGGAAGGTATGGCATATCTACTGTTACTGGAGGGAAGGTAGGGCATGTCTTCTGTTACTAGAGGGAAGGTAGGGCATGTCTTCTAATACTAGAGGGAAGGAGGGCATGATTTCTGTTACTAAAGGGAAGGTAGGGCATGTTCTCTGTTACTAGAGGGAAGGAAGGGCATGTCTTCTGTTACTAGAGGGAAGTGAGGATATGTCTACTGTTACTAGAGGGAAGGTAAGGCATGTCCTCTTTTACTAGAGGGAAGGTAGGACATGTCTATAGTTACTAGAGGGAAGGTAGGGCATGTCTACTGTTACTAGAGGGAAGGTAGGGCATGTCTTCTGTTACTAGAGGGAAGGTAGGGTATGTCAACTGTTACTAGAGGGAAGGTAGGGTATGTCTTCTGTAACTAGAGGGAAGTAAGGATATGTCTACTGTTACTAGAGGGAAGTTAGGGTATGTCTTCTGTTACTAGAGGGAAGGGAGGGCATGTCTACTGTTACTAGAGGGAAGGTAGGGTGTGTCTTCTGTTACTAGAGGAAAGGCATGTCTTCTGTTACTAGAGGGAAGGTAGGGCATGTCCACTGTTACTAGAGGGAAGGAAGGGCATGTCTTCTGTTACTAGAGGGAAGGTAGGGCATGTCTACTGTTACTTGAGGGAAGGAAGGGCATGTTTTCAGTTATTAGAGGGAAGGAAGGGCATGATTTCTGTTACTAGAGGGAAGGTAGGGTATGTCTTCTGTTACTAGAGGGAAGGCAGGGCATGTCTTCTGTCACTGTTACTGTATTCTATTTTGTAGGAGAATTTCGCTAATCCTATGTATGACCACCGCCTTTACCAAGCAGAGAGTACAGATGTACTGCTACCAAAGGAGAGTGATCAAGAAAACAATATTATTGAGGGCAACGGCAATCTGCGGATATATCGTAAAAAAGACAAAAATAAGGGCAAAGGGGGCAAAAAGTGAATGGTGCTGCATGTGACAAATGCTTATAACTTCATAGATTTGGACTCTCCCATAAGAGAGAAAGCTGTCATAGAAATGCCTAGCACAGTTTGCTGTTTGCTGTTGAGATTTACGTGAGAAAAATTGACTTTGCCAAAGATTTCTTTAAGTAATGTTAATTGCATTACAAAGAAAAATTGATTGCAATGTGACATGATTGTTTTGTAGGTTGTGAATTTTAATCATCAGGGAAAATAATCTCCATTTTTTATTTTATCCTTTTTTCATGGTTTGTGAACAGACAGGAGTCCTAGTGACATGTTTACAAATCTTCCTGAGGAAGGAAATTGAATTATAATTTATTCCTGTGTTTGAGGTCATTTAAAAGAAAAACTTCTTCATTTGGAAATTTATCACAGATACAGGCTATAAAAAATAATCATATTGTCCGAAAAGAAAAATTAAATATAAAATTTAATATGCATTAATTAAAGCTCATAAGGCTTCCACAAATTGACAATCCAGCATTTTTGTTTTTACAATGGTGCTAACCAAACTTTTATTTTGGAACAAGAGTGAAAATATTTTTTACAGTTATTTTGATATCAGTTAAACACAATGTTGACTACTTAATAATGTTTAAAACTGTTTAATATCTGTTGTGGTATAATGCATTAATAGATGTTTAATAATTAATCAGATGACAGTGTTGATTGGAGAATTTCTTTATTTGATTACAAATGTTGTTGTGAGTTTAGAGTTTAATGCATTGTTTAAATAGAGTTATTTTTATTAAATGCACATATGAGTGGGTATACAAGTCATATCATTACATTTTTTTCATTGACTTAGTTTCTGATTTATACATATTTTCATTATGCCACAAAGCAAAAAAAGCACTGTATGTGTGTTTAAGTATTTATACATTTCATCCATCATGAGTGCAAAAAGTGTGTTGAATTTCATTTATACCTGTAAATACCTGTAGTTCTCTACCTTTTTTTAATTAAAAAAAAAGTTTGTTGTTCACTGAAAATTGAATAAAGGGCAAAGTGTATAAAGAACTGGCATGAATTAAATTACATGTATATGCCCTTGTATGAAAACAAGTTAAGTGTTGTGATTTATTAAGTGCTTACATTTATAGCTATTTCATGTGAAAACCACCGCTTGTATTAATCACAAATCAAATCATTACAATCAAATATTAGATGCCAAATGTGGATATGGCTTATGTTGCTTCTGACTCTCGGTCCAGCGGATCAAAGCAGCGAATGGCCTCTGTTGATCTTCTCCTGACTGACTTTAAATCTGTTGGCTTCAAGCTATGCAATACCAATGAAGCATTATTGATGTTGTGACATGAATTAACAGTATTTTCAGGGTTTTTTGAAAATTTTCCTCACAGAAACAATGAGCATGTTACTGATAAAAGCAAAGAAAAAAAAGAGACTTTTGGTTTGCAGTTTGTAAGATCTGCTGTTTGTATAATTCTAATCCGGTGAGTAAGGATCTGAAGTTTTACTGTGCTCGTAAAAAAGTTAATTGTTTTGAAAAGTATTTAATTTTAACTTAGTTCATACATTCCAAAAACTTCCTACAATGTAGTTTATCATTAAGGACCACAAAAAAACAGCCATTGTTAGGTAGTCTAGAGGATATAGCTTTAATGTATTCCACAGATATTGTTATACACAGATTTCTATTTTATATGTTATTTTTTCGGCCTATTGGTCATACTTAGAAGGTATACCAGAAACCTACCAAACATATCTATAGTATTATAAGTGTGCTGATGTGTCATCTTTGTTGTCATCGTGTGTGTGTTTTTATGTGTGTTCCCATGGCTCCATTGAAATCTGAAATATGTTGGGGTTTTTTTTATCCTAATTATTTTACCTGTACATGTGTATTTTACTCTTGTAAGTTGACATTCTAGGTTGAGCGATCTTGTCCTGAAATTCAATGATTTTGTTTTTAGTTTATTATCATATTGTCCACTACAATTGTATACTGTTTTTATGATTGTGTAATATTTCCCAATATGCTGATTTCTGTAAGTGAATATGTTATTTCAATCATATCATGTGGTGTCCCTTAGATTCACAAGAATATTGAGCCCTGGTACTATAAATAATTGTTATTCATTGTGTACAAAGAGAATATATTCTTCGAACCATAAAGTTCACTATGTAAGCACAAATGCAATGTTAATAAAGTGCTTGATAAATATTGTGTTTGTAGATTGTATACTAAACATTTCATGTGATGATCTGAAAACATCTTTATTTTTAGTTTATTATGATTAGTAATTATAAAGAAAATATCTCCTTTCATTATATGTAACCCCATTTTTGTACATTCCATGTTATTTCTTGTGCTTTTCTCTTTGAGAGAAATTATTGAATACAAACTGAAATAAATTCTGCTCTAGGTTAATGTGCGTCTTAATTATTTGTTATTGAAGAACACTAAAAATTTCCAAATGGAAAAAAAAGCATGTGTCCCAGCAGAAGAAGATGGGCATCTCATCACTGATGCCTGTCAACAGAAAGAGGGTGATGTTCTCTAGAAATATAAATAAGTTATGCATATCTAAACTGCTAGGCTTTCATAGGGCATCATGGCCTAAGTAACGTCTACAATTTAGACATAGACTTTAGTAACGTCTACAATGTAGATTTATAGGCTTTAGTGACGTTTACAGTGTAGAGTTCAGTGACGTCTACAATTTTGACTCGTAGGAATTAGTAGCGTCTACAATTTAGATTTATAGGCTTTAGTGACGTCTTCAATTTTGACTTGTAGGCTTTAGTAGCGTCAATAATCTAGATTTATAGGCTTTAGGGATGTCTACAATGTAGACTTATAGGCTTTAGTAGTGTCTATAATCTAGATTTATAGGCTTTAGTGATGTCTACAATCGCAGTGACAATGTAGACTAACAGGCCTTAATAAAATCTACATTGTACACTTGTAGGCATTTTTAACGTCTACATTATATACTTAGGCTTTAGTAACGTCTACAATGTAGGGTAAGTACCGCTACAATGTAGACTTATAGCTTTAGCAATGTTTACAATGTAGACTTTTAGGCTTTAGTAACGTTTATAATGTAGAACTGTAGATTAAAGTAACGTAAACGATGTAGACTTAAATCATGTAATAATGTTTAGAATTAAGACATGTAGGATTTACTAACGTCTACAATCTAGACTTACATTTGCAAAATTATTTTGTTAAAAACATTCTGATTGTACACACAGGTACTCTGAAGTTGATATAGTTGAATTTTAAAAAAAATGCTCGAGTTTCTGATTGACAATATCTATGTGGTTTTTGGAGACCAGGTCTTCCAAAAATCGATTGGAATTTCCATGGGTACCAGTTACGCCCCGTTATAAGCAGACCTATTTTTGTATTCATATGAAGCACAATTTGTTCAAAATCTAGTACGTGAAAAGAAGAAAACACTTGCTGTGGCCTTCAACTCGACATTTAGATATATCGACGACGTACTGTCAATTAACAATGGTTAATTCCATTCGTATGTCGATACGATATATCCCAGTGAGCCTGAAATAAAAGATACCACAGAGTCTGACTCATCTGTATCATATTTGGATATTTTACTAAAAAAAGACGTTAATGGTAATCTTACAACCAAGCTTTATGAAAAATGTGATGACTTTAACTTTTCAATCGTCAACTTCCCTCACGTATGCAGCAATATACCTTCACCTGCATATGGGGTTTATCTCTCAGTTGATTCGATACGCAAGAAATGTTCTACGTATGAACAATTTCTTAAACGAGGCAAGTTTTTGACGAACAAGCTGATGAAACAAGAATATCAGCAGTCTCGTTTAAAGTCGTCATTTCGTAACTTCTATGATCGATACAATAACCTTGTCAGCAAATACAATTTATCATTAAGTCAAATGCTGACTGACGTTTTTCATACTAATTGTTAGGCCATTATTTACACACTGAATTGTCGACGGATTTTCCCGTTATTACCCGATCATGACAAGGAGCAGACGGCGGGTGTGACCGGTCGGCAGGGGATGCTCACTCCTCCATGGCACCTGATCCCACCTCTGATGTTTTAGAGGTCCGTGTTTGCTCTGCTTCAAAATTTGTATTGTTTAATAGACTTTTGAGCTTGAATACTGTTCGTTATCTCCATACATTTCACATAATAATTCAATAATTAATTCATGTCATTCAGCATTGCATTTTCAATATCCGTCATTAAGCGGCGCTGTATTACTAGCGGTTGCTAAGTTGCACTTGTTGATGAACACATGGACTTTAAGATCACATGAGTCACTCAGTGTCCTATTGCTATCTGTTTTCGTCCGTCATGCGACGTGCGTTGTTTCTCCGGTCGTAAATTTTTGAATAATTTTCAGTTTTGTTGAACCACTAAACCAATTTCAACCAGTTGTGACAGATAGTATCAATGGGTTAATGGCTACAAAAATGGTGAATTTCATGGTCCCTCTTCTCTGGGGCTTGAGGGATGAGGCTAAGACCATCATAATTAGTGTTATCTTTAACAATCTGTTTCTTTACTCCTGGACATCAGCAGTTAAATTGTTGGCATGATTGTACTTGTATGATTATATAAAGTAAGTCAATGGGTGCATGGTTATGATGATCAAGGGTGCCTCTTCCAGAATTGTTTAATTTTCTTCTCTGCCCCTGGGTAATAGAAAAAACAAACTAAGTACATAGTTATAATGAGCAAGGGTGCCTCTTCCAAAATTTTAAATTTCATGGCCCCCGGGTAAGGGGTTCTGATGTTAGGGAGGAGCTCTATTGATTATATTGTGAAAATGCATTAATTCTTTAAAAATCTTCTCTGCTCCTCTGATGAGCATGGATGCCTCTTCCGAAATTGTGATATTTGTGTCCCCATTGTCAGGGGTTCAGGTGGAGGGGGTGTCTGTTGAACATGTAATGCAAATTTATGCATTATTTCTTTGAAAATCTTCACTTCTGCCCCTTAGTATTTAGCAGACAAACTAATTGCATGGTTATGATGAGCAAGGATACCTTTTCAAAGCAAAAAATCTAGGTCAGGGGTTTTTGGTGTTAGAGCAGAGCTCTTTTGAATTATAGTAAAAATTTATTATTTCATTAAAAATCTTCTGTCTAGTCCAACTTTTTTGTCTAGTCTGTCATAATTTTAAGAGTCATCAATAAGGTCTATATGTCTTCTAATCTCTTAACAAAAGGACCAATGAATTCCTCTTGCACTTTTATCAAAGGATTGTCTTATTACCCAGTTTAAAGCTATCAAGAATATTCTAACTGAGAGGAAGCAACCCTGTTTAACCCCAGTTTATGGCAAATGATAACGTCAGTGTCGTTTCATAAATTGTTTATACTTAAGTCTTTGTACAGTGTCTTTATCATGTTAACTGGGATTTTGAAATGTCTTTGTAGTTTCTTTAAACTGATATCAAATAGTTTTTTTTCAAAATCGATGAAGTTGATGTAAAATGATGCTCAGTATATAATAATGCGTACCGTAGCTGTTTGGTCTGTGCAGCTTCTGAATTTGAATTGTGTTCGTCTCTCAATACTTTATCTATTGCCTCTTTTATTCTATAAAAGATATCTTGCTTGCTACACATAGCAATATGATGCCTCTTCAATTTTGGCATAGACTAAGATCTCCCTCCTTTGGTAGTTTAACAGTAAGTCCTTTTAGGGATTCTCTCTGCATCCATATTCTGTTTAATAGTCTATACATATATTCCATTAGGCTTTGTCCTCCAGCCTTCAATGCCTCATTGGTATTTCGTTAAATCTTCCACTTTTTAAAGAAATATATCAGCTGTTGTTACTTCCTTCTTGCTTATCCCCTCTATTTTTATATTCAGGTTTTCCCCTGGTTCAACATTTGTTCCTCTGACGTTGGTCTATTTGGTACGCGTACATCTTTGTTGTGTTCCTTCCATCTTTCTAACTGTTCCTCTAGTTTTAACAACATTTTCCCTCCATTTTTATACCCCCTGCAAACGAAGTTTAGGGGGGGTATATTGGAATCAGCTTGTCCGTCTGTCTGTCCGTCTGTCTGTAGACGAGATTTTGTCCAGACCATTTCTTGGAAACTGTTGCAAGGATTTGTCTGAAAATTTTGTATACTTATTCTTCGCCATATGAAGGTGTGCACCTGGTATTTTCATCATAATTGGATAATTTTTTTTTCATTTTACAGGTGTTTTTTTCATTTTTATTATGTGGTTTTGTCCGGATCTGTTCCCAGAGACTATTGCATAGATTTGTATGAAAATTTGTACACTTATTATTTACCATATGAAGATGTCCTCCTGGTATTTTCAACATTATTTGATAATTTTTCTGCATTTTACAGGTGTTTTTTTTTTCTTCTCATTTTTATTGACTTGGTCATTTCGGGTTCATGTCCAAGGTTTGAGACATAGAATCTAGAACATCTGTACAAAAATGTGAACTACAGCTTAAAACTACTCATTAGAACTAAAAAAAATCACAAAGTATTAAAAACAGTTTTTACGTTACACAGCAGATAGTGTAAATCCATTTGTCCCTTTGGAGTAATGAGTGGACATGCATCCAGTTAAAGATTAATTAATGAGTTCAGTGTGGGAAGCTGTTAGGGCATCTCTGATCAAGCAAGTCTTATCTATATCTCCTGGGAATTGGGCAGAAAGAAATAAAGATCTCTGTTGTCTAAGTCTCTTAATTGTAATTTATGTCTGTCAAAATACATAGTTACTGGAACCAGCCTTTTATTTTTTAAAATGAGTTTGATATAAAGGTATTAAGATCAATTTGATTTTGTATAATTAATTATGATATTTTTTTTTTAACAATCAATTTGCAGAGTGTCATGTCTCACAAAGATGACAGATAGTTGCAAACTATTTTTTCAATGTAATTAAAAAACACTGTAATTACTAGCATTGATGTTTTATTAGGCTGCATCTTAGTTTCATTCATTAAAAAAAATATAATGAGTAATTAAATTTTCACTCTAAATGTTTAAGCAAATTGTGAACACCTCTCATATCTAGAAAACATTAGTGATTTGGTACCTTCTCTGAAAAACCCAGCGGGGGGTATTTGTCCCTTTTGGACAGTTCTAGTTATCTTTGACGGGGTTGGCATTACTAGATCTCTTACAATTATTTAATATACATTTATATTTTTAATAAATGATTAGCATCTAAGCATGTATAAAGAAAATTGTGTATAAAGTTAGATTTTAACAATTTAAAAAACGGAAAGAGCCCTGGAACGATCAAATCTATAATCAAGTTCTCAAAAATAACCCTGTTACTAAAGTGCTACATGTGTTATTTGTGTTCTGTTTTGAAACCGGTAGAATCCCTTTTATTTACAGGAAAGCTTTAACACGTCCAATTCCAAAAGTTGCTACAATTGACACAGGAATACCTTTGAACTACAGAGGAATCAGCTTATTATCAGTCGTTGCAAAATGCTATAGTTCAGTTTTAAACAACAGAATACAGCAATATCTAGAAGATAATGGAATACTCTCTGACACACAGAATGGTTTCCGGCGCAACAGATCTTGTGAAGACCACATATTTACCCTTACCAACCTAATTCAAGACCTTTAATCTACTTTCGTTACATTCATTGACCTTCAAAAAGCTCTTGACTTTGTGAACAGAGATCTTTTATATACAAACTTCAGCTGAATGTAATTTATAGTCCAATATATAATGCTACTTCCAATTTATATTCTGAAACATTCTCTTGTGTGTGTGTATAAACGACTTTCTCACGAAATGGTTTCAATGTTCAAACGGTGTACGTCAAGGAGACAACTTATCATCCATCTTATTCTCTCTTCTTCGTCAACGATTTAGCGGTAGAAATTTCATAACTGAATACTACTGATGATTAAAAGATAAGCCATTTATTATAAGCCGATGGCATTGCCATCCTCAGTGAAAATGAATCTCATAAGCAAAATTATCTTGACTTACCAACTGGTGTAAACGGTGGAGATTAAATGTGAATTGTGCTAAATTAAATGTAATGCATTTTAGAAAATACCATATTCCTCATAGTCAATACAAATTTAAAACAAGAGAAGAATTACAGTGTGTCAATCAATATCGATATTTTGGTGTAATCTTTCACGAGAAGATGACTTTCAATATAGCGGCAGAAACTCTTGGTAAAGCGGGAGGGAGAGATTTCAAAAAATTCATGTGTCGGATTTAATACCTTTGAAAAACTTTTTCAATCTTGTATGCTTCCTATTTTAGATTATTGTTCTGGGATTTGGGGATTCAAAGATATCATTCTTTAGAAGTTGTACAAAATCGTGCTATTCGATACTTTTTAGGACTACATGGATACGCTCCCGGAATAGCATTAAACAGTGAAGTTGGATGCATGGTTAGCACCGACACATAGACACTGGATATACATGATCAGAAGGTGGAATAGATCGATTCAAATGGTACCAAAAAAGTTTTCATCTGGAGCTATCAAAATAATGAAACATGGTGTTCACAAGTGAAGGAAATTCTATATAAACTAGATATTTGCTCTCATTATGATTACCTTCGTATTTGTGATATAAATCAAACCATATATAAATTGTTTAAGCTTTGCGAAGAAGAATGGAAATTGAAAATATTGTCTTTACCTAAATTGAGAACATTTGTGACTTTAAACATAATTTCGAATTGGAACCCTGCGTAAAAATGAATATGAACAAACAACTCTGTAATGGCGCAAGTTAAATGCGGAATCCTTCCCCTTCGGATAGAAACAGAATAGGAAATAAGTCCCTGTCTTAAATCCATTACAAAAGACATGCACTGTCTTCATACATAGATGAAGAGATCTCAAATATGCAGATATGAACCTATAATTATGTTTGAAAACTACTCACTGTGGACCGTCACCTGACTTGTTGCAGTCAGATAAATATACCCCTTGAGGGTATATATAATTATCACAAAATTGCACCAGTAAGCTTTAAGGTTAATAAGAAACGTACTAAGAGATAGGAACACACGTGTGTAAGTACTATGTTTAACTTTTCCCTCGTCATTCTACTTGGTCCATCGCTTCGCTCGGCACCAAATCTCCTGGTACTCGGGAAAAGAGTACTAACGTATACTTATTATGATTCGTGTAAGTTTGCCTCTGTATAATCAATACCCAACTATTTTTGCATATATATCATGACAAAGGATTTAAATAGCATATATATACTAAAGCTTATATATTTTCTAAACGAATTATTAAACATATAATGCTGTACATTTGCAAATATTCACCGAGTGAGTAATTGTCAAGGCTTTGTTTGATTTCTTGCATTTCTCTGATAATATTATCAAACCTACACTGCAAGTGAATAAGGGTTGTGTTGTGTGATTTCATAAAAATGAAAGTTACCATTACTTCCGTTTTTTGCAATGTATATGCCCGGCTCATAACGGGTTGTTAAAGATCGACATCTTAAAAATCATCTATCATCTAGCAATATCAAGATATATTGGGAAGCGCTGACGTCATCGCTTAACTCCGTCTCCCCGTTCTGAACCCCATGCCGAAAAATAAACCCATCCTCTGCAACAGAGAAAATGGCGTCGTGAGTGAAAATGAACACAAACAACAGTAGTTTTGAGCACAGCCCGTCTGTGAGTGAGGATGCTAACAGTTCGTGGGTACAGTCCTGTGAATACGAGCTCACGGCCTTACCCGATCTACACTTGGGGGCAGGTTTGTAAAAGACATATACAATAAAGAAAACTGACATGATTCTATGTTCTTGGTTTCATTGAATGGTGTTTCACCTCGCACCATGTTGTGTATTACATAATAGCAATGTAGAAATTCCACGAGAGGCGAGATTACAAACATTCTTTGCCCGAATTATGTAGCTTTGCTCGAAAATATTTGACTCTCATGGCATATTTTTTATTACGTGTTCATCGTTACTTATGAGTCACAAACATTATAAATGTTCGAGTTTTGCGTTTTGGTTCTTTATTTATTTCTCGAAAACTTAACAGCCTGGTCTTTTGCCTTGAATTACCTGGAATATTGTAAATAAAGTAACAGAAACATTGATTCTGTTGATCTAAGTCCCGATGATTTATCTTGTTTTAATATTTTAACGTCATCCAGAGGGCAGTGTTGAACTTGGCAACCTGGTGGAAGATAAGGAAATAGCGGCACGTGCAGTGGCCTTTGTTGTCAATAGCACCAGGAAGGGAATAGTCCCTCTCTGTGCTGACGTGGCCAATCTTCTGCGAGCCAAAAGAAGGTAAAGAACAAAGGCCCAAAATAGTACTCCTCATGATTTTCATAACTATTAACAAGTGAAAAGAAATCATTTATAAGTAAACTCATTTCAGACTCGAAAAGAAAGTGTTCATCCTGAAGAAAGAGAAGGATTTTCTGCATTCAGCGTCCTCGTTAAGTCGACAGACCAGTCATTCCATAAGTCCAACCCCGGCCTCGTACAGCTCAGAGAAAAGTGCACAGGCAGAGTTTCTGTTTAATCTCCCCTCTGTACGTGTAAAATGTACCAAGACTTGAACATCAAATTTATATTAATTACTCCTTAATATACTCTACTGTTAAACTTCTTTTTACAGGATAGAAACAGGCCATGCTCTCGATGTAGTCAATGCTCAACCATCAGCAGCTCTCCAAATTTTGATAAAAATCGACAAAGACTTTCCAGTCTGCAATACTCGCCTGCCAGTAGCCATGGAGATGAACCAAGCAACAGACGACAATATTCTCTGCGTGGAAAGCGGTCACGGTCTGAGAGCTGTGATGGTAACTTGTCTAGCTTATTAAAATATATAAATAATTGTATGTTTAGTAAGAAATAAAAATTTAAACTAGAAACTTTGCTATTGCGATAATAGCATTTGTTACCCGAACTGACCCCAAGGGTACAGGATTGGAGTTGAAAGCAGTGTAAGCAGGAACTGGTTAAAAATAAAAAAAATATTGCAAAATAAAAAAAGTCTTTTTGTTCAGATAGAAATGAAAGCCATTTTGAAAATTTTGAATACTGCGCACACAATTACACTTAGTTAAAATCATTACTATAAAGTTTCATTAAGATTGTTCAAACCATGTGTGAAAACTCCTTTTGGAACAATAACAATATGTCACCCGACTTTGAATAAAACAAATCAAAACAGAATACAAAATAATCGTTTTCAATAAAACTTTAATTTTTTGCAGCTCTCAAAGAGCATCCTTTTTGTACAACGGAAGCGGAGATCCATGCGCAACCTAAGGATATTGAATTCGATTTCACTGAGGTTAACGTTAATGGACAATTACCAGACGATAATAGTTTGAAAGATGATATTTTCGATTGTGATAACATTGATGATAAGTCAGAGATTGGAAATAAAAATCAAAATGGATGTGAAATGAATGAAATTGAACAGAATACCGAATCTGAAAGAAAATTTACACAAAACGGACAAACTGCAAAATGTGATTCTTCCAATAAAGACGATGCTGAAACGTTGGCGACGGTGAAATCCAAGGGAACAAATTCAAGCAAAAAGAAGAGTGCATCATCGTCATCCGATAGAGATTCAGAAAGTAGTATACAAAACAATGAGATGGATTACAGAGAGAGTGAATTGTCAACTCTAAGTGAGAGACGTGGCTCTGGGGAGCTAGTCGTTGAAAAGTACAAATCGTAAGTTGGAATAGTCAAGCTATGGAACACGATACTATTCTGTGACATTTTCTGTGTAATACTTCGATTAAAAAAACACAAATAATATTTAACTATCATTTATTTCATTAATGTTTATTTTTTAAGAGATAGATCCAAGTTATCGTTTTTCATTTCAGAGTAACAACCACATGTTCTGTGGCAGCAGAGAAAAGTTTAGAAGACAAATTTGCTCAAAGTAAGCACACGCTCAATTACTTATAATCATCAACAAATGCTACAAAGTATTGATGTATTAAATATGTATTTTAAAAATGTCCCAGCTTTATTTTTGAAATTATTTTATTGAATAAAGAAGATGGGGAAACAAGGCGTACAAAATGCCTGTAGCTTCAAATGTATAAAAGTCGTAATCAATACGTGAATTTAGTATTTAAAGTAGAGTTCTTATCATCGAAAGGTATGGAATTATGACAAAAAAAAACTTTTCTGCGGAGAATTCTTCCAGCAAAAATCATTCTATGATTTTTAAAAAATGTGATATTCTTGGGGTTCGAACCCAAGCGTTATAAATCCTGAGTGTCATTTTAAATCATGTTTGTTATATGACTCTTGACTAAATGGACTTCAAATATTTCTCGAAAAGGTACGAAAGTTTTACCATTAAAGTGTATTTTTAAAGTACAGGTATATCGTACCAGGTCTTTGCTCCATGTTTTTGTTAAGCGAAGAAATGTACATTTTTTTCACAGGCACTTGTTTCTGTAATAAATTTTTGACCCATAGTATAAAGACAAGCATGCCATATTTGGTTGTGTAGATAAATTATTGTAGAAGACACAGGTATAAACAGTTTGCCAGTGCATGTCCTCTGAAATTGAAAATGAGTGCGATGCGATTCTGAGGGAGGGGGTACTCCGTGTAATATTCGGAGTTGGATACCTTGTGTTATTATTATACTATGGGTCAAAAATTTATTACAGAAACAAGTGCCTGTGATTTTTATGCATACTTTCAAAAAAAAAAAAAAAAAATAGAGAAGACCCACTTGTATGGAAAAATTGTGTTTTAGTATGAAGAATTAATTATTTTTGCCCTCTTAATTCGGTGTATGTATGCTTACTATGCTACTTTATAGATGAAAAATTTCGATCTGTGATATTGTTGCGATTTGTGAAGATTTTACAGAAAGTTATAAACATAAATGTTAAATGAAATATCAAAGAAAATTTGTCATAATTCAGATTTAATTTTTCATCACTTTTTTATTTCTCGCATTTCGCTCGCCTTTTTCGCCCATCTTCGAATTCATTCAAGACTGGAAAAACAGAAAAGTCTCATATATACTCTCTCCTTGTATAAAAGGTCAAGACAGTGACAACGAGTAATATTTAGTCATGATAATAAAGTACTTATATTTAAAGATGATAATAAAGTACTTATATTTAGTTTAAACCATATTTTATTTGAAAATGACAAGCAGGAAATACAGACAAGTAGTACAAAAAATCAAAAAGGATTCGAAACAAGTTTGAATACTTATACTAAACTGTTTCCTTATTATTATGATTAAGATGACAGACCCTTATTAGATAGTTACAAAACACGGTTTGATACAGAATCAGTGTTGATAAATGAAATAAAACAAAATATTTCTAGTTAGAGCACTTCCTTTAAATTTATTTAATATTTACCATTTGAATAAAAGTACATTTTTTCCTGCAATTTTTTCTCTAAATCTATGGGTGTTTTTCTAAACATTTTTATAAAGCTGTGCTAAAAATAGAATATAGGTCTATAATAGAGGTCCCCACAGGTGCCTGACAGTTTTGATACTGGAATTTATTAGAGGACACATGATGCTAATCAGAAACTATAAAATCAGTCAAAATGATCACAATGCCTTTCATAATAAAATTTGGAATTTGCATGGTTTTCTCGTAGACACGCACTTAAAAACTAATATTTGAAATTGACATACATGATAAATTAGAAATCATGTCGATTCACACAAATGAATGATGTTCTAATTATACAGAAGAAATCTAATGGATTTGTAACTTACATTTAAACAGGATAATAAAGTACTTATATCTAAACAGGATAATAAAGTACTTATATCTAAACAGGATAAAAAAGTACTTATATCTAAACAGGATAAAAAAGTACTTATATCTAAACAGGATAAAAAAGTACTTATATCTAAACAGGATAATAAAGTACTTATATCTAAACAGGATAATAAAGTACTTATATCTAAACAGGATAATAAAGTACTTATATCTAAACAGGATAAAAAAGTACTTATATCTAAACAGGATAATAAAGTACTTATATCTAAACAGGATAAAAAAGTACTTATATCTAAACAGGATAATAAAGTACTTATATCTAAACAGGATAATAAAGTACTTATATTTAAACAGGATAATAAAGTACTTGTAGTTAATGGCTCAGTAGGATGAAGGGGAAAAAGATCAGTAATGAAGATGATCCACTAAAATATTTACTTACACCTATACTAAAATAGAATTTGACCCTTCTTTGACTGCACACATTCTGAATCTTTATAAGATTCCAAATGAGTAAAATAAGAAAAAAACATGTACACTCTATCTTCTGTGTCGTAAAAACTTATATAAAGACCAGACAAAAATACCTTGAAAGATGATATTGTCGATTATGATAACTTTGTATCAATATTAGGATTAATATTTCCTTTTTAGGTCACCTGAGTCACTCAGGTGACCTATTGCTATCCGTTTTCGTCCGTCGGCGTGCGTCGTGCGTCGTCCGTCGTCCGTTAACTTTTGAACATTTTTAACTTCTTCTCCAGAACCGCTTAACCAATTTCAACCAAATTTGGTATACCCGGTATAGCATCTATGGGTGAAGGGGAACAAAATTGTGAATTTCATGGTCCCTGCCCCCCTGGGGCCTGAGGGGTGGGGCTAAAACCACCAAAATTAATGCAATCTTTAAAAAACTTCTTCTTTACTGCTGGACATCAAGCAGTCAAACTGTTGGCATGATTGTAATAAGCATTGAACCCTCTACCAAAATTGTGAAATTCATGGCCCCAGGGTCAGGGGTTCTGGTGTTAGGGCGGTGCTCTATTGATTATATAGTGAAAATGCATTAATTCTTTGAAAATCTTCTTCTCTGTTCCTGGGTATTAAATAAACTAACCAAGTATATAGTTATGATGAGCAAGAGTGCCTCTTCCAAAATTTTGAATTTCATGGCCCCAGGGTCAGGGGTTCTGGTGTTAGGGCGGGGCTCTTTTGATTATATAGTGAAAATACATTAATTCTTTGAAAATCTTCTTTTCTGCTCCTGGGTATTAAATAAACTAACTAAGAACGTAGATATGATGAGCATGGCTGCCTTTTCCGAAATTGTGAATTTCATGGCCCCAGGGTCAGGGGTTCAGGTGTTAGAGTGGGGCTGTATTGATTATTTGCATTAATTCTGAAAATCTTCTTCTCTGTTCCTGGGTATTAAATAAACTAACTTAGTGCATAGTTATGATGAGCATGGTTGCCTCTTCCAAAATTGTGAATTTCATGGCCCCTTGGTCGGGGTGTTGGTGTCAGGGTGGGGCTCAATTGATATATATAGTGAAAATGCATTAATTCTTTGAAAATCTTCTCTCTCCTGGATATTAAATAAACTAAGTACATAGTTATGATGAGCATGGCTGCCTCCTCAGAAATTGTGAATCTCGTGGCTCCTGGGTGAAGGGTTCTGCTGTTAGGGCGGGGCTCTATTGATTATATAGGGAAAATGCATAAATTCTTTCAAAATCTTCTTCTCTGCTCCTGGGTATTATTCAAATAAAGAAAGTGCATGGTTATGATAAGGAAGAATGCCTCTTCCAAAATTGTGAAAATCATGGCCCCTGGGTCAGGGTTCTGGTGAAGGGGGGAGGGGGCTCTATTGATTTTATAGTGAAAATGCATAATTTCTTTCAAAATATTTTTTCTACTACTGGTAATAAAGCAAAGTTCTTCTTCCAGAATTGTGAGTTCATGGCTCCTGGGTAAGATGTTCTGTTGTAAAGGGGGGGGGGGGGCTTTATTTATTTAATTATATAGTGAACATGCATTTCTTTGAAAATCTTCTATGCTTCTGGGCATATTCGAGGCAAACAGAGTAAAAGTTTTAGTATGCAAGGGTATTTTTATCGGAGACCAATGTGAGAAGTAGTAATTTGGGATTAAAAATAGACATTTTGTTAATAGTCTGCATGGTGATAGTGTTAAATGGGGGACAGATAGATGCTATACCAATTATTCTGTTGATGCTTATCATACTATTTTTCTTGCTTTTGGGCAACATTTAAAGCTTCATTTATCAGTTTATGGATCCTCTAAATTGTTGTATTGTACTCAGGTGACCGTTAAGGCCATTGGGCCTCTTGTTTACTTTTCTAATACAAATTGAATAAGACACTTTTAAACCATTTCACCAATTACTGGAACTTTTGAGTGTTGCTGACAAATACAGTACTTTTTATGAGATGCCTCACTTATTGTAGAAGTTCAGTGCATCAATATGTTCCCCGAATTATCCAATGCTTAAACAAGTACTTGCTTTGGATCAAATTGTGCACCATACATCACTCAGTGTCATTGAAAAAAGTTCCCCATAAATAGACTTTACACGATTTTTTTCTTCAAAGAATAGGACATTTTAAAAGAAAAAAGACTATAGTTTTTTTTATGCAGAATTTGCCCAGAAAATCCTATAAGGGTTTTTCGAGGGGTTTTTATGTGTAGAATGTACTGTATTACATTATTTGTAAATTACAGAATAACTTCCTCACATAAGTATTTGTGGTATATAGGCAAAAGCGAAAATCGAAAACTAGTACTTAATAATTGACTTTTGTTAATTAATGAAAATTATTCATTATATACTAGTATTCGTACTTTTTCTTACACCGGAAAATGTAAATTAAATGAGTCATTGTAACAATTAAATTGAAGACTTTGTAAGAGTGTTTCGAACTGTATACGATTGATACCGGTAATACGAAAATTTGGCTTTTCGTTGAAGCATGCTAGAATATGATTGATGATGAATTTCTAGATCTTATAATTTCTTCCCTCTTACATTTAATCCTAACGAAAAATTCCTTTAAAATGTAGGTATGTTGCTGAATTCAAAACTAACTGAAGAATTAGGTGCTGCAAAGAAAGAAATCGAGATTCTGAAGAAACGTTTATCAGAACTAGAGGTTGGCAAATTTTTAAGCAATAAGAAAAATGTTTTTGGAGTTATCGTTTTTAATATTATCAATTGATCAGACATATAAAATATTCCTATCTTTTTTTAGCCCTACAAGATCGATAGTTGTACATACGACAGACTGATTATTGAAAATGAAGTAGGGGGTACCAAAATGGAATACCTGGAAAAGAAATCGCTTAACAACAATAATCGACAAAGTAAAGGTAGTGAAAGGTAAGGTCTTGCACCTGTACAGGTCAATTCATTTGTTTTTAGGAAACAGCATGCAATTTGGACTAAACTTATTCCACCGCTCCAACTTTTAGAATGTCAAAAACAAGAATGGAATGTCAAGGTTTACTTTTCTTGTGATGTTATTTTTTCTTCTTTAAGGTATCTAAAACATAAGGTGACGCCAATTTCACCATACCTATCCCAGCCCTTGTATGGCTGTAAATGTAGCGCGTGTGAAGCCGTGTTCTCAAGTTCCGAGTATATATGGGAAGCCGACCAAGCTTTTACAGAGAAGAGGACCTTTTCAGTCAGGTCTGGAATTAAAGTGTTTCATCGTTAACTCTTCAAACTTTCAGAATTACTGTACGTATACCTTCTATTAGCTAAAGGTATGTAACTATTGAGTTCATTAAATCTTATTTACATAATTAAATTTTTAATTAACCAATTCACCATATTGTACCATACACAAAATATACTACCCCCAGATTATCCAGGGGCGCTTCGGAGTTTTTTATCTAGTACTTTTTTTCAGTAAAGATTGGAATGTTCCATGTCTTTTTCGTAGACGTAAATAGAATGGTCAGAATAAAGCTACTGCTAACATGTTATTTGCTTCAATAAATTTGGTATAACACATTATAAGTAGGTTACTTAAAAATCCCATTTGGAAGAAAATTATTTAATTAAATCCAAAATGGTTAAATCAGCAGTAAAGTAGTAGTACTAGTTCTTGTATATTCGGAATAACATACAGTTTAAAGACATGGAACGCAAATAAAAATCCTGGGGAACAGGATTTTCTTTTAGAGGCTTTCACCAGAGCAGAACGGCCAATTTTAATCTTAACCCAAGGATTTTATTTTGTAGCAAATTGAATCACCATCGTTTCTTGTTTTATAGTCACAAACTTCATGTACAGCAGAATGACCACGTTGTCGCTAAAGGTGACCGAACAGGCCAAATTCGATATATTGGACATTTGGACAAACAAGGACAATCCAATCTGTTGTTCGCTGGACTGGAACTGGACTCTCCAGGTAAGATGAGCACCCAGTCCAAGGCAAAGAAACCACGGCATTCGCTGCATTATTGTAAGTATGAAATAAAATACATGACGTATACCAAAAACAATCTTTTTGCAGTTGGAAGGCATGATGGAGTCCTGAATGGGAAAAGATACTTTAGTTGTCCCAAGGACCATGGGATTTTCATACCACTTCAAGAAATTATATGTAAAGTTGGAAAGAAGGTAAAGACTGTGGAATTTTGAAATTTTTATGATATGGATGTCTGTAAAGTGCTGTGTCCCGTATTGCGTGTCTCTTTTAGGTACCCAAAAAAACTCCAGGCCGGGAAGAATCATCAAAACTGCATCGAAAAAAGAAAAATGATAGACTGTTAACAAGCAAATAGCGCTGTTGTAGAGAAGGGGTTTCAGCAAATCCAGTCATTAAAGGAGTTAAGATGAAAGTCTATATGCCTTGCACTGCGTATTCAAGTTTATCTTTTATTTTCTGGAAAAAGTGTACATTGAGAAACAAATTAACATCTACTAAAGTCATCTGTATAAGTCATATTAATAGATGAGTCAAAATAGCATTATGTTTAACGTTTCATTGATAAAAGTTGTTACTTCAAAACATATCGAAACTGCTTGTATTGAAGTGAAATGATGATCTTTAGACTTACTTGATTTGTCTAATCATTATTCAGAGAAATGTTTTTCCTAGGTATTAAAATGTGCTGAGTATCGAAACAGTAACTAAAAAGATAAATAAGGTTCTGGAGATAAATTATATTAGTGCTTTATGTAAATGGTTATGCACAGTGCATTTTTGATAAATCAGTCGTAGATTTTTACCATTTTTTAGGGAAAAAACGAGATGTTATTCCATGGACTTCTTTTCATGGTGCGATTAAAAAATGATTGAATCACCTTTTTGATGACAGAAATCATTATAACTCGGTGCATAATGCTGAATAGATTAAAATGTCATTACTTTATTGTGTACAAAGGGTGACGTAGCAACACGTGGTACCAGTTCCTTTGTACGGGTTTTTGCAATTTAAACATATTAAACGTGACATCTTAATTAATCAAGGTATTAATTACTTAAATTGATTTCAAACCACATGTTTTATCGGGTTGTCAACTGTCTATCTCGTCAAATGCCAATAATATTGACCTTAACATTATTTATCTTATTTCTTTAATATTCGAACGCATAATCAGAAAATTCTCGTATTTAATTATTAATGATATTTATTACTTATGAGTCAAATCCACCTTGAAATGTTTTAATTGTTAGGTTTTTTGTCAAATATCAATATAAGTCACGATTATCCCTGAGGTGGTTGTGTCCAGTACTATAAAATATTCTCATAATAAAATATCCTTCCGTTTTCGTATTTTTAGGAAGGATATTTATTCGCTTGTGAGATTCCTAAACGTTCATTTTGTACACAAGATCCATTCTTCCTTCCAATTCTGTTTATTTTTCTGTGAATTCATGTCTTTGATTCGGTTATATATTGCTAACTTAATTGTTTACGAAAGATAGTTTTCGATTATTCTCATAAATCTTTGATCAACTATATTTTTATCATAATATGGTCATAAATACATAAAGTTTCAATAATGTGAAGAGTATCACATGTTTAAAAGCATTTGTTTAAATGTTAAATCAAATAATGCTTTATTCTCCCACCACCGACTACCATCGCATGTTTATAGATCACTGCCAAGTGACTACCATTCAATATTATCTGTGTATAACTCCGTCCAGCTACATACTCTGGTAGCAAACAACAAAACATAACTGCAAACAACAAAACATCACTTTATAATCAGACAACAAACCATCTCTATACAACATCACCATACAAACAACAAAACATTTTTAAACAGACAACAAATCATAAATATACAAACATCACTACAGGAACAGCAAAACATCACTATACAAACAAACATCAAAATACAAACAACAAAACATCATCATACAAACAACAAAACATCACCATACAAACATCAAAACATCATCATACAAACAAACAACAAAACATCACTATATAATCAGACAACAAAATATCACTATATAAACAGACAACAAACCATCTCAATATAAACAGACAATAAAACACATATATAGAAACATCACTATACAAACAACAAAACAGCACTATATAGTATATAATCAGACAACATAACATCACTGTACAAACAGACAACAAACCATCTCTATACAAACAACAAAACATCACTATTTAAACAGACAACAAATCATCTATATACAAACATAACTGTACAGACAACAAAACATCACCATACAAACATCAAAACATCATCATACAAACAAACAACAAAACATCACAATATAATCAGACAACAAAACAGCACTATATAATCAGACAACAAAACAGCACTGTATAATCAGACAACAAAACAGCACTGTATAAACAGACAACAAGCCATCTCTATACAAACAACAAAACATCACTATATAAACAGACAACAAAAAATCTCTGTACAAACATCACTTTACGAACAAACAACAAAACATCACTATTTAAACAGACAACAAAACAACTTTTAAGAAACCAACAACAAACATCAGTATTTAAAAAAGCAAAAAAAACCACTTAATTAAAAAACAAAACATCACTATATAAACAACAAAATATAACCTTATAAAAATAATAGAACATCACAACAAACAAAAAATTATCACTAAAAAATCAAACCAAAAACATCATTTTATAAACAAGCAACATAACATCAATATATAAAAAACAACAAAACCTCACTGTAAAAAGAAACAACTAAACCTCACTGTAAAAACAAACAAAACATTAAAACAGTGTAACTATATCAACAAAAAAACATTACATCACTATAAACAAACAACAGAACATCACTTTTTAAACAAACATCAAACTATCAACTTAAAACCAAACACACAAAAACATCGCTATATATTAAAGAAACAGCAACAAAAAATCACAACAAAGAACAAAACACCACTATATAAACAAACAACCAAACATCAACATATAAACAAACAACAAAACATCACTACAAACAACAAAACATCAATGTAAGCAAACAACAAACCATTAAAGCAACAACAATACATTACTATGTAAACAAACTTTATACTGTAAAGTTCTCACATTAAAATTTTACAGGTAATTGATGGAACTTTTAAATTTTAAGTAAAATTAATATTCAATCTAAAAAAAAGTAAGATCAGCACTCATCATTTGAATTATATTGTATTTTATAAACATATTGACTTCTGGAGATAGTATATTTTTTTTTAAATGGTATGAAAACGAGGGCTGAATTTGATGCCTGAATTATTGATACCACCCGAGCTTTGTTTGATATTAACTTATTATAGTATGTAGTTCCTCACAGAGTTCTGTATAATGACCAAAAATCATATTTTTATGATTTTCATTTTAATTATTAAAGTAAGGCTTTTTTGCTTTCTGTATATCAGACTGCTTTAAATTTTGTCAAATTTGTTGACTGACATTTTGAACAATGTATAGATACAAATTTCAATAAATTGTGCATCAATATATTGGTTTATGTTTGGTATTTGTTCACTTGAGAGTTGTTCAGAATCATAAAAAGTAAGTGGTCTCCTAGCATCTACTTAAAAATTATAAAGGTTCTGGACAGCCTTTTGGTGGCCTGTCTGTGAAAACCTAGTACTTATTAAACCAAGTAAGATTTGGACAAGTCTTTGAGAGGAGGATTTATTTCTGAGAAATGTGTTGGACAGGCTATTGATTTGAACTGGGTACAGTAAATTGACCCAAAAATCTGTAAACAGTATGTCGAATGCCTTTTGTGGACATATGTATTTGAAAGTGCCTAAGTGGAGCACAAATTTAATATGATGATAGTTTATCTGTATTTAACTACCGATACTGGTGAGATCTACCAGTTAAGACATCCCTTGTAACAACTAGAAATGATTTGGATCTTTGTTTCTCTTCAGCTAATTATGAACAGCTTCCAAAACTAAATTTCATAGTTTTGGTAATTATCTGTAAGCTATGTAGTTTACTTAGATATAAAATATTATATAGACGTTTAGAAATGGATACACACAGAGAAACAAAACAAATAAAGACACATCGTTTGTGTTTATTGTAATTAATTTGTGGTTAACACCTCACTGAAAGCAATTGAAAACATTTCTTAGCACGATGGTGACGTTTCTGGATATTAGCAGTGTTTATTTTAAGTCCTCAAATTTACAGATTCATGGATAGATAGCAGAGACTATGTCAGAAATTTAAAGAATGTATTAGAATAAATCATTTTCAGTATAAGCAAATACTTATTTCTTTTCTTTAAAAAACTCTTTTTGTATTTTGTGAAATCATGAATGTTCATTTTTAATTTGGGTTATTTCTGTAATAATTTTAGAACAGTTTGTCCTTGATGTGTTAATATTCTTTCATCTTACAACTATCAACACGAAAACAGTTAGCGTTCCAGACATGCAAGGACAGGCAGATAAAGAAGTATATTATTTAAACACTGAATTGTCTACGGATTTCTCCGTTTGCCCGATCATGACAATGATACACGGCGGTGTGACCGGTGGACGGGGATGCTTACTACTCGATGGCATTTGATCCCACCTCTGATGTTTTTAGAGGTCCGTGTTTGCTCTGTTTCCGATTTGTATTGTTTCAGTGGACTTTTGAGCTTGGTTACTTTTCGTGATCTCCACATTTCACATTAAAACTTAAACATTTTTGCTTGGGAAAAAAATTTGGAAACCGAATATTTATTTTATAATAAATTTATTCATAACCACTTTTACATATCTATGTACATATATAATCACATTTGCTTTCCAATACATCAAAAGTATCACATTTCAAAGTTTCTAGGAAGTTGGTGTCCCACTAACAGTAGAGATTTATATCACATATCTATAATACTGATATAACAGATTATGACTGTACACATTTCTTCTTCCATGCAGTTGTTTCTCAAGACATTCTTCGTCTGAAGAACCTTGGTAGGACATATCTTTATGGACGGGTCCAGCAAATTTCAGTGTTTGCGATAATTTTTTTTTTATAAAACTTGAGAAGAAGCAATTAGGTTTACTAATTATGACATTTGCAAATTGTTATTCCTTTATATGTTAAAAGCTGGGGGTTTCTGAAAGTCTACAAAATTACAGAGATAAATTATTTTCCTTTGAATGCATAAATACAGTTTGTCAGACGGTGACATAGGATCTTAGTAACTATTCTTTATTAAAGAAAGAGTTCCAAATAGGACCGAAGAAAGCAGTCACATTTACGGATCTCATGGTAGAAAATGACGTATATTCTTATTGAAAAATTTATGGAAGTTTCAGTGATCTATGCAAATTTTCTTTTGAAGTTTACAATCTCGAGCGTCCTATATTACTTTGAATACCAATATACAGCAACATTCGAGTATACATTTAAAAATGAATCGAGACTGAAAACTTCAAGTTTAATAATTAGAATGAACACATTTCTATTAATAAGAAAAAAAATTAATTAAAATGAATAAAAAAAAGAGAGAACAACATTGGAACGGGGATCCATTGATGATCAGCAAAAATGTCTGGACCACGCTGATCAAAATCGCGATGAATGTTCTTACATTTCACCAAAATTTGCTGTATCCTGAATCACGATCAATTGTCTCATCGCTGTTTAAGGTGTGAGGGATCAATCTGCAAGGGGTAGCAAGAGAATAATTCAAACAGAGAATAACCATCAACTGACCGAAGGGTTAGGCAATATGAAAAGCAAGATGTTATTCTGACAAGGCTTTTTATTAAGAGCACAGCACACAAAAGTAAAAATAAATAGATGGTATATAAGCAAGCAGGACCAAAGCAAGGTTAACGATCTCCACGCTTAGATATAAGGCGTACAATTCCACTTACAAGATGACCCGGAAGTGATCCTCCAATACCGGAACTCATGGACTCCTGTGTATCATTGTTGCGATAATTTTGGCCACGTCTCCGAGATGGACTTGAATGCTTGGGTGGCGTGTAAGCTCCACAGAGTTCTAGTACGTTGAAGAAAACTTTTAATTTTTTATTCGGAGCTGTTAAAGGTGATCGCAATAAATCCATACTATCTCCATTCAAACATGGGTGTGATGTAGCTGCTTTAGCGAGTGTTCGACATGCAGGTGTGCATATATTTAAATTGGTACAGTTCTGAAACAAGGAAGATGTTCTTTGATCTTTATGCAATGCACCAAAGAAGCCATTAAAATCGCATCCGTTAGCCACGCCAGTTGTTTCTAATTTACACAGAGGAATGGATTTAAAGCTGGAGCATGTAGATCCCATCCAGTTGCCTTTCGGGTAATATTCTAGTGTAGAAGCACAGATTTCATTGGTTGAAAGAAGACCCCATTTTACAGGATGTTTCAGTTCGCGAGTGTCGTAAACACAGGTGATTCTAAGAATGTC